TAAAACTACTAATTTTTAATCAAGGAGCCATGGAAAAATATATTTGATCGTCTATGTTTTTAGTGTCTTGTCCTGGCCGGTTAAAAGATGCCCAAATCGTATTTTTAATCATATCTCTATTTTTCCAAGTGGAACGATGGTGGCTCATTAGTATATTTGGAAAATGCATTTTTTTACGAATCATTTGATACCACAAATTTGGTATTTCGAGTCAAATTGTCGTTATGAACCGCATGTTGCAATTTCAAATAAACCATATTCGAAAATGTCAAAAGTTGACATATGATATGTTGTTCTATTCTGAGTGTCACTTATCGAATACAGTAAAAAATACCGAGGGTGCCATTTAATAATCAGAAGTTTTACTCATTTCCGGTGAAACAGGAAGTGACCGAAAACAATTGAAAACGTCGAATAATATGAAAAAATAATAAAGTTATAGAGGTGGGCCACTTTTGAGACGCACCCGGTATATACTAATAAAAAACTATTTTTGAAGATTCTTTTTTTCACAATAATGTCACTTTAAGTCCTAACACAATTCTATTCCAGATTTATACACGTTGCATAAAACCAATAGTTTAAAAAAATCACATAGACTTCTTGGCTTATCTTATAGATATTATATTCGTGTTTTTTCTATAAGTTTTAATAAAAATAATCAGTTTAAGAGATATATCTGCCGATAATCGCAAAGCACTTCAATTGACTTAATACAATTTGTACTACTTAGTGAAGATGTGACATGTGGCTGATGTGGTCTTAAATATTTTATTTTTTTACTCAAAAAAATTATTGAAAGTAAACTTAGAAAAATAGTGCTTTTGTGTGGATTATTTAAATGCGCAATGGCTCCCAAGAATAATAGTAAAGACCAATTTTATGATAACCTGAGACTAACTTTAAGAGGTGTGTGGTATGTATCTTGGAATAAATATTGAATACTATAGTCTATCCAACGACACGATCCTTGACAGTGATAGATTTGTCTGTCATTTTAATTTCAAAATAGTTTATTTTATTTTACAAAGAAATAAGTTGTGATCGAGTTATTTTATTTAAAAAAAACCATATGTGTTAATACAAAACAAACAAGAAGAAAACACCACATACCAAAAAAAATATAAAAAGCTTCAATAAACTTCCCGCATTCATTATTATATTTATCAATATAACTTATGCACAAATACAAATTTGTAATATTCCACAGGAATAAATAAAACAAACTATTTTATTAATAATAACACTTACCGAATTTTATACCTTAAAGGTTTATTAATTAACTTTAATCTTAATATTTCTAAAAACCAGTACCTTTTGACCAATAATTTCTGCCTGGGACCGAGTATTATCTATAAACTGTCTACAATTAATTTTCCCTCTATTTTTCCTCCACTTGACTTCAAAAGACACAAAACACACCTATAACCATAGACAAACAAATAAAAAGAGACTGACAAATCCCATGGTAAAGAGTGGGACCGCGTTCACGTAGCGCAACTCAGAATAACAATTTTGAAACCAATTAGCAGGACCATGACAGGACATACGTCTTTATTGCTATCTTTCTTTATTATGTGTGCTTTATATGAAAAAGAAAGAGATAGATATAAAACGTATCGTAAGACATTATCGCACATTCTGGCTGGGGGGAAATTTAAATTAGCCATTATTAGTAGTATTCTTTCATTCTGAAACTGAAAATTTTCACTTAAACTGATTTATATATATATTCCCTATACCACGTAAAGGGAACATGATGTAGGGAATAATTTAAGTGAAAATTTGCAGTTTCTTTCAGAACGAAAGAATACTACTATTATAAGGGAAATTATAAAAAAAAGCAAAAATTGTACTGTTTTATAAACATATTTATTTATACATAAAAATAAATAAACTTTTTATAATATAATAACAAAAAATAACAGTGTTTATTCCACCCACCTACCAATTTTAAATGCAGAAGAACTGACTGTTGCAGGAAACGATCGACCAATTTTTTTAAAGGGCATTAAAAATCTCATTTTCGAAAAAACTGTCTAATTGCAATAACAAAGTGAATATCCAAGCAAAGAAGACTTTACGAGAATCATGATCCTCAACCATTTTCAAGTCCAGTTTTAATTTTTAATCCTAAAACAAAAGTAAAATAGGTATATTAATAAAGTTTCTGGTTACTATAAACCAGCTATAAACTCCCTACCCAAAAAATGATAAAAAATAATTGTATTAATTTGTTATTTTAGGAGAGGTTCGAAATATTTTTGACACTACTACTTCTACTTTTTTCTTAATAAGATGATAAATATAACTACTTACTTTTATTTTACCGGGTGTCTTTAACATATCTATCAGAGAAAGGGGGTACCAATACATATAAAAAATAGATGATACTGGTTCCTGCAGCAAATAAAATAACAAATAGTATAAACTAAAATTATAAGTAACAAAATATAAATACCTATATGGAACAAAGGAATTTGTTCCCTATCCATATTCATAAGTCAATAAAATGGAGAGTTTAGAAAAAAAGGTAAATCACGAAAAGAAAAATTAACAAACATAACGAATTGTCATGATGTTGTTATCTTGGTTGTCATGATGACGAAAACGAAAGGCGACTGTTCTAATTTCTATTTAGAAATTACGTTTTATATGGCTGCTTCTTTCTCTCTTGTTATATTAGAATGAGATAGTGGGCCCAATAGACGCAATGCGCAGATCAACATAAATAGAACGAAATTTTGGGTTCTGAGTTGCGCTACGGGAACGTTGTCCCTCTCTTTGCCATTTAATTTGCCAGTCTCTTTTTATTTGTTTGTCTATGCCTATAACCTATAATTTGGCAAGACTTTGACAAGCCTCAAAAATCTAAAGCGGCCCTCACACGATCAATAATATTGTCACTATTTTGGATTATTGGCAATATTATTGAGCGTTTGAGCGTACATATTGATGGAGTTTCAATATATTGATGGATTTTCGGGATCCTGAAAATACTCGACAATATTAAAGGCGGAGCTAGTCGTATTGACAATATATTGATCGTTAGGTCGCATGATTGACAAAATTTGACTAGTTTATTCATAATTTATTGGTAACCATGGCGAAAGACGGAACATCGCCGTCGTTGTTTTCACCAGTTTTAGATCGCAATCATCAGGCTCCCGTTTCTTAACGTACTCTAGAAGATTTAGTTGGCCGAACCTTTTTCTTTTTGGATATCCATTTTTTTGTATAACGCCTTTTCTTAAATTTTTTCTTCGATTTTTTCACACTGACTGATAGACTGACACTCACTGCCAAAATGACACGCTTTTTTTAACTTTCTAATTTTTTGGCATAAGGTATAATCTTAGGGTATAATTCACACATAATATCTGCACAAAACTTAATATTGATATATGTATTGACCGTGTCAGGCCACCTTTCAAATATTGATAAAACATTGACAATATTATTGATCGTGTGAGGGCCGCTTAAAGGCGAGTTTATATGCATTGGCGTCCGTTTTTCGTTCATCATTCCGTCCAACCAATAAAATTGAAATATGATCTGTCATTTTTAAAATAAACCAATAAAACTGGTTAAAAACCACAAGAGACGATGCATGACGGATTTATATTTAAACCCATCAATAGTTAACTTAAAAAATATTAGAAACTTTTTTTAGTAAAATAAATAGATTGGTATGGACGTCATCTGCTTTTCTTCTGTCATAGTCTGTCGAAATCTTACCTGAGAAAAAAAAAACAGAGTATAGCTGATCCGGCTAACACAGTGAAGTGAAGTAAGAGTTTTTTTGTCAATCTTATAGTACATCATCAATAGACCGAATGATCTGGCATCAGATCATTCAGACCAATTGATTTGGCTCTTGTTGCCATTTGTTCTCTATATTTTTGTTTACATTTCAATTACAAATATTTTCAATATCTTTCTAGATTTGAATATGCTATATTCCCCCTATTTTCCAGCGAATTTCTATATGTCTATTATGTCACTAATTTGTAGTGGACATCAATTATTACAGCTAAGCTGTAAGCGTGCGTTATGTGACCTATAAATTATGAAAGATGACGTAGTTTCAAACCAGATCTATTTAAAAATTAATTATTTTTTGCTTTGGTGAAGAAGCATTTTTTATTTTTTAAGAATATATTACCGTTATTAATGTATTAAACAGTTATTTGTGTGATGAAATGTGATTAGTAAATTAATTTGTATTATCTTATATAATTATACTGGTACTGAATGTAATTTTTTATTACAATTATATCAAGCTTATTTAAATTAATCTGTAATAATTAGACTTACGGCGTAGACATAAATTAATATTAGTTACGTTCTCTCTTAAACCACAACAATAAAAATTATGAGTTTTCTTTCTGACATAAGATGATACATTTTTGGGTTGGTTATTACATTTTGATAAATTTATATTTACTTAAGGATAAGTGTAAAAGAGATAATACCATACTATTTAATGTTTGTGTCTGTTTAACCCTATCTTTTTTTTTAATAGTTTGCTTTAAATAACTCGAAAATTACTTTAAAATTATTGTAAAGGCAAAAAGATAACTAATTATATTTTTAAATGACAGTAGTCTCAAAAATTTAAATAAATAGAACAAAGTCGGGTTAGTTACACCATTAACCATTAACTAACTGAACCAGAATAACTATTAAGTCGTACATTTAGAGGTTTAGAGATTTACTTTTTCTCCCTCCAATGTATGTATAATACCCCGCTAAATTCGCCAAGTACCTCGTTAAACTCTTTCCCTCGTTTTGATGTTTAGGATCTTATTAAAACGTTTCTTAGAGTAGTTCTAGAATTAAAAACAAGTTTAATGCTATACTGACTTTACAGAAAGTCATAATAAATTAAACGATTTCCTGATACAAATATGGCATCAGGAAATCGTCATGGAATAATTTATTTGATGATGCATTGCACCATTCTTTGATTCAAGTAAAAAAGTATTTTTCTTTTTCAGACGAAAGAGAGAGCGTTCAGAAGAAAACCTTCCAAAAATGGGTCAACTCGCATTTAGTTCGAGTGAACTCCCGCATCACAGACTTGTACACCGACCTTCGAGACGGCAAGAACCTCATCAAACTGCTCGAAGTCTTATCGGGCGAACGCTTGCCCCGCCCCACCAAAGGAAAGATGCGCATCCATTGCCTGGAAAACGTAGAAAAAGCCCTGAAGTTCCTCAAGGAACAAAGGGTCCACCTGGAAAACATGGGCTCGCACGATATCGTCGACGGCAACCCCAGACTCTCCCTCGGTCTCATCTGGACCATCATTTTGCGCTTCCAAATCCAAGACATCACAATCGAAGAGACGGATAACCAGGAAACCAAGTCCGCCAAAGACGCTTTACTGCTTTGGTGTCAGATGAAAACTGCCGGCTACCAGAACGTCAACGTCAGGAATTTCTCTACTTCTTGGAGGGACGGTTTGGCTTTCAACGCCTTGATCCACAAGCACAAACCGGACTTGATTCAGTTCGACAAACTATCAAAGGCGAATCCGATACACAATCTCAACAACGCCTTCAACGTGGCCGAAGACAAACTCGGACTCACCAAGCTGCTCGATGCCGAAGACGTTTTCGTCGACCAGCCCGACGAGAAGAGTATTATAACCTACGTGGTTACGTACTACCACTACTTCAGTAAAATGAAGCAAGAGACTGTACAGGGTAAACGTATAGGAAAGGTCGTGGGTATTGCGATGGACAACGACAGATCAATTAAAGAATACGAAAGTCTTACCAGTGATCTATTAGCTTGGATTGAAGCAACCATAGCTGCTTTGGGAGAAAGAGAGTTTGCAAATAGCCTGATTGGCGTCCAACAACAACTAGGCCAATTCAACAACTACAGAACGGTGGAGAAACCTCCGAAGTTTGTCGAAAAAGGTAACCTAGAAATTTTACTGTTCACGTTACAGTCGAAGATGCGGGCGAATAATCAACGCCCCTACACTCCTAAGGAAGGTAAAATGATCTCAGACATCAACAAAGCTTGGGAACGACTGGAAAAGGCCGAACACGAACGCGAGTTGGCTATCAGAGAAGAACTAATTAGACAGGAGAAACTAGAGCAGCTTGCTGCCAGATTCAACAGGAAGGCCACCATGAGAGAGACTTGGCTCAGCGAGAACCAACGTTTGGTATCTCAGGACAATTTCGGTCACGATTTAGCTGCCGTCGAAGCCGCGGCGAAGAAACACGAAGCCATCGAAACCGATATCTTCGCCTACCACGAACGTGTAGAAGCCGTCGTTTCCGTAGCTGCCGAGTTAGAAGCCGAAAACTACCACGGCATGCAGAAGATCAATAACAGGAAAGACACCGTTCTGCGCCTCTGGAATTACCTCCTGGAATTGCTTAGAGCCCGTAGGAATAGGCTAGATTTATCGTTACAACTACAACAGAACTTCCAAGAAATGCTGCACATCCTAGATGCCATGGAGGAATTGAAAGCGCGCCTACTTGTCGACGACTACGGCAAACATCTGATGGGCGTAGAAGATTTGCTCCAAAAACACAGTTTACTCGAAGCCGACATCAATATTCTCGGGGAAAGAGTCAAATCCGTCGCCGAACAAAGCCAGAAGTTCCTCGACGTGGAGAACGAAGAGGGGTACAAGCCTTGCGATCCTCAATTGGTTTTGGAAAGAGTTCAACAGTTACAAGAAGCCTACGCTCAACTGGCTAGATTGGCCGTCGAACGTAGATCTAGACTCGAGGAGAGTAAAAAATTGTGGCAGTTCTATTGGGATATGGCCGATGAAGATAACTGGATCAAAGAAAAAGAACAGATCGTGTCTACTTCCGATATCGGTCACGATCTTACATCCGTTAACCTTCTGCTTAGCAAGCATAAGATTCTAGAAAACGAACTATCCGCTCACGAACCTCAATTGGAAGACGCATTGGGCGTCGGTGAGGAACTTATCGGTTCCGGACACTTCGGAGCTGAAAAAATACAAGAACGGTTAACGGAAATCAGAGACGCCTGGAAACACTTGCTGGATTTGGCCGCGTATCGCAGGAAATGCCTGGAAGAGGCCGTGGATTACCATCAGTTGTTCGCTGACGCTGATGACGTGGATATCTGGATGTTGGATACTCTGAGGTTGGTTTCCAGCGAGGATGTCGGCCGGGACGAAGGCAACGCACAGTCCTTGCTGAAGAAACATAAGGACGTGACCGAAGAGTTGAAGAACTACGTTAGCGTTATCGAAAGTCTTCATCAACAAGCCGAGGCTCTTGGACCGGACGTTGCCAACTCTCCGGAAGTGTCACAAAGACTGGCTTCCATCGACAAACGTTACAAGGAACTTCTCGATATTGCCAAACTTAGAAAACAAAGATTGCTCGACGCTCTCTCCCTATACAAACTCCTTTCCGAGAGCGACGGCGTAGAGCAATGGATTAGCGAGAAGGATCGCATGCTGCAAACTATGATCCCGGCGCGCGACATCGAAGACGTAGAAATAATGAAGCACCGATACGATGGATTTGAAAAAGAAATGAACGCTAACGCGTCTAGAGTAGCCGTAGTGAATCAATTAGCTAGACAGTTACTGCACGTGGAACATCCTAACTCGGAACAAATCACTGCCAGGCAAAACCAACTTAACCAGAAATGGGCGGAATTGCGCGAAAAGGCCGAGGCCAAGCGCGACGAGCTCAATTCCGCGCACGGGGTGCAAACTTTCCACATCGAATGCCGCGAGACCACCACGTGGATCGAGGACAAAATCCGTATTCTACAAGAAACCGACAGTTTGGAGATGGATCTTACCGGTATTATGACGCTACAACGGCGTCTTTCTGGAATGGAGCGGGATTTGGCCGCCATTCAGGCTAAACTTAATTCGCTCCAGAAGGAAGCTGACGGCATTGAAGGAGAACATCCCGAGGAAGCTGCTGTTATTAGAGAACGTATTGTACAAATTCAGATTATCTGGGAACGTTTGACTCAGATGCTTAAAGAACGCGATGCTAAATTGGAAGAAGCCGGTGATTTACACAGGTTCCTACGTGATCTGGACCACTTCCAATCTTGGCTTACCAAAACCCAAACTGACATCGCCTCAGAAGACACACCAAGCTCGTTATCCGAAGCCGAGAAATTACTGTCTCAACACCAGGCTATTAAGGAAGAAATTGATAATTATCGAGACGATTACACTAAGATGATGGAATACGGGGAAAAGATCACCGCCGATCCCAGCACTCAAGACGATCCTCAGTACATGTTCTTGAGGGAACGACTAAAGGCTCTGAAAGACGGTTGGGATGAAATCCATCAAATGTGGGACAACAGACAACACCTCCTGTCGCAGTCTCTAAGCTTGCAACTGCTCGAACGCGACGCACGGCAGGCTGAAGTCGTTCTTAATCAACAAGAACACACTCTCAGCAAAGACGAGTCTCCCACCACTCTCGAACAAGCCGAGAACCTTCTCAAGCGCCACGAAGCCTTTTTGGCAACTATGGAAGCCAACGATGACAAAATTAACAGCGTCGTCGAATTTTCGCGAAGACTTTGCGACGAAAATCACTTCGCATCTGACAAGATCGGAAAGCGGGCCGATAATTTGGACGAGCGTCGTCTCGCAAACAAAGAGAAGGCTCAGGCTTTGTTCGAAAGACTGCGCGATCAGTTGGAGCTGCACCAATTCTTACGGGACTGCGACGAATTGGGAGAATGGGTTCAGGAGAAACACATCACCGCTCAAGACGAAACTTACAGGTCGGCTAAAACTGTTCACTCTAAATGGACCAGACATCAAGCTTTCGAAGCAGAGATTGGTGCTAATAAGGAACGTCTGTTGAACCTGCAGAGAGCTGGGGAAGAACTGGCCAAGGAAAAACCGGAATACGCTAGTGCGATCCAACCGAAAATCGAAGAGCTGGCCGATCAGTTTGACGTTTTAGAACAGACAACAAAGGAGAAGGGCGAACGTCTGTTTGACGCTAATCGCGAAGTACTCATTCACCAGACCTGCGACGACATCGACTCGTGGATGAACGATCTCGAAAAACAAATCGAAAGCGACGATACCGGCTCCGATCTTGCTTCCGTCAACATTTTGATGCAGAAACAGCAAATGATCGAAACGCAAATGGCTGTCAAGGCCAAGCAAGTAGACGAACTCGAAAAACAAACGAAACATTTGGAAACTGCCGCTCCCGACAAGGACATCAACGAGATCAAGGTTAAGAAACAGAAGGTCGAAGAAAGGTTCGAACTCATCAAGCAACCGCTGCTCGAGAGGCAAAGACTGTTGGAGAAGAAGAAGGAAGCTTTGCAGTTTAGAAGAGACGTCGAAGACGAGCTGCTCTGGATCGCCGAGAAGTTACCTCAAGCGTTATCAGTTGAATACGGCAACAATCTCTTCCAAGTCAACACGTTACAGAAAAAGAATCAGTCGTTACAGACAGAAGTCGATAACCACGAACGCCGTATCAACACTGTTAGTAATAACGGTCAAAAACTGATCGACGAAGGACACGAAGATTCAGCTGAATTCAGCAGACTAATCGGTGAACTGCACAAAGCCTGGCAAGAACTTAAAGATGCGATCGAGAAACGTAGAGAACATTTATTGAGAAACGAGAGAGCTCAACAGTACTTGTTCGACGCCAACGAAGCCGAAAGCTGGATGAGCGAACAAGAATTGTATATGATGGTAGAAGACCGAGGAAAGGATGAAACTTCTGCCAGGAATCTAATGAAGAAGCACGAAAGTTTAGAGGCGGCCGTTGAAGCTTATGCTGATACGATTAGGCAACTTGGAGAGACCGTCAAGGCTCTTGCCGCTGAGGGGCATCCGTTGGCTGAACAGGTAGCAGTTAAACAGTCCCAACTCGACAAATTGTATGCTGGATTGAAAGACTTGGCTCAAGAACGTCGTGCTAAACTTGACGAAGCCCTACAACTGTTCTTGCTGAACAGGGACGTTGGAGATTTGGAACAATGGATCGCCGATAGAGAAGTTGTAGCATCATCTCATGAACTCGGTCAGGATTATGATCATGTTACGCTGTTATGGGAGAGGTTTAAGGAGTTTGCTCATGATACCGAAACAATTGGAAGTGAGAGAGTTGCCGGAGTCAACGATATCGCTGATTCTCTCATCGCTGCTGGACATTCAGACTCAGCCACTATCGCCGAATGGAAGGACGGCTTGAACGAAGCATGGCAGGATCTGTTAGAACTGATCGAGACCCGAACGCAGATGTTGGCAGCTTCCAGAGAATTACACAAGTTCTTCCACGACTGTAAAGACGTTCTCAGTCGAATCCTCGAAAAACAAGTGGCCATGTCCGACGAACTAGGACGAGATGCCGGTTCAGTATCTGCCTTACAACGCAAACACCAAAACTTTATGCAAGATCTCCAAACGCTTCAGAGCCAAGTGCAGCAAATCCAGGAAGAATCTGCTAAACTACAAGCTAGCTACGCGGGTGACAAGGCTAAGGAAATTACGAATAGGGAACACGAAGTTGTATCGGCTTGGGCTAACTTACAGTTGGCTTGCGATCAACGCAGGGGTAAATTGGCCGATACCGGCGACCTATTCAAGTTCTTCAACCTAGTCAGGACGTTGATGCAATGGATGGACGACGTAATCAGGCAGATGAACACCAGCGAGAAGCCTCGAGATGTCAGCGGTGTGGAGTTGTTGATGAACAATCATTCCAGCTTGAAGAACGAGATTGAAGCTAGGGAGGATAACTTTACGTCGTGTATATCGCTCGGCAGGGAGTTGTTGAGCAGGAATCATTACGCCAGCGCGGAGATCAAGGACAAACTGGTCACTTTAAATAATCACAGGCAGGGTATGCAGACAAGGTGGGAAGAAAGGTGAGTTATAAGGATTTTTTTTAATCTAATGGATGTACGAAATTGGTATAATCAATTTAATTTTTGTTTTAAAGAAATAGTATGGTTTTACCTTCAACAATATTGAAATTGTTTATAGTTTGGGTTTCTCGTTTATGAGTAGAGGTCCAAAGATGCTGTTTTCTCATTACTTTACTACTTTTTTATGAAACTAAAGATGCTACACACAGATTTGTCCTGGCCCTCTTAGTTCCTGAAAATACAGGGTGAATTTGAAAATGTTGCATTTATCGAGTCCTATAGAGATTTCCCCTGAATTCTGCAGTGTCGCTATAGTCTGTCCAACGGCAAGATGATAGTGACAGTGATAGATATGTCTGCCATTTTAATTTGAAAGTAGTTTATTTTATTTTACAAAGAAATAAGTTGGTACAACTGGAACGCATAGCAGGAAATTAATATATTTACGGTACAACTGGAACGCATAGCAGGAATATTTAAAATTTGACTGATAAGTGATTACTTCAAAATATTGTGGAAAAAAACTGCATAAAACTGAAAAAAATGTAATCGAGTTATTTTATTAAAAAAAAACGGTATGTGTTAATACAAAACAAACAAGAATAAAACACCACATACCAAAAAAATGTAAAAAAAATATTTCTTACTCAAGAAAGTAAAAACCCGCATTTATTATTATATTTATCAATATAATTTATGTTCAAATACAAATTTGTCATATTCCACAGGAATAAATAAAACAACATAAATAAAACAAACTATTTTATTAATTATAACACTTACCAAATTTTATACCTTAAAGGTTGATTAATTAACTTTAATCTTAATTTTTTTAAACCAGTACCTTTTGACATTATTTTTCTGCAGTACTAAAATCCATTATTTACCTATCGTGTGATGTCGATATTTACAGCTACTCGAGTAGTATATGTTTAGTACGATCCTTGTACCATATACTAGATGCACTTATCTACGACGAGATGATATACAAACTTTATTGATGGTAACTTTATTGGTGTATAAGACTTTCTGCCTGGGCAGCGAGTGTTAACTATAAACTGTGCTCTGAGTCTACAGTTAATTTTCTCTCGATTGTTCCTCCACTTGACTTCAAAAGACACAAAACACACGAATAATAACGCGAATAATAACACACGAATAATAACGCGAATCAAAAGAAGAAATTCAAAAAAGAATCAAAATGCATCCTCTTCCAAAAAGCAGGGTATTTGACATAAATTGAAATAAAATTATAACTTATAATTTGGCAAGACTTTGACAAGCCTCAAAAATCTAAAGGCGAGCTCATACGCATCGGCGTTCGTTCGTCGTTCGTCGTTCCGTCACACCAATAAAATTGAAATACGATCTGTCATTTTTGAAATAAACCAATAAAACTGGTTAAAAACAACAAGATACGACGCATGACGGATTTATATTTAAAACCATCCATACTTAACTTAAAAAATATTAGAAACATTTTTTAGTAAAATAAATAGATTGGTATGGGACGTCATCTGCTTTTCTTCTGTCATGGTCTGTCGAAATCTTACCTGAGAAAAAAACGGAGTATACAAATCTGTCTGTATCATCTTTAGTTTCATAAAAAAAATAGCACAATAATGTAAAAACCCCATCTTTGTACCTCTACTCATAAACGAGAAACCCTGTAAGACACGAAAACGGGACCCTCTGTATATTGTAATTTATAATTCTAGATGGGAAAACCTGCAACTTATCCTGGAAGTGTACCAGTTCGCCCGAGACGCGGCCGTGGCTGAAGCCTGGCTCATCGCCCAGGAGCCGTACCTCATGAGTACCGAACTCGGTCATACCATCGACGACGTGGAGAACCTGATCAAGAAACACGAGGCCTTTGAAAAGTCAGCGGCGGCACAAGAAGAGCGATTTAGCGCGTTGGAAAGACTCACGACGGTAAGTAATGAAGGGACTGAGGTGTTTTGATGTTTATTGTCTTGGTTTGGTTTGGTTGGGATTTTTGTTGGTAGAAAAAAAATAGATCTTTTTTTCGTAGATATATACATATATATATTTTTTTGGTTTCAAAATTCGATGTACTTAAACAGCCGTTAAACTGTAGCCTACTAAAATGCCGTTAATAGATATTGTGACGTCGTTCATGTCGGCGGAAAGTAATGCCTGCCTATAAGCATTTTGCAAGAGCACCTGTGGCTCCGTGGCTGAGGCTATCCCTTCGTGAGCGCATGGTCCGTGGTTCAAATCTCACGCCGACCAAGACTTTTTTATATTTTTTTTGCTTATAACGTGATCTTATTGCATTGGTTTCACTCTTTTTGGTTGGATTGGTTTAGTTTTTTGGCGGGTTGGTTAACGTGGTTATTTGGAGGGTGTTAATTCATTGGTTAGTTGGTTATTTGGTGGGGTTGGTTGGTTTTTACTAATTTATATTTGTTTTTTATATTTTTTATCAGTGTCGAGGTTAGTTGCGTTGGTTAAGCTGGTTATTTGGTGGGGTGGATAGCCTTGGTTACTCCTTATAAAATTCCTATATTTCATAAAGCCCGTCAAGTGCGTCACATTAACGACGTCATACATATTAACGGCATTTTAGTAAGCTACCGTTTAACGGCAGTTTAAGTACAGCCTTCAAAATTGCGCAACCAAATTTCAGGGGGTGAAATTTCATGGAAAAAAGCTAATATGTATAAACATGAGTCCAGAAATGCGTAGTTTTAAGATTTTGGATTGAATGGGAGGGGAGAAGTTAATTACCGCGACAGGGTGTCCCAGAAATAAGTGCAAGTATTTTAAGTGGTGGTAGATCTCGATAAAAGAAACAAATTTTCTCTTTATCGTTTTTCAAATAAGTCCAAAATAACGGAGTTATTTTACTTTGAAAATTTAAAAAAAAAAGATTTTTTGTTAAAATTTTGAGAACCACTGGATCTTTTCTGGATTTTCTTTCTTCTAAATTTAAAGTAAAGATTTCAGTTAACCTCTCCTTTTTGCTGCCAGGGCTAATCTGGACGGAGCCTACTTTGTTTACGCGAAATCCGAACCGCGGTCCTCGGCCATATCATGGTCAATGGCCTACCGACTTGGCAAGTGTCTAAATCGACTCTTAGTCACGAGATATCCGATCTCATCCGGCCTCGAACCGGCGTGAATGAGCAGTGTGCGTCAATAGATTTTACACTTTTGCCTTTTTTTGGACAACAGCACGATACAGAGTTTCGAACCGGTCACCCGTCCATCCACTAGTATCGCCTTACGTCGCTTAACTTCGGTGTTCTAATGGGAACCGGTGTTTCGACGTAGCTGGGCCGTTGCCCTCTTGTAAATTTAATCTAATACCTATATTGCCATATTATCAAGAAATTATATTTTTGAAATAAAAACTAAAAAAATTTCCAAAAAAAATTTCGAATTTTCAACATTTTATTTTCGCGAAAAAAACCTCATAGGCGTGTTTCTGGGGTTGTACTATACTACCATTTGAAATACTTGCACTTATTTCTGGGACACCCTATTGTGCCCTCCTTTCTTGAGTTATAACTCATCATACAGTCTCAGGCTCAGTGTTGCCAACTATCCGAAATAGAATTTCCTACGAAGACGGTCAAAACTTCCTTTTTTTCTTAAATATTCCCACGATTTACTCAAAATAAATTATAGTGTCGTCGAGAGACAAGGGGGGCTTTCGTGGCTGTTCATTTACGCTTTTATCCGACGAACTTGATGAAGAAACATTTATTTTCTAAAAATAATGAGAGAAAATGCAATTTACCTGTGAATTAAAATGACAGACACGACTGTCACTGTCATGTATCTTTTCGTTGGACAGACTATAGCCGTCCGGCGATCTGGGCACTGCGTTGTGAGTCGTATGAGAACCGATGCACGAAATTTTATTTTTACCAAGTGAGAAATTTAGATGTTGCGATAGTGCGATAAAGCTGTACGCACACTGGTGCGATCACGAACTCCACGCAGCCGCGGTCAAAAGTTGCTGAAGAATACATATGAGCCGTTTCACATTGGCACGATCGAGTTTTGGAGACGAAGCGGCCAAAGCTCTATTCCTATTAATTGTGAAAAAAAATTGTCCACAGATATCCCCTTGAAATTTGGTAGTGCATTTTTCGAACACCCTATGTAGTAAAACTGCTATGACAACTTGTAGATTACAACAAACGTATTAAAAACAATACATATACGTATACATTTCGAAAATTAAATTCTTGTGTCATTTTTTTCTGTTTAATTTTGCTTTTTTCTTTTATACTACTTAATCACATTTATTTTAGCTGTAGCACGTTAAGATATTTTATTAAAGATTGCATTGGAACTGAAAGCTCAAGGTAACATTAAAAATAAGAGCTATATACTTTTATGGCGAGATTATAATACACACACCGGAAAAGTCTAGGGATATTACAATTTTATCCAGTCATAGTCGTCAGTAATTTTATTATTTGCATTTCTGATATAATAAAATTAAAATAAACAAATAGTTTACAGGACGTATTGGAAATAAAAATGCGAAATTTACCGAATTTTTCAAATTTACCTTGATTTTTATTGAACTCAAAAAAATACACACATTTTTTTTTATTCTAAACTGTGAATTAAAAAAAAAGATAAAACCATTTTTACTTAATAAAGGGTATGGCCTCCTCTACTGTTCATTACAGCCCTACATCGTCTCTCCATGCTCCTGATCAGGTTGTCGATCTCTTCTTGAGATACAGCCTGCCACGCTGCATTCACGGCCCGAACCAGATCCCTACGAGTTTCACGAGGCATACCCATTCTCAAAATTCTTCTTTGGACCGCGTCCCATACGTGCTCGATGGGGTTGAGGTCAGGAGATTGTGCCGGCCAGGGTAAGATTAATTGATGAGCATTGATAAACTCACTTACCACTCTGGCTGTATGAGGCCGTGCATTGTCATGCATGAGAATGAAGTTTCTCCCAAAATCAATGGCATATGGTAACACGACAGGCTCAAGAATTAAATCACGATATGTGATTCCTGTTAGAAACCTTTCAAGAAAAACAAGATCGGTTTTTCGGCCTAACTGAACTCCTCCCCAGACCATAACTGTTCCACCTTGATAAGGGTGCACTTCCTGAACATGATCCAACCGAATAAGATTTCCCGGTTCTCTCCATACCCTAAGCCTTCTCGAATCTGGATGAATTCCAAAGCGTGACTCATCCGTGAAAAGAACATTTGCCCATTGTTCATTCGATCACTGAACATGATCTTGAGCCCACAAATATCGTACCTCTCGATTTCTCTCGTTAAGGGTTGAGCTCTCCAGGGGCGTCTGCTTCTTAAGTTAACCTCTCTTAATCTATTGCCAACAGTGTCAGGACTAACGGTTACATTATGTGTTTCCTGGAGAATTAAACTAAGCTATGGTGCTGTAAGAGTCGGTCGGCGTCGAGCATTTAATTGTAAAAAATGATCTTGCTGAGGGGTAGTAATGCGATGTCGCCCTGTGTGCCTTTCAGCAACATCACCACTTTCACGGTACCGTGTACTTAATCGCGATATTACACTTTGCGTTGTATTTAATGCTCTAGCTACATCGATTTGGCGCATTCCAGCTTCGAGCATACCCATGGCCCTTAGCATTTCGTCTCTGTTAAGATGTCTACGCTCCATAATGTCGTTTAATACTAAACAGAGTTATTTGAATGAATTCTGGCCAGTTATCATAAAACATAGCCAGTACAGGTTAAATTCGAACAATTGATGGTCACTCTGTACATAAAATACAGGATGTCTTTCAAAACACGTAGTAGTTCTCTAGTAGGCTTTATGTATACGAAATATTAACACACACTGTTATATTAAATACCAAATAAACAATGCCTACTTTAATGAAATATCTTACATTTTTTTCTTGTAGTATGTAGTTTGACGCTAATCTGTTTTACTTTTGTGCATGGTTTTAGCTAGAAACAGGTGGTGGGAACCTCACGCAACTTCCTTTGCATGATCTTACTGTCTGTGACTTTTCCGTCGCTATCCCCAAATCGTCGAACCTCAAACCGGCCCCCACCAGACAACTTTCTCAAAAATACACCGCCGAACTGATCCGCAACATTATCCTGGACTCCGACAAATTTTACAGCACACGTAAAATATGCCGGAGAAAATTCACAGCCCTGGGCTGCCAGAAATACTATCCGGATTATAGCTACAACCCTAACTATTCGCAAAAGAGTTTTTTGCACGCCAGTTCATCGAAAACTAAGCGGCATTGTTTGTTTTTCGACGATCTTAAGGCCGTATGCGATAAGTTTATTATGAACGAGAGGCTGAGGGTTATTTTGGAGAACGGTAGCGATAAAAAAGTAGGGTCGGTGTTCCCTTTGAGGCGTAGCGTGGTGGCCAGTTTCGAGGAGATTTGGGGAAAGCCTTTTACCGAGTTTGTTAATTTCTCGGCAGAGTCGTCAGGGAACGACCGTTACGACAGAGACAACCTATCTATCGCTCGTGTCGCACTCGTTATAACCTAAAACAATAACACAACAATAACAAGACAGTGTCTGACCGCATGTTCCAGCTATTTATGAATGAGATGCTCAGTCTATATTTTATTTTAAGTCTATGGTATGTACCGTAACAAAAACTGCGTCCAGTTGGCTTAGAAATGACGATCGATGCCATTCCCCATGTAATTTTACATACAAAATGACAGCGATCTTCATTTCATAGCCCTCGCTGACGCCGTTTTTTTATTATATTGTATTAACGTAATTAAGTAACACAGAGTAATACAAAATGTTTGTTTTGTACTATCAATATTACAATTTATTTGTTACAATATAAGTTGACTCGTCTACTTAGAATCATTCTGTATTTTACTTGTAATTGATGTTATACAGGGTCTTTCAAGAGAAGTGCGAAAAACTTTAGAGTCGATTTTTTGTTGAAAATAAATATTCATAAAGGTTAGGTCGCCAGCTTAGGTTATTTTCACCAAAAAACCACCCCATCCAGTTTTTCGCGTTTATCTGGAAACATACCGTCCGAAAGTAGTAAAACATGTTTGTTCTTGTAGTTCGAACTGAGGGAGATGAAACGTAGACAAGAAGCAGCCGAAGCGGAGGAAAGAGCACGTAGGGAGAGGGAAGAAGCGGCGCGATTGGCGGCTCTGGAAGCGGCCAGGCCCAAGGAACTGGAGCAGCCGGCCACCGATAAGCCGGACGCAGGCGCTTCCGAAGAACGACCAGGTACGACTAGAATAGTTAGGTTAGGATGTTGGCGAGATGTAATGGGAAACGTCTGGTTGAAACAGCAAAGTATTATGGACAGTAAAATATAAGAGAATGTTAATACAAATTTACCACTATACAAAAACACAATACGTCGATCCGATCTGTAGCTACGGGGCATCCGTAATAGGGGAAACGAAATTTTCTGTTAGCTGTCAATTCATGGGCGTCCTAGAAATATTTTAAAGAACATAACTGACTTGTACAAAAATTTCAAAAATACCTAATCAGTTTAATTTTTTAAGAAACTTCCTGCATTTATTATTATATTTCTCAATATAATCAAATTCAAATAGTTTACTTACCCTTCTCTCTAAATACCAGTATACAAACCAAACAAAGTAAAAAATTAGGTAAAAGGGACTGTGTCGCGATTATAAAAAACCGATACACAAAAACATTAAATGTTTTTGTGTCGCACAGCCCCGCAGACATTCAAAAATATATAAATACACAAATTAAGTAATTATATAAAACAAAATACAAAAAATGCAATCAAACACAAGAAAAAAAAGAGAAGAAAGGGATGCTATCAACGGGCATGACCAGGGGGAATGCTAGGGCACCAGGGAAAGCTAAATCAAATCAAAAACAAGACCATCGCTAGTATAAAATTAAAAATTAAGAGGCGGCAAAAGCAGGCAGGCAGGTTAGTCACTCGTTTAAATTTCTAGAGGTTTTTTTTGTTCTTCTAAATATATAGACTTGACACTATTTACAAATTTCTCATACGAAAGCTCCCGAACGCTAAAAGATCTCTGAAATGCCGCAGTTCTGTGCTGGGAGACTTTGAAATTGTTTACATTTCTGGTAAAATAAGAATGTTCATGAGAATTGAAAAGTGAATTTAAATAGGGTGGTTTTCTGGTTTTTAAAACTTTGTAAATAAATGATAACATATGACATTTGCGTCGATTGCACATTGATAGTATAGAATTATTATTTAGCCTGCCAGATAATGAGGTTGTGAATTAATAATATTGCACCGGAATAAATAAAACACAACATAAATAAAACAAAATATTTTATTAATAATAACACTTTCTGAATCTTATACCTTAAAAGTTGATTAATTAACAAATCTTAATTTTTTAAACCAGAACCAGATCACATTATCTTTCTGCAGTACTAAAATCTATTATTTACCTATCGTGTGATGTCGTTATTTTACAGCTACTCCAGTTTTTAGTACCATATACGAGATTATATACAAACTTTACTGATGGTAAAAATTAGTGTATAAAACTCTCTGTCTGGGCATTGAATATTAACTATAAACCTGTGCTCTGGGTCTATAGTTAATTTCCCCCCTTTTTTCCTCCGTTTAACTTCAAAAAACACTAAACACACGAACCAAAATGCAAAAGCAATACGCAAATAGGTATTTGACACAAATTAGAGTCTGACAAGCTTTAAAAATGTTTTAATCTGGTTCCGCGTCCGTGCATCGTTCATCATTGCGTCACTCCAGTAACATTGAAATATGATATGTGATTTTTGAAATAAAAAATAGAGATAATAAAAAAACTGGTTAAAACAACAAGAGACGACGCACTAGTTAATTTAAAAAATATTAGTAACATTTTTAGTGAAATAAATAGATTGGTATAGACGTCATCTGCTTTTTTCTGTCATCGTCTATCGAAATCTTACGTGAGAAAAAAAGTATAGTATAGTTAGCAAGTTTTCTGAATGAAAGCTGGAAATTTTCTAATTGGTTAACGTTAGTCTTCACTTTTTGTGAGATTCTACTCACAGTCCGTAAACTGATATTGAGCGCAGTTGAAACATGCCATGACTACCCAAGGATACTATAGAGATAAGGATAGTTCGATTCCTATCTTCCTGCACTGTCAGTTTTTTTACGTCATCTACTGACCGAGTTGAAGTTGGCGCTAAAGATTTTAGACAGTGACAGTTATTTTTGCATTTGACGGACGAGCGCACAGTGCGTTGAAAGATAAATTTAGCGAGACAAAAGCGTTTGGTTAGAAATAAGCCAACAAATGTGTACTGATAAGAATAAATAGTAGACATTCCAATTGATACAAAAATGCATGAATAATCTTTGTATTTCGATACATTTTTATCAACCAAATTTGGTCGTTTTCTGCTCAGCAAGGCAGAGATCATACGAAAACAAAATATTCACAAGTGCTTATACATTTTATTAGAAAGCCAAATTATGTTGAAGATTGCCAAAGGTATGTACTTTTCTACTGTACGTATATTATTTGTTAAAATCCTTCGTGCCTTTGTTCTGCAGATATCAAACTTTCACTTTTTCTTCAAATATCGATATATTGAATGATGTAGATCTTTTGAGTTACCAATAGTTACCAACACAGGTAGTCACAGTCAGGGAGTTCAAGCTTAACAGCTGAATGCCCAAAAAGATTCATTTCAGTCGGAGAGTATAAAAACAAAACAACTCCATCAAAAGGCACTGAGTTTAAAAAATTGTCTTAGATATTTACTATATATGAATTTACAATTACCGAGTGTTAAAATTAAAATATCTATCTTATTTATTATTTTCAAAATAAAATATATTTTTTTTTAAATAAATTATAGAGGGTGTCACAAAAGAGTTTTTTGATATCATAATTTTATGTATTTGGCAATAGTTTACAATACGGTTTTTGTGTGTCATGTACGAATAATATAATATCATAGTTTTATTATCTTGTATTTATTTATTAATAAATTAAGTTGTTAATAAATAAATTTAACCATATAGTTGCTATATATTAGACCATTTGCTACGTTCTTAGATTTTAAGTCCCAAACATTGCTCTTGAGATTTTGTCCCGCTAGAATAACCATCAGCCGCACTGTGGAGCGCTGGTCAGCGCGTGACGTAGCATTCCACGGCGACTACGACAGCGGCGATTTGACGCGATCGAACAGTCCTTTAGAATATATACAGTCCTTGATGACTACCAACATAAAGCCCTGTTTATCGACCTATTCGTTTACTTGATGCGACAGCGTGCTGTCTATTTTTTACCGGGAGATAATATTATAAGAAAAAGGAAAAAGTCCGCTTTAAATTTAAACGAATTTTTATTTATTAAAAATTTATTTTTGGTAATAGTTTATTAATAAAGCTACTTAAGTCCACTACATAACTCAGTTAACCCATAAAATGTGTGTTTAATATCTCATAATACATGCAACATAAAATATAATACTTATTACTTTAGATAATATTATCGCACTCATACACATCGCGACATAAATTTCTATGACATTAGTGTATTGTAAGTGGTGTTGTAAAATGCCCGATAATTTATTTTTGGGAAATGTTTGATCTTCTGAATGTACGTACATTTTATACGTTGCTGTGGTATTATTTTGCTGTTCCAACTAAACCCAAACAATAATATTTAATTTAAAACATATAACTATTGATATTGAACTGCGTTAATTCTTAATTACAAGCAGCTTCGGTGCAAAGGTCTTCTATAAAGGCTGTATCTTCTGGTGAAGGTAATTGATAGTATTATATAAAAAAAATAAATGACAAATACAAAAAAAAGACAATATGTTGTTCTTATAACCGCTCCCTTTTTTTGTATTTGTTATTTGCAAAAAAGGTACTTTTCTATCTACTCTATCGCTAGATTTCTTTTCTTCATAACATTTTTTAACAACACTTTACGTGTAAATATGGATTACAGATGAACCAGCACAAATTAATAACACTTATTCTAATTTTTCACAATTATTTTGGTTGAGGTATGAATAACCCCTAAAAACGCTTCGATTAAAAACAACAGATACGAGAGTTTTAATAATGTAATTTTTGTGAGAGTTAAAAATTCTTGTTCTATCTGTTGCCTTTAATATCTTACTACTTTACACTTTTTTTAACCATCGGTTGTATGGGTTGAAATAACGAACTTTTATAAATTGGTTTAAATCTATTTTATTTCAGCCATTTATAACATAACTTTCGTTTTCATCTTTTTTATGGCATTCACTTAAGATTTGTCAGTCCTGTCACTTTTTTTTTAGTTAAAAACCGAACAAGGAGGTTTTGTTTTTTTGTGACAAAAGTATCACATATACAGGGTGAGTTTTCTACAATGTTCTCTATGGGTATCTCGGAAACTACTGGAGACAGAGAGTCGGTTAATTGGGAAAAGAATTGCAGGTTTGTTGGGTCATAAATATGCACCTTTCAGATTTTTGAAAAAGTTCATGGCTTGTTAGATATTTTGAAGAAAAAAAAACACATTTTGGCTATTTTAAAAATCGTCCCTAGTTCCATTATAATCTATTTAAGACAAGAATGTTTTGGATAAAAGTTGTAGTTAATCACATCCCTAATGAATTTGTGTTCTGCGATTTTTTCTAAAGTCTGTCATTTTTGACATATGACACAAACATATGTTTTTTTAAATGGAAACCATAGTTGGCCATGACTTCATAGAAAGCGCCATTTTTTAAGCTTTTCAGCGATGTAATTTATAATATGTTTTTTTTTCACAAAATTACTGAGTTATAGCTAATTCTTATCTTTCTTGGCTAATTTCACTTAGTTAGCCATGGAAACAAGTTCAATCGTCGTTGCTCTTAGAAATATGAAAGTGTCACATCCAAACTTTGTAAATTAAAATAAACAAAAATAATTGTAAATATGAATTTTTCAAATGAAGAAAAGCGTGTAGGATTATTGGTTCAACTTTTCTTGGCCATACAGTTTCGAGGATACGTTGACTGGTGAACGTTACTTACGTTTTTTAGAGAACGGTTTTCAAGACATGTTAGCAAGTTAAATTTAGATACTCGCGCATTAATAGGGTGCATTAATATAACTCATTATGACACCACCCCCCCACAATGAAAAAAATGTTAAAAATTATTTATATAGTCTATAAAATGAATAACTTTGAATTTTGACCGTTATTTTTTACCAACAGGGCAAATATAAAATCCCTCTGTCAAAAAAGTTACTGATATTCTTTAAATTGAGTGCCTGAATGAATCAGATAGGTAACTCTTTTTACTTTCGTGAAATAGAAAAGGAAAATAATAAAACAAGTGACAGTTCTTCCTCTTTTTGCAAAAATCAACACGAAATGTCATAATTGACAAAAGTAAAATGTCATCAGCTTTTGACATTTCTAAGTCGACCGGTCGTTCTGTGAGAATAGCTAGAAATTCAGTTTTAAAAAGATGCATTTATGTACTCAAAACAATGGCAGAATTTTTGAACATTTTCTAAAATAATTTAGTGTATGTAGTGATATTATTATTTTAAGTTTTAGTTTGTGTAATGTAAATTGTAGAGCCGTTTAATAATATATGTTGTTTTTTTATAAGTTTATCAAAACAAAATAAGAACACCATGCCAACTAAGTGAAATTAGTCAAGAAATATAAGAATTGGCTATAACTCAGTAATTTAAAAAAAAAACATATTATAGCTTATATCGCTGAGAAGCTTAAAAATGGCGCTTTTTATGAAGTCATACTATGGTTTCCATTTAAAAAAACATATGTTTGTGGCATATGTCAAAAATGACAGGTTTTAGAAAAAATCGGAGAACACAAACTCATTAGGGATGTGACTATTTACAACTTTTATCTGAAAACTTTTTGTCTAAAATAGATTATAATGGAATCAGGGACAATTTTTAAAATAGCCAAAATTTGTTTTTTTTTTCGAAATATCTAGTAAGCCATGAACTTTTTCAAAAATCTGAAAGGCGCACATTTATGACCCCACAAAATTGCAATTCTTTCCCCATTTAACCGACTCTATCTCCAGTAGTTTCCGAGATACCCATAGAGAACATCCTAGGAAACTCACCCTGTATATTTTTTCAAGTGTAGAACCTATTGCATTAAACAATTTAAGAATATTTTACTCATTTAGTACTTATTTCCCTGGTACTATTAATGTTTAAAACACATTCATTTTTTTCTGAAGTGGATGCTAATAATATAATAAATAATTATTAATTTAATACCATATTAAATTAAATAACAGGTTAGTTTTTTAAACTGTATTTCATAAGTTTTGGTAAGTATAAGTTTTTGCCATATCACAATATTTCTATTATAGTCTGTTCAACAAGAAAGTCCATTTTAATACACAGATGTCGTCTGTCAAAATCTTTTCTCATTCGTTGGACAGACTACTTGCTTTGCATAACGCTTATGAATTATGAACAATTCACATGGTTTTCTGATGCTTTTTGCAACTTTGCTTAAAACGCTTCATTTATTTTAAGCACCTTACAGTAACCTTTTTTTCTGCAATTAATATGATTTTTTGATTTATTGTACGGTGCTAAATCTTTATTTTGTTTTACGTTTCACAGGCTGTAACTTTTGTATTTTTGGACTTTTTATTATTCAAGTTAATAAACCTTTCACCCCTAGATCATATATACTTACGTGGATAAGTAAATCACTATGGAAACTGTCGCAAACATATCAACGACTACCATTTATCTTCTTTTTTTGTTGCACACGCGGTGCTTTTACTCTATCTATCCTTGTCCAGTACCTATCGTCCACGCGCCAAATTTGAACATTTTTGAATTTAATTTGTAAAATGCTTATATTTGAACAATAAATTGAATGTTTACAGTCACAAAAATTAAATTATATAAAAAATACATTTAGCCAGTCCGTACGAATATCAATATTCTTAAGAAATCTAACCAGAAAGAATGCATGTTGTTTAATATAAATAAAAGAACAACTGAATACTTTACTTGCCTATGAAAAGATAATTCGGGGACCTTTATATTAGAACTTCCACACACCAAACATTTTCTAGTCATTTTTACGAGTATTTAGAAAGTCCAACGAAAAAAAAATGGAAATATAATTGCACCCTATATATCAAATATTTTGATATTTTTAAAAGTTACATCCTGTGATAACATTTTATTTATGTTGTACATAATATACATAGAACCGACTCGTATTTGCATGTTGTGACTTGAACTAATGCATGAGCATGTTTCCTGTAGTGCATGGACGGCAACGGCAAACGCAAACACTACCGAGCACGTCCACACCACCCCAACCCAGTCCCAGGTCGAAGACAAGTAAGTAGTGTTAAGTGTTTTCTCATTTTTGCACCTCTTTAGATTTAGTGTACTTGCTTTTACTCTGCTTTACATTTTGAATGCTAGTGTTTTACGGTATCATTGAGACATAGCGTGATGTAAGTGTATATAATAGTATTTTTTTAGTGAGCATACACAGTTTGATAAGTTCAAATAATATACAGGGTGGTCCGAACTGTATTTCGGAAACTTCGGCAGCATATTCTGCAAATAAAAATAAGTAAAAAAGTTTGTATAAATGTATGTCCTAAAATGCTTAGTTTCAGAGATACAGGGTGTAGAAGTTTCATTTTTATTTCGATTTTTTCTAAATAATTTCTGAAGTAACGTCAATATTTGGATGAAAATTGGTGTCTGGGGGTTTTTTGACATGAGAAATTTGGGATTTTGATGTCAATATGACTCCTACTTGCAGAGGGCGCCACATACATATTTTTTAACTGGTTTGAATAGTAATAACTTTTCGTCCGTACCTGTTTAAACATCTGAGTAAAAAATATGCATTTACCACGTTCTTTGCGTAAAAAAGTCTCTTGGTAAAAATCGCTACGAGTAATCGTTCTCGAGATATTTAGAATCGAAATTATCAATACCCGTCATCGTTGACGTAAATTAAACATGTTGACGAAATAGTTATAAGACTGAAATAAATAATTTAATAAATTTATTTTAATTTATTATTTATTATAAATAATAAATGTAAAATAAATGTTTTTGTTCAACAGAAACTGTTTTATCCTCATTTTTTTGAAGAAAAAATTATGATTAATTTAAAAAAATAAGAAGTTCCCGAATTTATTATGTCAGCCAAATAACTATCTACTCAACATGTTTATTTTTTGTCAATAATGACATGTATTGACTATTTCCATTCTAAATATCTTGAGAACGGTTGCTCGTAGCGATTTTTACCAAGGGACATTTTTTACGTAAAAAATCACGGAAATGTATATTTTTTCATTGGGTAGTTTTATACAGGTACGAACGAAAAGTTATTACTCTTCAAAACCGTTAAAACATATGTAGGTGGCGCCCTCTGCAAGTAGGAGTCATATTGACACCAAAACCAAATTTCTCATGTAGTCTCAAAAAACTTCCAGACACCAATTTTCATCTAAATATTGACGTTGCTTCAGAAATTATTTAGAAAAAATCGAAATAAAAATGAAACTTCTACACACTGTATCTCCGAAACTAAGCATTTTAGGACATCCATTTATACTAACGTTTTTACTTATTTTCATCTGCAGAATATGCTGCTAAAGTTTCCGGAATACAGTTCGAACCACCCTGTATATAATCATAGTTTAAGCATATTTATTGTATAACAAGACTAGGCTACTATTACACTATCAAATTTCTTTGTCAAAGATTTTATTTAAAAGATATTTTATGAAGAATTTGAAATGTAAAATTCCAATGATTCTAAAAATATCGATTTTAGTTTATATTATACTGAAAACAGATTTACGATTTCAGTACAATCTCGTTTTTGTACAAAAATATTATTATTTGAACTTATCAACTCTGTTGTAATATCGAAATATTTTCTGTTGATCATATGACATGCTTTTTGAATATTTTTGATAAAATACAGAGGGTAAATTAGCTCAAGTGATAAGTAATTTTTCTAGATTTTTAAGAAACTAAACTTCAGTTTCAAAAATGTTTTGTTCTATCTATGACCCTTTATATTTTATATATTTTTTTTACAGTATGGTTTTTGAAGAACTACATATAAATGCATATATATGACAATTTCTATTAATAATTTTGTTATAAAAGATTTGTTTTAGGTGACGTGCATGTTTAATGTTATTCAGATTTGTGCATTCCCTTTTTGAATTAAAAAAATCGTTTAGAAACATCTATTTAAAATTACTTTTATTTATATTAATGTAAAACAATATTCAAATATAAACCATACTGTATAAAATAAACTAGACGCTTCGTATATTTCAAATGTCATGATTATTTATTATTATTGTTTAGTATGCATATATAGTATTTCCGAAGTCAATTGGAAATAGTGAGACCCTTAAGTTTTTTATCCAGCCGACGCGCGACGCCGAGAAAGCCAATGCCCAGATTAAGAGTCCCTATCTATTCCAACTGACTTCAGACCAACTGTAATACATGGTGAATTAGAAGTATTAGAAAAAACTGGCATCTTGTGGAAAAGTTATTTAAAAAAATTCGCTATTTGGCTACTGAAACCGAAATCTAAAAAAATAAGACATATTTTTTTCGAAAAATGTCATTGCCTTAGAATTCTAACGGAAAATAGTTTGTCAGTGATTTTTTGTTGTAATTGTTGGAAAATTTGCCTAACCAACAAAAACGCTTAACGTGTCAGGTAATCTTTCTTCGTTTTCAGAACAAAAAAATCTATTTAAAATCTCTATATAAAAAAATGCTAGGCGTTTTGAATGAAAAAGTATTTTAAAAAATATATACTTTATTTTTTACATTTTCCTTTCAGTATTGAAATATTCCGAGTTTTTTGGTCTAGAGAAAGGTATATTTTAATTTCAACAGTTAAAAATAACTAGACAAAAACTTGATATGGAGTCTAAATAAAAGATTTCTGTAATATTTATATTTTTCAATTCTAATACTTCTAATAGCAGATTAAAGCCCCGTCCACATAACGTTTTACCTTACGTACTGTTTAGTCAAAACTGATCAGGTGAAACCTGCTTGTATGTAGACAAAAAAACGGACTTAACTTTATATGTCAAGACATAATTTGAGTAAACCTATATGATGTAGGCCCAAGGGATATCAGGTAAATACATGGCGTCGACCTATATAGTTGTTGGTATAATGTTTTTTAAATATACAATATTAATTAAACAATTAAAGTCGGGTCGACGCAACTTGATACATTCAAGGCGAAGTTCGTCGCGGGCATTGGCAATGGAAATATACTGCAAACTGTTTAACTACGAAATTGCCGATGGCCGCGATGGTCAAGACGGATACAAAAAAATGCATGCAGAAAGGAGCGGCTGGTCAGATAGTTCGTGAGACCTAAGTAGTCAATAGTCGATAGTACTGAAGATAGTTTGAAGTCAACGATGTTCCAATCTATCTCGTAAGTATTTCTGTAAGTCTTGACATTCTCTAAATTGTTTTTAAATCAAATTTTTCTATATTTTTTAATTATTCTGTTGTAATTTAATAAATAGACTTTTTTAATTATCTTGTTTTAATCCAAAGAACACATGGAACTGGCCTAGCCGAAAACTCCCAACGGTAGGGTGCGACATGTGATGGAGGCGCCTCCACCACATGGTGCGATTGTGTGATTGTAACATCGTTGCCTTCAATTTATCTTCAGGACTATTGACTACTGACTCTTAACTAGCACAATCTGATTAGTCGCTCTCTTCTGCATGTATCTTTTTATATCCGCCTTGATCATCTATGGCAATTACTTACATATTGTAATCGCAAAACATTTTCCGATGCACGTCATCAATCATATCGACATTGATAATCCTGACTAAAAGAAAAAACCCGACTAAATGAAATTTTGGCAAAAATGTTTAAATTTATTGTATAATTTAAGATACCGAGCAGCTCTTCATTTTACTTTATAGAGCAAATGATTGTAACAGATATTTTATTTAGATTAAAGCTGCAAAAATTAGTTTAAACCGAATTTTATTATCGCTATGTTGGTCACATTGCGCCGTGTTCAGCAATGTTGTCCTTTATTATTTGACAATTATCCTAATGTCAGTCATTATTTTGTATAATATCGTGTTGTTGTTGAATCTTTGTGAGCAATTCTCGTTTTTTTTGCCTATTTTAATAGTCTTTTTTTAAAAATTACACTTTTAAGCACAAACAGTTCTTTGAAGAACTAAATTCTCGAGTTTTTGTACTGCATTTATTGAAATCGTGTGTTGAAAATATGCCGAAGCATTTAAACAGTTAAAGCAAAGAGCTTGTAGCTTCCCTGTTTTTTTTAAACTATTTTGAACGAGAACGTGACAATAAAGGTCCTTTATTACCCTTGACTGCAGTCAGAAAAGTAAGTTTGATTGATAAGCACATTATACCACTTTCAGAGTTAGTTTTTATTTAATTCCGTGAGTATTAGTTTGTGCATTAATAGCACCCTCTTACTTGTTATTACCACTTATGGCGTTGTAAGATAGTATAGATTCGTAGTAAGATTCATCTTATAAATCCATCACAATCTGGCAGCGCTGTCCCCATCGCTTGTCACTCACAGTTGATCGCGTACATCGGAAATTGTTTTGCGATTACCATAGTTAAAAAGTTTACTGTATAAATGCCGATGCCCACGACGAAATTCGCCTTGAATTTATAACGACCTACCCTTTAATTGTAATTTTGGTTAATATACAGTGTGGTTCGAACTGTTTTCCGGACACTTCGGCAGCATATTCTACAGATTTTAGAGAATTTTTTTAGAATTTAGAATGAGTGGGAGGGGGGTTAATCACTTCGACCTTACAGATCCATTGTGTCCCCCTTTCTTGAATCATAACTCATCATACAGTCCCAGGGCTTTGACAAAAGCCAGTATCTGGGACGGTTTTATAGAGGGTAGTTCTCCATCTCCAATATCAGTCGTACCAAAATTCATGGCACGAATGGTTGTCGTCTCGGCGCACTTAGTGATGAGGTGTAGTGGTGTTTTCCCATCTTCCCCACAGAATCTGCATTCGCCGTTTCTTCTTAGTTTCAATCTACTGAGGTGTTCATTGAGGAGACAGTGTCCTGTTAAAAACCCCGTCACAATCCAAAGGTTGTTCTTACTTAAACCCAGGAAGATCTGTGATTTTTCTTGATCATAAGCCCCCAGAAACTTCTTCGAGTGTCTTAGACCGTTGCAAGATTTCCATTCCAGGTTGCGGATGGAATCTTCCAAGTTCTTGAGTTCCGCCTTGAGTTGGTTACCACTTGGAAAGCAGAACGGTTCTGGTCCAGTTAGTGGAGTGTTCGCTCCTTTCCTAGCTAGATTATTTCCTTTTTCATTGCCTTCTATCCCTTGGTGAGCAGGCGCCCAGGGTAGGAGGACTTTGTTTCTTTGCCTAATTTATTCAGCTTCTCTATGCATTCTTTGACCAATTTCGAATGGATTGATACTGAGTTGATCGCTTTTAACGCTGCTTGACTATCAGACAAGGTGGCTATTTCTTGTTTCCGATAGTTCCTATCTAAGATAAGTTGTATGCATCTTTCGATAGCGTAGATTTCTGCCTGTAGGATACTAGGGTAAGTGCCGATTGGTTCGGAGTATTTAGCTCTCGGCCCAAACACTCCGATCCCTGTTCCCGTATTGGTTTTGGAAGCATCAGTATACCAAGTTATGGTATGGTCTTTTAACTGCTGGGCAAGCGTTTCGCTCTTCCAATCCTTTTTATTGCTCAATACTACATGGAGATGTTTCTCAAAGTTGTACGTTCTTAGCATATCGTCCACTGGGAGTTGCAGGAGTGGTATTTCCTTTATGAGGGTGTTCCAAGCCCCTGATCTGACAATTCTCCCAGTACTAATTCCGTTAGTGACCATTCTAATCATTGTCGCATTGGCATATCTACCAATGACAATGTGCAGTGGTGTTAGATCTAGAATGACCTCCATTGCTGCTGTTGGACAGGTTCTCATGGCTCCTGTGATGCAAACACATACTGGACTTTGCATAGGTTTAGCCTTGCCGTCCGTTGCTCTAGTTTTGTGTACCAGGCAACTGCTCCATTATTCTACAGATAAAAATAAGTAAAAAAGTTCGTATAATTGCATATTCTAAAATGCTTGGTTTCGGAGATACAGGGTGTAGAAGTTTCATATTTATTTCGATTTTTTCTAAATAACGTCATCCAAATAACGTCAATATTTGGATGAAAATTTATATCTGGGAGTTTTTTGCCTTGAGAAATTTTGATTTTGATGTCAAAATGACCCCTACTTATAGAGGGCGTCACCTACATATTTTTTAACTGGTTTGAACACTAATAACTTTTCCTCCGTACTTGTACAAAACTACCGAACTACCGAAGGGATGGTTCTACAAAGCAAATAGGTAGAACCATCCCTGGTAGTAGGTAGTATGCTTGGTTCTACAAGCATACCAGGTATAACCAATTCTTGGAATATCTATTAAAATTTCCATTCAATAATTACAAAATGTTCGGAGAATAATTATTTCGAATTTATACATGGCTTTGTAGAATCGGCCCTAAGTATTTTAGGACATAGTGCGGCCAAAGTTTCCGGAATACAGTTTGGACCACTCTGTATAATTGTTTTTATAAAACATAACTAGATTGACGTCGTACAAGTAACTGACATTTCTTGGGCCTACATCTTTGGCCTACATCAAAGTAGTTTACTGAAATTAAATTTTTATGCTTTTTTATATATGAAATTAAATTGATATAATATGTAAATCCAAGTCGGTTTAAACTTTCGGTCTTTACTTTCAATTTTATTGAATATATTTTATTATCCTTACTAAGCGACTTTTAAACATTTAATAGGTACGCTAGTCTTTAATTAACCCTTCTTTGTATAGTCTATAAAATGAATAACTTTGAATTTTGACCGTTATTTTTTACCAACATGGCAAATATAAAATCTCTCTATCCAAAAAGTTACTTTACTTTCGTGAAATAGAAAAAGAAAATAATAAAACAAGTGACAGTTCTTCCTCTTCTGGCAAAAATCAACGCGAAATGTCATGACTGACAAAAGTAAAATGTCATCAGCCTTTGACATTTCTAAATATCAGACCAATGCCGTCTCTAATAGAACAGCCTCGGAGCGAGATTTATGACGTCACGCTAGTTAGATACCACGGTTTAATAAATATGTTGTAAAATACATGGAAAATATAATTATTCCTCGTATTTTTTGGTTTGTATTTTAAAAATGATATAGTTTACATGAAATATACATAATATACAGTTAATAAATACAATATATATATATATATATATATATATATATATATATATATATATATATATATATATATATATATATATATATATATACCTATTTATAGTAATATTTGCTTTGGCATACAAATGCAGCAAATGTTTTACAATATACAAATAATGAATAGGTACATATGATAATGGGTAAAATGTAAAATATATTCTAAATTTTGGGTTTGAAAATCAATCTAATTCAACAAAAAATATTCAATATCTACTAATAGTGATATATTATTATGTCCATTCAGAAAATTTATATGTATATTTTGCAAGCATCAATGTTCGAAAAATTATATATTTGCAAATAATACAATATCATAGAAAAAAAGCGTCAGCGATGGCTATGAAATAAAGATCGCTGTATATATATATATATAAACGTATTACGTTTGATGTATTAACGTTTTCTATATTTTTTAATTATTCTGTTGTAATTTAATAAATAGACTTTTTTAATTAAAAATGATTAATGTATTAACGTTTGTGTAAAATTATTCTAAAATTTTTGATTTTCTTGGGATTTAGGTTCGGGAAAAACGCTGATTAAGTTTTTATTTGGTTTTTCATTATTTTTTTTTCCTTTAAAAAAACGTTATAGCTAACGTTTATAGCCTTTATCAGTGTTGTGTCATATGAAAAAAATAGTGTCGAATATAATCCAAAAAATTACATATACGAGGAACAATTATGTTTTCCATGTATTCTACAACATAATTAATCCGTAGTATCTAACTAGTGTGACGTCATAATCTCGCTCGGAGGCTGTTCTATTAGAGACGGCATTGCATCAGCATGGCCGCAAGTTGTTAACCTAATAAAATTTACACTAGAAAAGCCCGCGGGAACTGTCAAATTCAAAGTTATTCGTTTTACAGACTATACCTGACAGATAAAACGATACGTCTAGACGGGGTTAAGACGGAAGACAGTCTAGAGAACTGCCGTCAGTTTTCTCGGCGGTCTTCTGTTTTATCTGACATGTAAAACATGACGTGCAGATGGGGCTAAATACCTGCCTCACCATGTATGTTGCAACATATTTCCGTATCGTTTGTGTCCGTTGACGATGTCGCTTTACATGTTTTGCCTTGTTTTTTTGCATCTTTCGTAAAGTGTCCCGTTCGGAGGAGAAGGCTAAGCGCAAAGATCGTTCGCGTAGCAAGTCGCCCTTCCGCAGCTTCAGGTGGAAAAAGAGCTCGCCCAAAACACCGTCCGGATCGCACAGTGACGACGAGGGTGTGCACGCAGCTCGCCAAGGTATTGGTTCAAAATATGACAGTCCTGTTCCCAGGATAGTTGTCAATAATACGCAATTATTGTTTCATATCATTTCATTTTCACAATTTTTTCGTACTAAAATTTTATTTATACAAGATCATATTATACAAAAGTGCGTCAGGTATTGTTTGTATCGTTCAAAGTCACGTCATATATTGTCGAACCAAGGATATATAGAAGAAGGATATTCAACTCCCTATAGCGGGCTATGTTGGAAAATATGCCGTATTTTGTCGAGGAAGACGATTTCGTCACGACCAATGAGCGTCGAGTATTTGAAATTGAAAACATATAAATTGACGGTAACCTATGTTTTTTGACTCATTTCACTAACAGATGTGATGAGATTATTATTGTAATTTATAGATCCAAACGTTTTTTGAAAAAAATAATGTATTTTAAAGTTATTTCCTAGAGTTTGGTTTGGCCTTCTATATTCTGGTATTTGTCTACTAATAAATAATATCTTATTTTGTATTTCGATGTATGGAAATCCGCAAGTTTTGTATTTGAAGCCGCAAAGAAATTTCGCTCTATAGTGAGAAAAATGTTATTATATCTTTTTAGACGTGTAGAATTACAAAATTTCTTATTTCAGATGTTCTAAATGTGAGTGCATGTCAAAAATTTAAATATATACTTGAAATATTATTTCAAGTTATATGCTTTGACATTTTTTGGAAGTAAACAAATATTGAAGAAAGTGTTGTGCCTTCACAGAATTTAAATTAGCGTTAGGAATAGATTTCCTTGATTTAGTAATGATATTGCTCGTAGAAATTGATAATGTGAAGAATCACAATACAGGAACATAGAATAACAAGAAAGAAATTCTAGTAGCAAGTTAGGTTACGAGATAAATTTTATTTATATAGTTTGTTTAAAGAGTTTAGTTTGAAAAAAAGGTAAAACAATTATTATTGTCCAGGTCATATTTGATAACTGTTGTTAATTGATAACATATTACAGGGACACAGTAAAAAGACAAAACATTTAAACCCTTTGAAAGAGAAATGTTTGCAATGGATATTAATAAATTCTAGCCAATTTGTACAATGTACAATGCAGGAAATATTTCTGCCTCCTAACGCACTATTCGCGTAAAAGAAGATGTGGGTATTGTATTTATAGGTAGTTAATGATACATGGAATATATTTCTATATTATTGCAATAACGATGTCTTTATGTTGTATTTTTTTAGAACAGATTTATTATTAGTTGGCTAGTGTGTTAGTAGGATAGCCATTGGTAGTTATAAAGTATGAAGTCAGGTATTAATAATAGGAATTGATCAAAGCTTATACATTTATTGTGATATTTATATTGTGAATTTAAGTAGTTAGTTTTGGTTGTTTAATAAACGAATTAATGTGCTTATTGTGTATCTAATTAAAAGAACAATGAAAAGTTGAATACCATAGGGGTACGTATGTTATACAAAGAATTTGCATCAACATTTTTTTGGTTATATACTTGTACTGATATTTGTTTCTTGAACTAAAGAATTATACAGTACCTACTACACAATATAATAATCTGCAGCTACATAGGTAGGTAGCTGTTGGTAATTAAATTTTTTATCTAATATAATATCTAACATCAGAAATATTGTTAATTATCAACTATAAACAACTAAGAACTAGAATTATCAACTATAAACACAATATAATATACTGTATCTTAAGCAATATGTAATTATTTAACAATTATTTTTTTTGGGAAATAAAAACTGGTACTAAATTCTTTTTGACTATTTAATTTCTAAGTCACAAATAATGGTGGACAAATAGCAAGAAAATTATACAAGTAAAACATAATTTTAACTTATTTCTCTAATGGAATTTTGGTATTGATCTACTTAGTAGGATATGCAGTTTATCATATTTTTGAATATTTATATTCAATATTGTTCAGGAACAGCCCAATTACTCTGAAAAAAAAATATATGGTCAAATTCTTTGAAAAGAAACTTTTAAAATCAGTAATGATAAAAAATATATAATTGTTGTATAGCAGAACCGGGGGACACAGAATTAGGGGAATTAACAATAGATTATTAAAAACTGCCTTCTCTTAAAAAAGTAGTATTATATGCACTTAGAAAGACTATAAAGGATATAAATACGCATAGAAAGAAAGTAAGTATCTATACTACTGATATACTATAACTATACATATATGAATACGATACCTACAGTATACAATATTACTAGTATAAAAATAACAGCACAGTCGGCACACTTCAAAATAAAAAAGCAGCATAATATTCAGGTATGTATATAAGTAAAATTTTCTCAAAAATATTAGAATATGAAATAAATTGCAACTAAATTTTAATTAATAAACATAAACAAATAAAATTGTCAGTGTTATTAAAACTTTATGCAAATATATGTTACCTTAATACTTTGTCTTTAATCCTACTCTTCTGACATGGCTTTTCAAACTTATCCCCAAATCTCAATTCTTGTTATTAAAAATAATATTTATGAACTTTTGTTTCCATATTAATTTCAATATATTTGAATAAAACTGGAAAAATAATCAATATTGGCACTTAAAATTTTAATTTCTTGTCGTTAAATTATTTATATCGTGTTATACATAATACTTACATAAATATTCAATTTAAAAATAGAACGAGTGAATATAAAATAGTATATTATCAATTTCTATGAGCAATATCATTACTAAATCAAGGAAATCTATTCCTAATGCCAATTTAAATTCTGTGAAGGCACAACACTTTCTTCAATATTTGTTTACTTCCAAAGGGCAAAGGGTATAACTTGAAATAATATACCAATATTTCAAGTATATATTTTAATTTTTGACATTAAGCACTCACATTTAGAACATCTAAAATAAGAAATTTTGTAATTCTACGCGTCTAAAAAGATATAACATTTTTCTCACTATAGAGCGAAATTTCTTTGCGGCTTCAGATACAAAACTTGCGGATTTCCATACATCGAAATACAAAATAAGATATTATTTATTAGTAGACAAATAACAGAATATAGAAGGCCAAACCAAACCTCTAGGAAATAACTTTAAAATAAATTATTTATTCAAAAACGTTTGGATTTTGGATCAATAAATTACAATAACAATCTCATCACATCTGTCAGTGAAATGAATCAAAAAACATAGGTTACCGTCAATTTATATGTTTTCAATTTCAAATACTCGACGCTCATTGGTCGTGACGAAATCGTCTTCCTCGACAAAATACGGCACGTTTTTTTTGGGCCAGTCGAATATCCTTATTCTATATATCCTTGTGTCGAACTCACAACTCGCTTAACAACTAGATGAAAAAGAATAGTGCAATGGTTACGGCATTTTGTAAAGTAATCCACATTGTTTTTAGTAATTGTCATTTTATTTGGGGTTATAAGCTTCATTCAGAACCCGCAATTAGTGGTTTCAATTAGCGTAGGAGATTGTTCCTTTAATTTGTAGAATGTAAGTATTCAGAACGTCAAAATTAGTGGTAGGAATTTTCAATTAGTGGAAAAAGTTAACAAATTTTAACTACCTACCACTAATTATACTTCAAAATTTGCAACGAATGTCATTTTGGCCCATAGATAAATGAAACAAGTTTAGATTGGAGAGTGCCCATAAGGACAATGTAAACACTATATGGCGCTATTCTTGCAACGGTCGCGACCCAAAACTTTTGATAATTTCGGATCGGTTCGGCTTTTTCCGGAACCATATTTTCATTATATTATAGTTTATCTAAAAGCCACACTTGATTGTGGATAGAAAAATGTCCAAAATTTTACTGAAAAACACTTTTCTTAACAAAATAACAAAGAAAATTGAGACGAATTGAATGGAATGGAAGTTTGACATTTCATATATCCTTCTTTCTCTCTCCTATGTAATGAGAGAGACAAATATATTCTAGACCTAGTCCAGAAATTTGAAAATTTACAACGTTGCCATATCTTCTATTTTTTCGGGCGATTAGGCATTTTAAATAAATTACCTATTATGAGATCTGACAATAGTTAAATAAAATACCTACCTATATCCACAAAGTTACGTGGAAGAGTTTTGATTGCATTGGTTTCAAGTTCTTTGCGGAGGGGTTAATCTTTTTTTGGTATAATACAACAACAAAAGATTAACACCCTCCGCATGGAAGTTGTAACCAATGCAATCAAAACTCTTTCGTGCAACTTCGTGGTTATAAATAGTCAGATCTCGTTGGCAAAATAGCAGTTATGGGAAGGAGCCGTTCTTCTGGCGACCGCCTTTCGCAATCCTATAATGAGCGAAAAAACACGCTAAATTTAGGTTTAGCATTGGCAACGTTGCTTTAAATGCCAAAAACACATAACCCAACATTTTCAGATTGTTTACAAACTTATTTTAGCAAATTTCTATTATGCATAGAATTGGTTAAAAAAGTAACAGAAAATAGCAAAAACATCGTTGTTTATTGAATACCTAACAAAATATGTGATAGAAAGCCTTACAAATATGAGAAATTAAGAAAAAATCGATGGTTGAAATAATTTTTCGTTTTTCTGAAAAACGGTAAGAGACCGCCAGAAAAAAAGTACAGATTCGTAATCTACGACCTCAAAATAGGGTGTATACCAATTTTGGTGAAAATCGGACGATTTCCAGTTTTCCCAATAATTACCGTTTTTTCATTTTTTTTTTCAATTTTATTTTTAAAATAGGTACGATTTACCTGGAAAAACTGGTATATGCGCCTACAGTAACAAGGTTAAAGACAATCAAAATGATTAAATGCCTAACATACCTACATGAACTTAATAAAAACGGAACTCACTCAATTGATAATTTCAGAACGTGCTTAAAATTTTCTAAACAATACGAACTGATCTCAGACACACCCTAAAATGCAAATTTGACAAATAATGATGACGTAACGTTGAACGATCGCTGCATATACAGTAACTTATTTAAGATAAAACTCTGGATAAATAAGTGTACTTCTATCTATAGAAAATTAATTATGGAAAAATCTAATTGTTCATTGAATGTAAAAATATGTAAGTACTCTTCTGGGAACATGATGTTTACGTTACTATGAAAAAAATTAACGATCAGTATTGAAAAGAATAAGCTTTATTAATTTGTGTAAAGTATATTTTTACATTGGAGGGTTTTTGTTCTGAAGAAAAGAAGTTAGTTATGTGAGAATGATTTTAGGCAAATTTTTTTAACTGTTTTGTATAATATATTTGAAATTTGTTCTGTTAGAAGCTTCAAGTCCCGACGAAGATGGTTTTGAAGGACACTTGGTTCGTAAACACGAATGGGAGAACACAACTGTCAAATCAACAAACAGGTCGTGGGATAAGGTAAATATGATTTATAGTAAACATATACAATTATATAGGAATATATTTAATCTTGATACAAGAAATGTCATGAGGATATATTCAGTGAGGTCAAGATCTCACTGAAAACCTATTCCAAAATTATACGGGGTGTAAGTAAATGAATGCAAACAAAATTCAGCAACTTATTGCTTTTTAAAAATAAACCGGAACATTTTGATTTGATATTTTTTTATATAAGTTATTTGCTTATGTAATAGGTATATAGGGTGGTGACAATTTCGATGCTCAAGGGATGCCAAATTCGACAAATACTCATTGAGATGCCAATGTTGAGCATTGAAATTGTCACCACCCTGTACAATCTCAGCTTACTTAAATTACCTATTTTTGCAACAATTTTATTTTTTCATTGTGCAATGAAAAACCGGAAAATTAAATCTGAAAATCAAAAGTATTATTCTACTACATCTGATTATATGATCTTTTTTTAATTGCAACCGGTTTACCTAGAAATGAGAACATAGTTCAGTGACCTCATCTCATTTTTATTCTCAAACAATTTTTTCTGAAGTAAGTACCATCTGTTACCAAGTTTTCAGAACGCTTATTTTTCAAATAATAATGCAATTGTTAGAATTTTAAATTGATGTTGCAAAAAACTACATAACCTTATACCGTATGTTTGATAAATTGATTTTTATATACCGGGTGTGTCTCAAAAGTGGCTCACCCGCTCACCCCTATAACTTTTTAATTTTTTTCAGATAAAAAAACGAGATTCGTTATGTTAGTATATTATGACATAAATTAGGATTGATTGACGGTATCAGTTCTTTTCGGCCGCTTTCTGTTTCACCGGAAATGATTACAACATTTGATTTTTAATTGGCACTCTCTGTATTTTTTTACTTTATTCAATAGAAAATGACGCTCTGAATAGAATGACATATCATATGTCAACTTTTGACATTTTCACTTAAAACAAAATTGTATTTTAAATTTTAATCTAGAATGCTCATTTTTAATCAAGGAGCCTTGGAAAAATAGATTTGATCGTCTAATGTTTTTAGTGTCTTGTCCTGGCTGGTTAAAAGATGCCCAAATCGTATTTTTAATCATATCTCGATTTTTTCAAATGGAACGAGGGTGGCTCATTAGCATATTTGGAACAAGCATTTTTTTACGAATAATTTGGTACCACATACTTGGTATTTCGGGTCAAATTTTCGTTATGAATCGCATCCCAAGTAGCATTTGGATGTCACTTAAAATTCGTCGCCAAGCACTTACGTTACGTTTGGTTTCATATTCGCTACCAAGAATACATAAAAACCTAACCAAACTACCTAATTACAAATGGATTCATAATCACTCCTCGAATATAACTATAAGTGCCTACCTAATTTCATATTATAATAATTCTGAATCATTAATCCAGACATCAGTTTTGTCAACGGAAGTCACTTTTTTGATATACCTGATTAAAATACTCCGGAAAACAACGAGCGCCTTCAAAATTAGGTAGATTTATGAAATAAAAACATCTATAAAAAAGTAACTCGCAAAATATTTTTTATTTTCTAGTTGGTTTAATCATAAAACTGTACTGTGGTTCCCCCCAAACTCAACCTTATCAATATTATTTTACTAGAAATCGGAATGTGAATATAAATTTTAAAAACAAAAAACGATTTTAAAATGGCTGACAATCGGATACTTGTTAAGAATGGCGGATTTCTGTGTCCGACTTAATATGAACTACCAATATACCAATTCCGACCGGGTTTCCAACATTAGTCGTCTCACACGACCGAAGTCATCAAACCGGACGACCGGCCAATCGTATTATGACGTATATAATTCCAACGTACGCCACGTAACCTCACTTTGCGTATCAGTGATTTGTGGATTTGTGCAACTATATTTTAGTTTTTGTTTTCTCCTTAAAAAAATGGGTAGCCACTTTTTTAAGATAGTATATATACAAAATTTAAAAGAATTGGAAGGAGTACCTCACATGTGGGAGGAGGATGGGGTCTGCTGGTTTCCTAAGCTAAAAATAGAATTAAGATGCACCAGTGTAATGCAGCATCTCTTCCGGATAAAAAGCATTCGTGGGTGGAGGCAAGACATTACTACTACTATTATTATTTTGTAAAAGCCTCGACCTCTTTCTGTAAAATGTAGATGAATGTCTAAATGCCTTTTTAGTGTTTTTTAGGCATAATAAAAAAAAAGTTTGTTTACAAAAACTTTTAATTAGGTTATGTTCAGGATGTTCATTAGGCCGCAAATGCTACTTAATGTGTTGTATTTACGGACGTAAATAGAGATACGTAAATTAGGTTATAAATATGAACATAAAATACAACAAAATATAATTGGACGTTACTTTAGGGATTATCAGTGAGACGTATCCTATTCGGACAACGGGTAGACGTCGGGCTAGTTCAAGTATATGTACGTCGTGCAAGCCAACGTGGAAACGACGTTGGGAAATTAATAAAAATGGTACGTTGTTATTTTGTACGTTGACAGATCGTTGGATTTACCGACTCGGATCCAACGACGTCGTTTTTAAAAGGAAAGCGACGTCACCGGTCGTATCACCAGCACCCGACCTAAATTTGCACACAGTCTGACGTCGCTTCAGGTCAGATTTTGTTCGAAGTCAGATAGATGCTACTTGGGATGTTGCAATTTAAAATAAACCATATTCGAAAATGTCAAAAGTTGACATATGATATGTCATTCTATTCAGAGTGTAATTTTCTATCGAATAAAGTAACAAAATACCGAGTGTGCTATTTAAAAATCAAAAGTTGTAGTCATTTCTGGTAAAACAGGAAGTGACCGAATACAATTGAATTCGTCAATCAATCCTAATTTGTGTCATATACTAACATACCAAATCTCGATTTTTTTTATGTCAAAAAAAAAGTTATAGGGGTGAGCCACTTTTGAGACGCCACCCGGTATGCCGGGTATCAAGTTTGGATTGATTTTTTATCTATTACATAGAGTGTGTCAGCCAAATGGAATAAATTCAATAATAAATAAATGGTATCGGGTTCGAAAAAACGCTCGCACACGTCAATTGATATCTTTTTCGACAAAAAAAAATATGCAGGGTGTGTCACTTAACAGTGGCCAATTCAAACTTTCATATTTTCAATACGACACCCTGAATGTTATTCAATTTTTGGTTTCTTCGGAGACTTAAGAGCAAAAGTGAAATACTTCGGTGCAAAATTAGTCAAAATTATCATCTAAGCACTTATATAAGGTGTCAAAATTAAACTCATTTCTTGGATTAAAAATAGTTATAGGGATACCGTAAATATTAGTTTTACTTACGTAATTTTTTCTAAACAACACTAATATTTTTTATTAAATGTTATAACTTTCTAAAATATAATAAAACTATTAGAAATATTATTAATGAATAAGACAGGTGCCTTGTAATATTTGTTTTTTGTATAGCGAAAATTAATTGTAATTGATATTATTGTTAGTAATTCCTCATTTATTTAAATATTCGATTTTTTCAGGTGTATTTAGTATTGAGAGGTAGCCAGCTCTCGTTCTACAAAGACTCCAAAACGGCCAAGTACACGCCCGATCAGCGATTTAGGGGCGAAGCTCCGCTCCAGTTGTATGGAGCCACAGCTTCCGTCGCTACTGACTACAAGAAGAAGAAACACGTTTTCAGATTGAAGTAAGTAATAATAATCGCATTTACTATAGAAGGCGTTATTTAAAATTGCTCGTTATCACACTAAACCAGCTGTCAAACCCCAAGATCATATACCGTATGATCTAAAAAAACGGCGTCTAGTTGGCTTGGAAACGACGATTGATGACATTTCCCATATTATTTTACATATAAAACACAAAACATCCCCCTTTAGAACTTCGTCTATCATGTTAAGAAATGAAAGTAAATAATAATGCGCCTCTCGTGTTTGTTCGCACACTAAAAATTTCAATTAATGCCTGTATATATTTTAAATATATATATTTTAAATATATTTTTTAAATTTACATTTTTTTAATTTTAAAGTAATATATTACATTTAAATGGAATATATTACATAACAATTATGTCAATTACAGGATTACAAGCTTGTTTTCTAACATTTTTTAAATAAAACTAATTATAAAATTTCAATATATGTATATTTGTCGTAGGTATGAAAAAAGTAAAATATAAAATGGACAAACGCTTACTTACATTGCGATAAAAGTTCCACTTTTAGTTTTGCAACCCAAACGCAATATTTCTATTTCACAAATATAAATATCCGACAACACTAAAATCACTGAAACTTCCGCGGCTGACAACAAAAACTGAAAAATATAACGGCAATTTTTGTTTTGTATCTGCATATCAACATTACGCGGTACCATTATGTTTTTGTTTTTGAAATAATATAAAATATCTAATTATAACTTGTAAATTTTAATATTTTAACATGATTTTAACTATTTCTGGCAATAACTAATTTTTTGTTATCAAGATGACATTTTAGACGGCAACTGACATGTATGTCATAATATTTGAATTTTAAATATGTATGTAATATAATTTAAATTAATATAATGCAACTTTATACTAAGAAAACATTTATACATTCACAAAATACAACAAAGTCTAATAATATAGTTTGAAAACAATGAATATTGAATTAAAATTAAAATTAAAAAAGTTAAGCGCGACCCCTTGTGTCAATTAGATGATTAAATTTTCGCAATTTTTACACCGTTTGATGACCGGTAGCGCCTCTAGTGTTTGTTCGGGCGGTTGGTCTTTTACTCCCGCTTATGGTCATTAAAGAAAAAGTTCTAAAGGGCGATGTTTTGTGATATAAAATGACAACGATCTTCATTTCATAGCCATCGCTGACGCCGTTTTTATTCGATCATACTTTATTACCGTTCGTGTATAAATCTATAAAAGCTTCAGTATCCTATAATCTTTGCTAGGTTATCTTATATTTTGCATATAGCGAAACATAGTAGACGCCTGTCAATATACAGCTTGGTCCGAACTGTATTCCGGAAACTTCGGCAGCATATTCCGCAGATTAAAATAAGTAAAAAAGTTCGTATAAATGTATGTCTTAAAATGCTTATTTTCGGAGATACAGGGTGTAGAATTTTTATTTTTATTTCGATTTTTTTCAAATAATTAACGTCAATATTTGAAAAAAAAAATGGTGTCTGGGTGTTTTTTGATATGAGAAATTCGATTTGGGTGTCAATATGAATCCTATTTGTAGGGGGCGCCACATACATGTGTTTTAACTGTTTTTAAGAGTACTATCTTTTTTCCGTACCTGTATAAAAATACTGAGTAAAAAAATATACATTTCCGTAATTTTTTATGTAAAAAATGTCTCTTGGTAAAAATCGCTACGAGCAACCATTCTCCAAATATCCCGAGAACCATTACTAGTAGCGATTTTTACCAAGAGACTTTTTTTACGCATTTTTTACTCAGTAGTTTTATACAGGTATGGACGAAAAGTTATTACCCTTCAAACCAATTAAAAAAATGTGTAGGTCACGCCCTCTATAAGTAGTAGTCATATTAACACGAAAATCAAATTTCTCATCAAAAAACTCCCAAACACCAATTTTCATCCAAATATTGACATTACTTCAGAAATTATTTGGAACAAGTCGAAATAAAAATGAAACTTTTACACCCTGTATCTCTGAAACTAAGCGAACTTATACTAACTTCTTTACTTATCTTTATCTGCAGAAGTTTCCGGAATATAGTTCGAACCACCCTGTATGTTTGATATATCAAATGTCCAATTAACTGTCATCTTTAGTTAACTTAACGCTAAAAATTTTAGACCGTTTCGTTTAAGCTGTACCTACGCTGAATTTTTGAAATTGACGAATTAGTCGAAAAATAGATTTAAGCCGTGAAAATAATTTTTTACAACTTTCGAAGATAGTTGTCTCAACAAGAATGCCTTATCGAGTTGGTTTCGGCAATGAAGCACCGCATCAGTCGACAATTTATCGTTGGTATGGAAGATTTAAACGTGGACGGATTAGTCTTGGCGATGATCCAAAGACAGGTCCACCAACAACGGCAGTCGCCAAGGAAAACGTCGATGCTATACATAAGCTGATCCAAGAAGATCGACCGATCGTGAAATTGATGCATTATTGGATATTTCAAAGACCTCAATTCAAAAAATTTACATGAATAATTTTCTGTAAAAAAATTAGTTTCTTGTTTAATACCATATCTGTTAACGAAAGAACATAAAACAAGTATTGCTGTTAAAAAACTCCACCGGTTTAACGGAAGAAACTCAAAAAATATATACAGTATTGTCAGTGGTAATGAATCCTGGATTTAAGCTTGATTTTCATGCATCCGTTGTCCGACGATACGTTGATACGATATTAATTTTATTGGTAGAATTCAAAAACTCTGGAAGAAAAAGAAAACAACGCAGTTTATTTAAATTTATTGCATTTTCATGCCTCCGTTTATCGGATATACGTTGGTGTTATTTTATATTTTCGTTTCCATAACGATTTTGCTAATTTACTTATATTTTTATTAAGGTTAAATTAAATTTGTCAAAAAAGTGTCAAAACGTCCGTTATCGTATGAACGGATCCGTTGACGGGCTGAAGTAAAATATTTATGGATGAAAAGTGGCGCGAAAACGCTATGACCAATCAGAGCACCGTCGGACCATCGTATCAACGTATAACGGATGCATGAAAATCAAGCTTCAGCCTGCATCCACATGGGTACGTGATCACGGACATCTGTATCCGTTGAACGTATACGTGAATTTTAAGCCATCCAAATAGAGCATCCGTTGTTACGTATCCGTGATTGTCAATATTGTCAATTGACATTTTGTTTTATTGTTTGGTTCTGTGGATTATTTTTTTTATGTTTTGAACTTTTGAATTGCCGTATTTTATTAATATTTCTGTGTAAATTGTTTATTTTCTGCCAGAATCTAATTTTTTTTGAAGAATGATTAGTAATAATTATCTTTTAGTCCTTGGAGCTATGTCCAAGAGGTTGAAAAAAAAACTGTTTGGCAACGATCAAGTTATCGTCAGAAAATTAAAAAAGTTTATTTTTGTTTTTGGCAGCTTTGTCTGCAGAAAAAAAAAGAGCTGTAATAAGAATGTGGACCCGACCGATGTTTAGTGAAGAAAAGAGACTGTTGCATGGCTGTAGAAGTTCCTTATTTGTGGAGTTGCAGGAGGACAGCAGTCAAAATCAAAACCGCCAAAATAAATTTAAATAATGTAAAAAAACAGCTCCCAAAACGGACAGAAAACACGTACTGAAGTTGAAATTAACCAACTTCTCTCCGTGATGACCTTCACGGACGTACGTAAAACCATCCAGCAGTCTGATTGGTTGGCAGTAGTCACGTGGTTACAACGGATCCGTGATCACGTACCCGTGGGATGCAGGCTTATACTTATGGACCTAAAAATAAACGTCAATCGGCTGTTTGGGTGTTCCGAAATGAACCAAAACCGACGTTAGTTATCCGTTCTCAAAGTGTTTCCAAAAAGATGGTGACTGGTACATATCTTGTTTGTCGGAAATAATTGCGAGATAAGTTTCGAGAAACCAATCCACAACGATGAATGCTCTTCCACCAAGACAATCCAAATTCCCACACAGCTCGAAAAACAATTGAGTTTTTAAAGCAAGAAAACATTGATTTGTTAGACCATCCTCCATACAGTCCCGACCTAAGCCCTAACGACATTTTTACATTTAATTTTTACATATATTTTTTAGCCGACCATACCAATAGGTATGGTAGGCTATTAAGATCGGTAAAAGTTTTTTAATTTCACTCAAAACGAATTATTTGGGTCATAAATGACCTAAATACAAAATATTTTCATGGTGTCTGTCTGTTTGTCTGTCCGTCTGCCGTCTGTAACACGAAAACTCAAAAACCGCTGAACCGATTTTAACCAAATTTGGACAAAAATACTGTGGCACCCGAGAATCTGGCCATTAGTTTTTGGTGGGGTTGGGGGGTTGATAAGGGGGTATAGGAGGGGGTTAAAATTTTTAAAAAATCGTAACTCCAAAATTACAGTAGCTAGCGAAACGCGGTTTTCAATTTAAGATTAGGAATAATATTTGCAACAAAATTTGTAATAACATCAAAATCAGTCAAAGTCGCAGTTTTCGAGATATTAACATATTTTAGTATGGGCGGCTATACGTGCCTCCCGGCGCCAATTTTTTTAATTAAGAACGAACTGCATGGTCATCGGTTTTAATCTCCAGAAGATGAGATGCAGTCAGCATTTTCAAAAACGCAATTTTGAATGTACTAACAAACGAGTGGAATATGTTATATCCGTTTTAGATTGTCCGGGATCTGTCACCTAAAGAATATCTTGTTATTTGTTATCTAACTAAATCCTTTTTTGTTTTAGGCTCGAGAACGGTGGCGATTTCCTCTTCCAAGCCCACGACGACGCCGAAATGAACAGCTGGATCTCGCGCATCAACGCGCACGCCGACCCCACCGCGTCCGGCCCCTCCCGCTCCCAAACTTTGCCCGCTTCCGCGCAGAAGGAAGACCAGAAACGGCGCAGCTTCTTCACTCTTAAGAAACAATAAGTTAATTAAACGATAAAGTAAGTCATTGACAAGAATATCGGTATATTTTTTGTAGGTAGTGTGGTAAGTAGACCCGTGGCGATGTCTGGTTGTAATGACAGCATTTTTTGTGGCACTCGAGTCAACTTCTTTCGACATACATAAGAGCATAATTTTTTTTTCAATTACTTTAGATCTCGTGTATAAGATATAATGAAAAATTTCCAGTTTCATATACACCAACACCAACGTAATCTTGACCAAAGTCTTTTAGATGAAATGGACGATGTTAAACGAAAAGGAAGCGAGCGCCAAATTACGAAAACTGAGTAAAAGGCATCATCCGACAGAGCCAGTGTTCAATGTACATGTCGAAAAAGATCCACGCTACAATTAGGTGTTTCAGTGACATCTATTGAACAGGGTCCTAAGCACCACCACTGCGTAGGAATCTTTTGAATTTGTCTAAAAGGATCCAAGCGACAATTCCTTTTATATGTATGTCCGTTTTCTGTTGATTCTCTTTAAATGTTTGCTTAGCCGCGTGCTTTTCATATTAAAACTACAAAACTATTATAAAAAAGAAAGATATTAGTCTAAAACAAGGGTAAACATAGGAATTAGGGAAAGATCTAAAAGTATTGTGTTGGCTGCTTGGGAAAATATAATTTTCGAAACAATGGATAAAGGAGACTTCGATTCTACAGAACAAACAGAGAAACAAATCTACAATAGAAAACACCGTAAACCATGTAGATTTTCTTTTTGGTTACAAGTAACCAAGAACTTGGTTCTTTTTTAAAATTAATAAAGTACTCTGATATTTCTTAAAAAAGAATTATGCGCCAAATAACAAAACGTGTAAAGTTTGAAGCTATGTTTTGTCAGTTTGTTCTTGTACTCATCTTAAATCAATTTTGTCATAAATTGTGGATACATTTTTCTTGATAGCTTAACAAAGAGAGATATAGCTCGCACATACGTCAGAAGGCAATATCTCAAAATCGCAGTAACTGGGTCACACGCTTGGGTCCTTTTCGATTAGCATTATCCAAATTCAGATTGGTTCAAAAAGCGAAAAATAAATTTCAAATCGAAATTTTGCTAAGATTTAGCCAAACCCCACTCAGGTTACTTTTGAAACGAAATTATTTGTATTGTTTAGTAACGGATAAAGTAAAGAGACAGATTTTTATACATACTTTGACATTTTTTTGCCTCATCTTAAATCAAAATCATGCTATGCCTATACCATGAATTATTGCCCTAATATTAAAGGATATATATAGCCAGGGACATCAAGCGGTATTGCCGGATTTTGATGCAAAATCCGGCAATACCGCATAGAAGATATGAGGCGTCAAGTTGCAAAACCAGTTTTATCCCACATACGTTGTCTGATCAAGAAATATGATCAAGAAAAAACGGCGCCAGCGATGGCTATGAAATGGAGAACGCTGTCATTTTACATGTAAATTTATATGGGAAATGTCATCGATGGTCGTTTCTTAGCCAACTTGACGCCGTTTTTTTTTCGATCATACGGTATTTGCACCCAACTTGATTTATTAAATACCGGGTGCGTCTCAAAAGTGGCTTTGTTACTTTTTCAGTTTTTTTTTAACTTTTTTACCTTTTCAGATACAATAACGAGATTTGGTATGTTAGTATATGACATAAATTAGGATTGATTGCCGTATTCAATTGTTTTTGTCACTTCCTGTTTCACCGGAAATGACTACAACTTTGAGCCATCCCCGTTCCGTTTGAAAAAATTGAGATATGATTAAAAATACGATTTGTGCAATACAATACACTAAAAACATTAGACGATCAAATCTATTTTTCCAAGGCTCCTTGATTAAGAATTAGTGTTTTTAACATAGCCATGGCACTCTAGATTGAATTTTAAAATACGATTTTTTATTAAGCAAGAATGTCAAAAATTGACGTATGATATGTCATTCTATTCAGAATGTAATTTCCGGTGAAACAGGAAGTGACTAAAAACAATTGAATACGTCAATCAATCCTAATTTATGTCATATACTAACATACCAAATCTCGATATTGTATCTGACTATACCCAAAATCAATATTTAATGAGAAAATTGTGTTTTTTTTTAAAATATAAGACAAGATTTGACTTTCGGTCTTCTTCTTGTATTATGATGGCTCTGATACGAGGCAATTACCTTTTAGTCTCTCAGTAGAAGGCATTTATCATTAAAAGTATCAAATCTGTGTGCTACAGTATGGGATTTCTGTCGCATAATAATGAATATTACGTTTATTTACAAACCCATTACTTTTAAAGGTAGCTTCATCAGACAATCAAATTTTAATTAAATGTCTCAATCTTCATGAACTGTATTAAGCATATGTATTGCGGTTTGAATCACCCTGTATGTTGACAAAAATATTTTGAAAATGTGCGTTACAATGGCCCCCATCTTATGTAAAAAATTGAAATAAAAATCACAAACCAAAAACGTAATAGGTAAAAAGCTTTTTTGGAGGCCTGGGTCATTCTGTATATAGGTATCTATAAAACTAGTAGCCTAAAAATTATTAACAGTTCGTCCCATTCTAAAAAAAAAAGATAAACACACCGTACAAATAACTCTAGGAAGAGGTATTTGTACGGTGGTAAAAAATTGTCTAAACAAGGCCGAAGGGGCAGATATAATAAAGCAGTAAAATATAAAAAAGGTCGGGTAAACACCTTTGTTTATTTGTTGAGCAAAATTCCTTTAGAATATCGTATATAATGACCAAAATATGACGCAATTTTAAGAAAAAAAAATGTCACTTTCTGGCTTATAATAAAGTTTCAAATGCAACGTTTATATTTAATTTTGTTATGATCTACAACAGTTAGGTAGTAATTGAGACGAATTATAATTCAATTACCGGCTACTACGTTCTTGTTTTAATAGATCAAAATTCAACAAATATAATTAGAAATTATTTTAATTGTAAGGGGCTCCCTTGTGGGACGCCTATGTACAATTACGGCAGAAATTTGTACCTACCTGTGAAAAGACAAATTCGGGTAATTTGAGCTTATTTTTCCACACACTTGACATTGTCGTACCATATTGAAACTTCGCAGATTCAAAAGTACGTTAAACAATAACAAAAATTACTGAAAAACACTGAAAAGTTTACTTCGGACTTGATTCCGACTTCAAACACACCGTAAGCTAAACGTAGTACGCTATAACGGACCAAGGGCCGTCGCGAGGGGTGATGGAACGGACGGCTCATTTTCATTCTGGAAGACTAGCAGCGACGTTGCCAATAGTTCTAGACGTTTCAGCACATTAAACAGTAAACATGTTCTTTAATAGTCACGCATATATCCTCTGGTTAATAACCATATTACGCATGCTTCTTTAAAAATAAACTATTAATTTAATTAAGAAATTGAGATTTATTGATATCCGGTGAAGGTTTTAAAGTCACCTTTTCTGCAAATCAAACTAAGTAGATAGGCGCAAATTTGAGATGTGGCAATGTCGCCTTCTCTATCTCAGTTGGTTTTTACAGTACGTAGTCAACCTCCGATTGTTTGATCGGGTTAAAATGCACAATGTGATATCTGTTTTTCCTAAATCTATGATTATGTCATTAGGCCTTTTTTTAAATGGATAAAGCTTGATTTTCATGCATCCGTTGTCCGACGATACGATATTAATTTTATTGGTTGAATTTAAAGACTTCGGTTGGTTAGAAACGGTTAACCAATCGAAGCCTTTAAATACAACCAATGAAATTAATATCGTATCAACGTATCGTCGGACAACGGATGCATGAAAATCAAGCTTAAGGCGGGATTTGCAACTTGACGCCTCAGATATATCAACCCAACTTTTTTCTCTTTTTAATACATTTGGTTTTTCATTAAGCTGTCTTCATCGCTGTCTTACACGTTAAAATCCAGACCAAGTTTCTACAGTGACCAAATCTGTATAAGTATGAAAGGCGATATATTTTCCCATGTAAATTTGTTCCCTAAATTCACCCTCTTCCTTCCCTATTGTCGCCCTGGAATTTGAGACAGCCTGTACATGTTTTTCATTATTGTGTTTTTGACGAGCTAAACAATTTTTTTAATTTCAGATTTTAACTGAGCTACTTTCATCACTAATCTTTACGCTTTACCTGATGGACTGGAGTAGGTCCCGATTCTTCTACGCCCCGTTTTTTGTATTAGCATTAATTAAGTAATAATATATTTTTCTTGTAGATTGCACATTATTCTAGTAATTTAAATGTATAGAACCTATATGATGTGATTAAAAATTAAATCAAATGTTCGACTTTCCAGAGACACGCCAGAGAATATTGGTCTGGATTGAATTTTATTTATTGTAACGAAATTGAAATGAGTTAGAAATTAAATGCTGATTATTGTGGTAGCTAAGACGTCTGCGTGTCTCTTGTTTAAGTCGATCCGTATAGAATTATCGACTGGGGCACAAAAATACTCCCCTCAGCTGAATGCCAGTGTTTATTGAACTCTTAAATCGAAAGTTATACCAATTTTAGATTTTAACGTGTTCCCAAACAAACCCTGTATTCGCCTTCGTATCATTGGACGGGAGATGAAAAATCTAAAGAATATAATATACTATTATATATTAACTGGATAAGGATAAAACTCTAACGTGTATTCTTGTGTTACGTTCTTTTTAAATTTTTTATTTTTTGTTGCAATAGTTAATATATATTTAATTAAGGCTTTGCTTAGCAAGGTAAGGTGACAAGTCATTTATTGAGGTACGTCATTGATTTGTATTTGTAGAGTTACGTCTATTTTACTATGTATGCTTTTAAAAAATGGAGTTATATTAAAATGAATAAATATTGTTTTTGGTACAGATGTTGTGTTTTATTTTCATCCCTAAGATCCTTATGGTATTTATTTGGTTTAGTTACTGTCTAAAGCTATAGAAAATCATTTCAGCATGCCCAGTTGATATACCGGGTGCGTCTCAAAAGTGGCTCACCCCTATAACTTTTTTATTTTTTCAGATAAAAAAACGAGATTTGGTATGTTAGTATATGACATAAATTAGGATTGATTGACGTATTCAATTGTTTTTGGTCACTTCCTGTTTCACCGGAAATGACTACAACTTTTGATTTTTAAATGGCACCCTCTGTATTTTTTTAATTTATTCCATAGAAAATGACATTTTGAATAGAATGACATATCATATTATGTAAACTTTTGACATTCTCGCTTAATAAAAAATTGTATTTAAAAATTCAATCTAGAGTGCCATGGCCATGTTAAAAACACTAATTCTTCATCAAGGAGCCTTGGAAAAATAGATTTCAGAATCATCTAATGTTTTTAGTGTCTTGTACTGGTCAGTTAGATAATGCTCATATCGTATTTTTAATCATATCTCAATTTTTTCAAATGGAACGAGGGTGGCTCATTAGCATATTTGGAAAAAGCATTTTTTTACGAATAATTTGATATGTCACACTTGGTATTTCAAGTCAAATTTTCGTTACGAACCGCAAGTTATATTTTCAAATAAACCATATGCGAAAATGTCAAAAATTAGCGTATATGTCATTCTATTCAGAGTGAACTTTTCTATCGAATAAAGCTTTGAATAAGAAGACTAAGGAAGGAGCATAATGCTATCCATGTATTCATGCATGGTGGGCGGAAAAAGCACTCTAGGGTGGGGATCCTTGACAGTTCTGTTTGACGATTCATTTGACACATTTGAATTTGATTTGAAATTTTGAATAGAATGACATATCATATTATGTAAACTTTTGACATTCTCGCTTAATAAAAAATTGTATTTAAAAATTCAATCTAGAGTGCCATGGCCATGTTAAAAACACTAATTCTTCATCAAGGAGCCTTGGAAAAATAGATTTCAGAATCATCTAATGTTTTTAGTGTCTTGTACTGGCCAGTTAGATAATGCTCATATCGTATTTTTAATCATATCTCAATTTTTTCAAATGGAACGAGGGTGGCTCATTAGCATATTTGGAAAAAGCATTTTTTACGAATAATTTGATATGTCACACTTGGTATTTCAAGTCAAATTTTCGTTACGAACCGCAAGTTATATTTTCAAATAAACCATATGCGAAAATGTCAAAAATTAGCGTATATGTCATTCTATTCAGAGTGAACTTTTCTATCGAATAAAGCTTTGAATAAGAAGACTAAGGAAGGAGCATAATGCTATCCATGTATTCATGCATGGTGGGCGGAAAAAGCACTCTAGGGTGGGGATCCTTGACAGTTCTGTTTGACGATTCATTTGACACATTTGAATTTGATTTGAAATTATGTGGATTTGTCAGTCTTTACGGAGCTTATTTTATGTTATTTATTATTTATTCTACTACTGATAGTTGTATAAAGGTAGTAAATCTAGATGGAAATTGTGGCAGAACTTAAATTAACAGTGACACTATCGCGATTTATCGAAAAAGACTCTAAAATAGTTGGTTGTGTAGCGTGCGGTAGATATCGGCAAAAATTGAGTGAAATAATGGAACAACTTTTCGCTCTAGTAAGTGACTATATAATATACATACGTGTAGTAAACCGATCATTTATGAAATTCACTTAAATTAACTAAATTATATATTTTTCTTGCATTTTAGCTTTTATTTATTACTTGTCAAAGATTAGATGTCAAAGAATTTAGATACGTTAATTTGATTTACCTGCTTCAGTAGCGTATCGGATGTTTGTGTTAATAAATACTTTTATAACTTATCTATTTTTATTAGAATTATATATTTTTATAACAATTTTAATAACTACCAACATTTGTTCACACCGTAAAATAAAACAACAAATTATTGAGTCTACCCCACGTCTACCCTACATCATAGTTTTACATTTTTTAAATAAAATTAGAACGACACTGATAAACCGGAATTTAAGTCGGCCATATTTGAGGCCCATCGCGGTGTACCTAAGATTTTTGATATGCTCCTTCCTTAGTCTTCTTATTCAAAGGAATAAAGTAAAAATATACCGGGGGTGCCATTTAAAAATCAAAGGTTGTAGTCATTTTCGGTGAAACCGGAAGTGACCGAAAACAATTGAATACACCAAACAATCCTAATTTATGTCATATACTAGCATACCAAATCTCGTTTCTTTAACTACAAAAATAAAAAAGTTATAGGGGTGAGCCACTTTTGAGACGCCCCCGGTATACTGTTTGATATTGAAAATTATCCTTCTAACATGTAAAAAGTAGGGTTAGATGATTATCTTATTCTAAAATATCAAAGACGAAAGCTTATGGAGCTTTAATATGATTGACTTATATCTCTGGTTTATAGTGGCGTTCAAATTTTATTTAAAACGTCTTAATAAGTTAAATTTACGCATCGTAATGATTTTTTACTACTGAATTCAAGTATTATTTTTTCTTCTAAATCCATATATTTTAAATACATTTCATAATTATTGATTAGTTTATTGTCTAATAATTTGGACTATTTGGGAGACATTTTTTTGCATATGGTGAGAAACTTCTTTTATCTAGACCTACCAATCAAAGTACCGCATAATCGAAGTAAAAACGGCGTCACAGTTGGCTTAGAAATGAGGATTGCTGTAATTTTATACAAGGTGCTTTTCGCGACATATGCTATTGGGTATACAGTTCAGACCACCACACCGTAGTAGTAACATAGGCAGAACCGGACGAATTAGCGTATACCCGTCCGCCGGATAAAAAGCAGGCGAAAAAATGCGATAAAATAAAAATAAAGGGAACATAGGTAGATATGTGATAAGAATGTGTCAGAATTTGTATTTATTCGTGTTTTAATAGCCAAAACGAATACGTTTCTCGCGACAGCTCTCGTGTAAAATTTATTTTTTAAGTAAAATAATGGATGTTTACGAAGTTCGTGAGAAAATTCAAATTGTAAAATGGTATTTCCAAAATAGGTCTTATCGGGATATACCAACAATTTTTCCACAAACTTTTGTAAACAGGCCAATTCCATCTTTACCTACTATCTCAAGAGTTATTAATAATTTTGAAACACATGGGTGCGTGTACCCACAAAAACACAAAAAGCCTGATGTGTTGATTAATGAAGAACAGGAGTTAAAGCAAGTGTTCATTTGTGCTACCGCGGATCAAAATCTCACGTTTTCAAGTACTCAAATTGCTGAGGTAACAGATTCTTCACCTAGCACGGTTAAAAAGTCCTTAAAAAGAATGGATACCGATCGTATAAAGTATTTTTATTTTAAATGTTACCTTAAGAAGGTAAACTGAAGGTAAACACTTAACATGAAAATAATAAATACTCGGCACTCCTCGCGTCGTATTCCTAGTCTATCACGACCGACCCGTCCAAGCACAACTGCAACTGCCTAACCAGCCGACTAGCCGACAGTGAATCTCGAGTACGAACGCAATCGGGTAAACGTAAATTCGTCCGGTAACTTGCTATGTTACTAATAGCCTGGTCTTCTCTGTATGTATGGCAGGTTATGTAAAAGTATGTGGACTCTTTGCTACTCAAAAAATTCAACTTTCATGTTTTTTTTTAATTTTCTCTAAACAGTATGGAAATTTGGAGAAGTATAGTCGGGATTTACCATTTTAGAACAAGCAAAAACTTTTACGAAGAATGCATTTTTCTCAAAATGTCAATAATAAAAGTTTTTCCTCTTGTAAAGACAATCTCAGAATATACTGTAGATAAGCGAGGTTAATAAAAACATGGTAAACCTAAAAATTTCTGTTATTAAACAATATAAAACAAAAATATTTTATTAAATTAACACTCATTGTTTCTGTGACATGACTTGAACGAAACAATAAATAATCTTCAACCTATTTCTTCTGTGGTAAGTGCTGCTTATTTAAATAAGAAACTACAAAAAAGAGAGAAATATTAACAAATTTAATTTTCAAATTGAACTAACAAAATTACCTGTAAGGATATCCTTGGGTTTTTGTCCTAAAAATGGATAAAAGCAGTGAGAAAAACACTGAAATCAAGATTAGACCTAGAATAGCAAGGAATTTGCGTTTCCTGGGGTCACCTTTACCCTTGGCAGCTTCAGTCATTAGGATCATACCTAACACCACAGCTCCATCTATTCAAAAATAAGGAAACTACATAACGACAAAAAAAGATACTTGATATCAATAAACTCTGAGTGATCACTAAATCTAGCCATCTATCAGTGAACTCCTAGAATTAACTCACGCTGAATAACTAGTTAATACCGTATGATTGGTATGATCGAAAAAAAAACGGCGTCGGCGATGGCTATGAAATGAAGATCGCTATCATTTTATATGTATAGAAATTTTAAAACATTTTCCGATGCACGTCATCAACTTTGAGTGACAGCGCTGCCAGATTGTAATGGATTTATGAGATGAATCTTAATTTAAAAGTGACAAACAATATATTTAGTATATAATTTGTATATATTTTTTTAAGGCAGCAGCTACTCGCTACATATTGAATTAAGTAGAAATAACTTGAAAGTGGTATAATGTGCACCAATCAAACTTACTTGTCACTCAAAGTTGATGACGTGCATCGGAAAATGTTTTAAAATTTCTATAAATTTATATGGGAAATGTCATTGATCGTTAACTGGACGCCGTTTTTTTTTCGATCATACGGTATATAAACAAGGGTAACATGTACTATGTTATACCGGGTGTTGTATCATCGTTGGAAACAAGAAATCCCACGCAAATTTTTAACTGCCAAAATATACAGGGTGGTCCGAACTGTATTCCGGAAACTTCGGCAGTATATTCTGCACATAAAGATAAGTAAAAAAGATTGTATAAATGTATGTCCTAAAATGCTTAGTTTCGGAGATGGTGTAGAAGTTTAATTTTTATTTCGATTTTTTCCAAATAATTTTTGAAGTAACGTTAATATTTGGATGAAAATTGGTGTCTGTAAGTTTTTTGAAATGAGAAATTTGATTTTGATGTTAATATGACTCCTACTACTAGTAAAGGGCGCCACCTACATATTTTTTAACTGGTTTGAAGAGTAATAACCTTTCGTCCGTACCTGTATAAAAATACCGAGTAAAAAAATATACATTTACGACGTTTTTTACGTGAAAAAGGTCTCTTGGTAAAAACCACTACGAGTAATGGTTTTCGAGATATTTGGAACAGAAATTATCAGTACCTGTCATCATTGACATAAATTAAACATGTTGACTAAATAGTTATTAGACTGAAATCATAAATTTGAAATGTTTTTGTGCCAAATGTTCAACAGAAACTGTTTTATCATCATTTTTTGCAGAAAAATTTGTGATTAATTTTAGAAAATAAAAATTTCACAAGTTTATTATTTCAGTGAAATAACTATCTACTCAACGTGTTTATTTTTCGTAAATAATGACATGTATTTACTATTCCCATTCTAAATATCTTAAGAACGGTTGCTCTTAGCAATTTTTATAAAGAGATATTTATTATGTAAAAAATCATAGAAATGTATATTTTTTTACTCGGTAGTTTTATACAGGTACGGACAAATAGCTATTGCGCTTCAAAACAGTTAAAACACATGAAGACTTGAAGTAAATAATGCTCTTAGTGCCCAAATCAATATTTTGAGTTAAACAAAATTTTTTGTTATATAACCAATGTATAAGAACGGACGGTGTCTCTGTTTGGATTTTTTTTTAATACAGTTTAATAGCCGTGGCACTTAGCCATTTATACTTGTTGTTGGTTATGGAACTTAAAACATTTTACAAATAAAACATGACAAATCGATTTTTTGGCACTTAGAACATTATTTACTTTAACGGCCGTATTCATAGTCGATCGCCAGCCTCCCGCTGGCGGGCATATACATATTACTTTTTACAAATATACTCAGGGTTCCCTATTTAACCCCGTGTGCAATTTCTGTGCCGTAAGAAAAAGACAACATAACCCAGCTCCATATTAAAACTGCATAAGTCTATTTCACCCGGATATGGATTGAACTGCGATTGCGCCAAACTCCGATTGAATGTTGTTTTAGTTCTGTTTGGATAACTTTTTATTTGTGCGCGTAAAAGAGTGATTTTGTTTAGTTTATTGTTTCCAACTATTTTTTGATATTTTTCCAACTCCATGATAATGTGTTATAAATAATAAAAATATAAATAAAATTGAAGGTTAGGGGAAATGTCAGTCAACCACTTCCCTTTAAAAACATCGACCAATGAAAACTTCTTCAGGTGAGGCATGCTCAGTCAAATGAATATCCGGGTGAAATAGAATTATGCAGAATTCCATATTGTTCTTTCACTGTTTGGGCTTCACTTTTTGGAGATTAGGCTGAGTATATTTGTAAAAAGTAATACGTATATGCTGGCGGGAGCTTTCCCGAAATTCTTCGTTCTTATTTCAGAGTCGAGCGCTCTCCAAGTAACGCGTGCGCCAATCCGTCATATAGAGTAACCGCTCTCTCGCCGGCGGGCGGTTGGATAAGCATTTTTTTTCTGTTTCATAGTCGATCTCCAGGCGAAGAACACTTGCGCAGTTTAAACCCCATCCGGTGATTTTCGGCCGGCGACTGGAGCATGTCCTTACCATCTCCAGGCGGTCCGCCAGTTTAGCCTGGTTTATTTCTCTAGTTGAAAGAAGCACCAAGCAAACTGAATTAATTATGGATATTTATAATATTGTGACGATTAACGAGAACGATGAGATTCGTATTTTTGTGTGAGGCCATTATTCATTACATTTGAGGCATATGAATTCCGTCCGTCTATTTGACCATTTAAAAGTTTTATCGTTTTGTTTTTGTTATGTTTATGATTTTTTATTTTTCCTATTGTTTTTACGTGTATTACATTAATTCTCTTTGTAATTTACACAAAATGGAAAAAATATACCAAATTCACCAAACATCAGTCATCTACACAAAACAAAAATAGAGCCAATTTAAAAATATAAATTACTTCTACTCTGGTCATATTTTCCCTTAAAATAATTTTAAAATCCTTAACACAGCACCTTAGGTTAAGGTTAAGGTCTATAAAAATTTATAAACGTAATAAAAACGAATCCATAAAACTTTCAAATAAAACCGAACAGACCTATGGAATTCCCCATTATGTAAATTATTAACTTAATATCCTTTTTATTACGACCCAAAAATATACCTAGCCAAAAAAATATGTATATAAAAAATTGTAAATCTTTTTACTATAAGTGAAGGATTACGAAGATATTATTCATTACTTTAAAACGAATTATAACAAAATAATGAACACATCAATAAAATATTTAAATTACCCAATATCAATAAAATATTTAAATTATTAATATTTAAATATTTAGAGAATGTTAAAGTTCGTATAACCGATTTTGTGTAGAAAAAGGAAGAAAATATGTTCCCTGTTGTTAAAACCCTCCACCCGAAGTGAAATTTTGTTGGCGACGCGCCGTCATTTTCGCCAGCCAGCGGTGCGCTGGCGGCCGACTATGAAAGAGCTTTTTTTCTCTTCCGATATCGAAGCGCTCGCCGGAGAAATCTTCGGCGAGCGCTTCTTTTCGGCGGGCGGCTGGCGCTCGACTATGAATACGGCCGTTAGTCTTCACATGTAGGTGGCGCCCTCTAGTAGTAGGAGTCATATTGACATCAAAATCAAATTTATCATGCCAAAAAACTCCCAGACACCAATTTTCATCCAAATATTGACGTTACTTCAGAAATTATTTAGAAAAAACCGAAATAAAAATGAAACTTCTACACCCTGTATCTCTGAAACTAAGCATTTTTGGACATACATTTATACGTATTTTTTACTTATTTTTATCTGCAGAATATACTGCTGAAGTTTCCGAAATACAGTTCGGACCACCCTGTATATATTTTAAAGGTTTGCTTATGCTGAATACACAAGCCAAATTTGAACAATTTTGGACAAGCCGATTTTAAGTAATTTAAGAACTGCATCTATTTTATTTTTTTTTAAATTTGGGGAATTTTGAACTTGCGCAAAACGTCAGTACTTCCCTAACAAAAGAACTTATGTGAAATATGAATGTTCAATATTAAAAAAAGGATACTCAATGCCATGATGATATAAGTTTCGAACACAAATTGCCCTTGCGAACTTCCGTGAATGTAGGCAACCTGGCCCTGTTGATTCTTGTGAACGAACGGCGGTCCTCTGATGTGATTCCACATCTGCCCCGACGTCATGGCGAAACAGAAGAACAGAGCCCACACGCCCCACATCGTTTTGTTGTACAGGAATTCCAGGTTGTTTCTTCGCAGATACAAAAAGCCGCCAACAAAGGAGAACAATATAATTATGGCGAGGGTGCCTGAGTAGTTCGGTGGACGGAATACACGAATCTACGGATAAAAAACAGCATCACAGTAGCCTTTGAAACAACGATGACCAATTATAATTTTTGTCAGATCCTAGACGTCATTCATTAAAAATTTAGTGATTGAAAAATTGAATTTTTTTTGAAAAATATTAATATTTCAAAAAGGAATATTTAATAGAGAAAAACGTTTTTATAAATGACATTCAGGGCTGACTAAAAGAAAATTATTATCGATTAAGGTACACAGGCGAATTTTCTCGAAAACGTAGCCAAAACCCCTAAAATGAATTATAATAACATAGTATAGAATACTGGGTGTTTTTCATAAATGGCTCGGACTATGTGACTACAACCATAGTAGAAGGAAAAGAGTAGTTGCACTCTCCCAAATATTTTCTGCCAGTTTTTACAATCTGTCAAATATTGGCAGATTGCAGAGCGTTTCAGTTGAGTTCCGTCCGTCGATCTGCGAGGTTCGAGCGTTGCGTCCCAGCACAGAAACAGATTGACAAAAAATGAGTGCCTTACTGTGTGCTGCTATTGGTTGTAGTAATAATTCAAAAAATTGTGCTTTGAGTTTTTTTTGAGAGTCATTTGTGATCATGTTTGTGTTCAGGTTAATTTTCTCATGAATAATTCGCTTTAAACTCAGCCTCCCACAATAGATGGCGTAACATGGAACATTTTTTAAGTAAGGCAGTTTACCTTCTTTTTCTTGATATATTCTTTGCAAACCAACTTTCGTATTTCAGGTTTTGGCAACAAATTTTAAAAAAAATTCGCCTGTGTGAAGTTTTTCAAAGTCTACTGTCATTTTTTATGGAGGAAAACTGAGTAAATTTTATACCGGAATGTCTGTCCTGTCATTAATCCATCTCGCTATAGCTTCAGCTGCAAAGCCAATCCTTTGAATGTCCATAGTATCGGCAGCTTTCGGTTTGCCTTTAGGAGGAAAATGGATAAATACTGGAGCAGTATTCAGTCTTAACTGTAAATGAAAATAAATATTTATTCATTATCTATTTTTATATGTAAAAAAGTATTAATAAACGCACCATCTGGTATACTTCAGAGCCTTCATCAAAGTCAACCATACCAAAGAAAAGCTTATTGGAATAACTTTGCGAATATCTGAATGAATTTGCCACAATTGTATATTCATCGCTGGCTTGCCTGGAAAATATTTAATTAAAAATACGGTAACTTTTACTTACTAATTATAGAAATAGTGAATTCTTACCGACAAATTTGACACTGTCTTTGGGGTGCCAAAGCGGTAAACATAACGATGACAGAATAGTTTCTGGGGTTCGCTTTAACAAATTCTCTAAACTTATTAGTGTTGAATCTTAAAACAGATTTTTTGCTGGCTAAATCAGTAAGCTGTTGGACCCTTTCTGTTAAAGACGACTAGAAAAACGAGGCATACTTTTAGTAAATTGGGAGTATACATTTAACAAACTTACCGGTTTTCTGGCTTGACTGTCCGTGTAAATTATAACAGAAAGAATTACTAATATAGTAAAAAGTAGTCTCCTCATTTTTAGGCTTATGGTAACGTAACACGTTTAGAGCAAATCACATAAATCGAATTATTTGTAGAAGAGATATTTATCTGAAAAAAACCTGAGTACTGTCAACGTGTCTTATGTGCTTGTCAGATATTATTCCTGTATATTTGGTTGCCTATCTGTGAGAGGCATACGGAAATGATACGGAAAAAGGATTTGGTATCGGATCGTTTATAAAAACTATTTTTATTTAAATAACTATGAAAATATATTAGATATATGCCAGGGTGTATCCTAATTACAAAAAATAGACGTTATTATAAGAAATACAAAAACATGTACAAATTTATTTATGAACTCTCCAAAAACACAATTTCGAGTCATCTCCGATACATACAATAGGATAATGATAATGCCATTCTAGATTCGAAGGTAGAGAGACGTTTGCAGTAAGCCTAACCGTTTGGGTCAAAGTGTGTATAACTTTTATGGTACCATCCAGGCTATTGACAGCGGCTAGTAACTCGCCTTGTGGAGAGAATTTTATGTGGCCACCGTTTTCAGAAAAAAGAATAGTACTCTGTTGAGGCAAACTAGAAAAAAAATTAAATTAATCTATATACTTATTAAATCTATATGTAGGTAACTTACCATGGTTTAGTTAAATCCCATAATAATAGCTCTCCCAGTTGCAATGATGCTAGAAGTTGGCTATCTGAAGGTGCCCAATGAGCTGAAGATAAAGATTTTGCAAAATCTAAAGATAATATTGGTGTTTCTGTTTCAACATTATAAAATTTAATTACTCCTAAAAGTATATAAAAGAAAATTATATTCTGTCAGTTTTTTATTACTATACTAAACCTATTTTTTCTGCTATAAGTAATTTTCCTAAGTCAGATCTATGCCAAGACACTACCATTGCTGGAGAAGATAGCAAGAATGTAGTTTTTAAACTAAACTCGTTATTATTCCAGATCTTCACAGAATTGTCATCGCTAGCCGAAGCCAAATATGTGTTTTCAGAGTCAAACGCAACATTATTTATATAGCTAGTATGACCACTTAGTACCTATAATTTTATTACAATTATTTTAAATATTAATTGTTACACTATCTTACTCTACAAGTGTTATTTTCCTGCATATCACTTTCGTAAACTCTTATTTTGTAATCCGCTGCTCCTGTTGCAAAAACTATCTGGTTTGGTAAAACTACGAATGATGTATTCGGCGAAAGACTCAGTGCTGTACATCTGCTTGGGTGGGCACATTCGTATAGTTTTTTCACAATTACATTTTCCTAAAAAATTTAAAAAAATATTAAATATCCTTTTCCAACATTTTCTACATTAAATTTACCTTAAAAGATAACGAAATTAGCACTAATTTATTTTCAAAAGCAAGAATCATAATATCTTTGGTCCATTCGTACGGAGAACATAATATTTGATAAATTTGACCATATTCTGAAAAGTCTTTAATTAAAATCGGATCGGAGGTATTTTTTCTGTGCGACTGAAAATAATCAGTTTGAATTATATCTTGTTTCATTTTTATTTATAAAGAATTAAAAACGTTTAAATAGTTTAATTACCGCCACAAATTTTTAGGTTAACTGATTTATGTCAGTTCGTGTTTAAATTTTCTGTTCTGTGGCATAAATTATAGGCGATTTATAACGTCGAATTGTAAAAATGCAAACCAGAGAAATGCAAACCTTGACATTTCCAATTTTAGGATATTTTTTTTCATATGTCAAAAACAGCTGAGTGCCAAGTCCGATTAAAAAGTTGTAAAGATAGTTTTGTCAAATTTGTTTTTGTTTAGTACTAGAAAAGTAAATTTGCGAAAAGAGAATTATCGATAAGAATTGTATATTTTAAGTAGATAGTAATGAATCATACAGGTCCTCGTTTAATATAGTGCGATCTATAAAAAGTATGAGACACGGCGTGGAATTAACCTTCAAAAACAATGTAAATCTTTATGACTTTTCCAAAACGGGATTTTTACAGCTAAGTGATACAATAAAAACCGAGTTTTCTTAATACTATGTGGGAAGATCAATCCATGGGATCTCAAACATTGGAAATATTCAGACAAGGTGTCTGGGCTTCAATCACAGGAGGCTGGTTTTTTGACCCTAGTCAAAATGTGTTTTGCAACACATTTCATCTCTATGTATGGCTGTTCTTATTGGGTCTTCCTTTTAGTTTTTACGTGGTATGTCTACTAAAGGTTTATTGTATGCTTTTTATAAGAATTTAAAATTTAAATTGTGCTAATGTCAAACAGTAGGTTCTGTTTGTGTTGAAGCATTTTACGTACCTGTTTAATAAAAATTATAATGTTTTTACTATTTTAGTATTTTCCACCTAATAAATATATATGGTACATCTACTGTGGATTAGTAGCAATAGTGCTAGGAGCTATCAAATTAGGAAACTATTTTTTACATTATGTTTATGATACAAGGGAATGTATTCATGAAGTGATAGATAACAAAGAAAGGTAACATTGCTTTAATTCACTTTCAGACAACATTTTTAACAAAAGTTTTATCATCAAGTGTGCTGTGGTCTGCGGTTGATGATAAAACAATAGTTGAAAAAAAAAATTAACTGTCAAAGTCAAAGGCAGCTTGATCATAAAACTTTTTAATTATTTTGGCATACAAATTTTGTTCTTATTAATTCAACATATTTATATGCAATGAAAAAGATTATTGAACCTATGTTTAAAATGAAATTAGACCTTAACTTGATATTGATGTATATTTCTACATTTAGATATTTTTTGTATTATCTGTAATGAAAAACAAAGTGTTAGTATTGTTTTTTTTTGCGCAGCTTAGTGCTTTTTTAAATTTATTCCGTGTTTAATCTATTTACTGATACTTGTAGAGAGGATGAGGGAATCGAACTTCAGGATATGTCAAATAAAGGCCCAAGAGTACTCCGTGTTGGAAAGCTTTCTATATTAACAAGGTATGTTTTAAGTTAGCAATAATGGGTACAAATATTACACATTAAATATATTTAGTGATAAGCAAATGTAAGACCAAGATCAAGACTCTCTATTGGTCTTGGTCTCGGTCTTTAGTTATAAGTAGTCTTGGTCTTGTAGGGTTCAGTCTCGGTCTTGGTCTTTTACTTTTATTTTTAGTCACTCATTTTCACATTAGATTTCTTTTTAGTCTATCCAACATTTTTTATTACCTGGTATCGTTGTTAAAAATGTCATAACACAAAAATAAAATTAACCTAAAATATTCTTTAAATCATTTCAGAGACGATGATGAAATTGATATTCAAGAATTATCAAAAAATGGAACTAAATTAATTCATTTGGGTGATATTGAAATTGTTGCTGGGTATGTATGCTTTTAATAAAGTCATTTGTGTGATTAAATTACTTAAGAATATAATTGTAAAAAGGTTAATAATTTATACCAAGGTTGTCCAGTGGTGTGCACAGTCACAGTTAGTAAAACAGGGTAGGTCAAAATTGACAAATTAATAAATTAAAAATATACCATAAGTAATCCATATAATTATTTTTTACTCTAAATTGGGTGAACATCACGAGATTTGGCATCACTGCGCAAGACAGCGGCCGACACGGACGAAATTAAATCACGCGTTACTTCCTTATTCTATCTCTTTCTTACACATTGGCCTTTCAGTCATTCAGGTCTGCAGAGTATATGGAAGATTATATGATTACTGGCGCTATAACCTTATCTATGGCTATAACGCAGTAGTCGAAAATAAATAAAATATATCTTTTCTCCAAAAAAGTCTTTTGGGATTAAATATGTATAAACCTCTAGAATAAAAATAACATAAAAATGTTTATTGTGAACATTTGTTTGGTTAATCATCAATTTTAAATGTGATAATATAAAAAAAATTGTCTGGGGGTATGCTACACCTTTTTGCCTACATTATATGCAGGCCACTGGTTATCTGTTGACTCCTTTGAATAAGAAGACTAAGGAAGGAGCATAATGCTATCCATGTATTCATGCATGGTGGGCGGAAAAGCCACCGTAAAAGCTCTCTAGGGTGACAGTTCTGTTTGACGATTCATTTGACACATTTGAATTTGATTTGAAATTTTGTGGATTTGTCAGTCTTTACGGAGCTTATTTTATGTTATTTATTATTTATTCTACTACTGATAGTTGTATAAAGGTAGTAAATCTAGATGGAAATTGTGGCAGAACTTAAATTAACAGTGACACTATCGCGATTTATCGAAAAAGACTCTAAAATAGTTGGTTGTGTAGCGTGCGGTAGATCTCGGCAAAAATTGAGTGAAATAATGGAACAACTTTTCGCTAGTAAGTGACTATATAATATACATACGTGTAGTAAACCGATCATTTATGAAATTCACTTAAATTAACTAAATTATATATTTTTCTTGCAGTTTAGCTTTGATTTGTCAAAGATTAGATGTCAAAGAATTTAGATACGTTAATTTGACTTACCTGCTTCAGTAGCGTATCGGAAGTTTGTGTTAATAAATACTTATTATAACTTATCTATTTTTATTAGAATTATATATTTTTATAACAATTTTAATAACTACCAACATTTATTCACAACGTAAAATAAAACAATAAATTATTGAGTCTACCCCACGTCTACCCTACATCATAGTTTTACATTTTTTAAATAAAATTAGAACGACACTGATAAACCGGAATGTAAGTCGGCCATATTTGAGGCCCATCGCGGTGTACCTAAGATTTTTGATATGCTCCTTCCTTAGTCTTCTTATTCAAAGGTTGTCTCATTGTCATTTATTCATTCAACTGTCACTATAAAAATGTATAGTTCATATCAAATAAACTTTTAATCACGTGATTAAGCTTGACCGGCACAGCGTTGCCCACTTTTAATTTTTTTCTTTTAATCAAAAAAATACATTAATTATAAATATATAAACAATTATTATTTACATCAACAAAACTCACCTTCTTAACAGCACTTAAAGGACGTAAAGGGCCATCACTACCGCTTTCCCGTTCAAAATATTCTAATAAAGTTGCGATGAGTTTTTTACGGCTATTAAGCCATCTTGTTCACTTCACGTTAAAAGAGGTTTTAAAATGAACAGTGTTCCACTGCAAGGTCTGCTAGTAAACATTTTTAAGCTTAAAGTATCAGAACACTATTTATTTAAACCAAAAACTCGTAACACAGTAGGGCTACCACCTGTTTCCCCAGCGGGAAATTTAAATTTCAGTTAATCAGCTTGGCGCCGAATATGTCCATGGTTGGCATCAATGAATTTAAAAATTGCGCCCTCGATTACATAACTAAAAGTTTAATTGGTATCAAATCATGATACAATTAACAGAAGATAATATATTGCGCATGTAGTGGGTGGAGCTTAGCAGCTGAAACGCGTCATCTGGGTAGGGATCCATTATTCCGTCTATTCCCGATTTGTGGTTCGACGTCTGTCACAGCCGTTAATTCGAAAATTACTATCCAGGGGCGCTATTCTGTACTATCGTCGGTATCGGCAAGTTACCGACAGCTATCGGTACATACGGCCAATGAGCGTCGTGTTGATTGTTGTTGTCATTGTTACCGATCGGCCCTATGACAGATATCGCAAATTTGTACCGACGACTCTCGGTATCTCTACCGTGCGGTTGACAGGGGCACGGTAAAGATACCGATTTTCGTCGGTACAAATTTGCGATATCTGCCATAGGACTGATCGATAACTATGGTAACAACAATTAACACATTGTTACTATATACAAATACGTATCGAGAGCTGTCGTAACTTACCGATACCGACGATTTTACAGAATAGCGCCCCAGGGGCGCTATTCTGGACACGGCATCGACAATCGTCGCGTCGGTATCGGTAAGTTACGACGGCTCTCAATACGGATTTGTATATAGTAAAAATGTGTTAATTGTTGTTGTCATAATTACCGATCGGTCCTATGGCAAATATCGCAAATTTGTACCGACGAGGATCGGTATCTCTACCGTGCCTTTGTTAACCTCACGGTGGAGATACCGAGAGTCGTCGGTACAAATTTGCTATATGTCCTATTAATGACAGCTAAAACTATGGCAACAACAATCAACGCGACGCCCATTGGCCGTACGTACCGATAGCTGTCGGTAACTTACCGATACCGACTATTGTACATAATAGCGCCCCAGGTGACGTCATGTGCATGGCGAACCGATTTTGGACCGCTAAGGATCCTATCTTTTGTTTATTGTATCCTGGTATCAAATATACAGGGTGGTCCGAACTGTACTCCGGAAACTTCGGCAGCATATTCTGCAGATCAAAATAAGTAAAAAAGTTCCTATAAATGTATGTCCTAAATTACTTAGTTTCCGAGATACAGGGTGTAGAAGTTTCATTTTTATTTCGATTTTTTCCAAATTATTTCTGATGTAACGTCAATATCTGGATGAAAATTGGTGTCTGGGAGTTTTTTGACATGAGAAATTTTATTTTGATATCAATATGACTCTTACTTGCATCTGGCGCCACCTACATTTGTCTTAATTGTTTTGAAGAGTAATAACTTTTCGTCCGTACTACTGAGTGAAAAAATATACATTTCCGCGATTTTTTACGTAAAAAATGTCTCTTCGTAAAAATCGCTACGAGCAACCCTTTTCAAGATACTTAGAATGGAAATAGTCAATACATGAGTTAATCACCGCGACCTTAAAGATCTATTGTGTGTTCCCCTTTCTTGAGTTATAACTCATCATACAGTCTCAGGGCTTTAACAAAAGCCAGTATCTGAGACGGCTCCACAGAGGCCAGCTCTCCATCCTCGCCATCAGCCGTACCAACGTCTCGGCGCACTTAGTGATAAGGTGTTCTGGTGTTTCCCCATTTTCCCCACAGAATCTGCATTCGCCGTTGTTTCTCAAATTCAGCCTATTGAGGTGTTCGTTGAGGAGACAGTGTCCTGTTAGAAACCCCGTGACAATCCGAGGATTGTTTTTACTTAAATCAAGGAAAACCTTTGATTTTTCTCGGTCGTAAGTTCTGAGGAACTTTTTCGAGTGTCTTACAGCGTTGGAGGACACCCATTCCAACTTACGGATGGAGTGTTCCAGATTCTTCAGTTCCGCTTTCAGTTGGTTCCCGTTTGGAAAACAGAACGGTTCTGGTCCAGTTAGTGGAGTGTTCGCTCCTTTCCTAGCTAGATCATTTGCTTTTTCATTGCCTTTCATTTGACTGAAATGATAAATTTAGGATTACAGTTGAGGGTTGGAACCTTTGGTGTTACACAGCAAAATAGAAACACTAAATCACCATAATACACCAAAACACTTTTACTTTTACACTGGAATGTGATTCAGTGTAAAAGTAAAAGTGTTTTGGTGTATTGTGGTGATTTAGTGTTTTTATTTTGAAATTTAGGAACTTTTTATGTTTTTAAATTAATCATAAAATTTCCTTCGAAAAAATAATGATGAAACAGTTTCTGTTGAACTTTTGGCACAAAAACATTTCGAATTTACGATTTCAGTCTAATAACTGTTTAGTGAACATGTTTAATTTATGTCAATCATGACAGGTATTAATAATTTCGATTCCAAATATCTCGAGAACCATTACTCGTGGCGATTTTTACCAAGAGACCATTTTTCACGCAAAAAACGTCGTAAATGTATATTTTTTTACTGATTAGTTTTATACAGGTACGAACGAAAAGTTATTACTTTTCAACACAGATAAAAAAATGTGTAGGTGGCGCCCTCTAGAAGTATGAGTCATATTGACATCAAAATCAAATTTCTCATGTCAAAAAACTCCCAGACACCAATTTTCATTTAAATATTGGCGTTACCACAGAAATTATTTGGAAAAAAACGAAATAAAAATAGAACTTCTACACCCTGTATCTCCGAAACTAAGCATTTTAGGACATACATTTATACGAACTTTTTTACTTATTTTTATCTGCAGAATATGCTGCCGAAGTTTCCGGAATACAGTTCGTACCACCCTGTATACATTTATTCAATGTTTAAATAAATTTGCATGCAATTTAAAATGTTCTCTAATTATTGCTTATTTATTATTAGTCCTGACGAGCCTGTTGAGCTAAAAGAACTTTGGCCAAAAACCGTAGAACAAGCTGGTGGTTTAAATACGTTAATATCCCAAGCAAGAGTGCTTCACAGTATCGAAAGCTTAGAATCTTCAGATTTTCCGGCATTGGACGGCATAGAAGTACCACCCGCGAGTACGATAGGTAATTTAAATAAAAAAAAAACGTCTCTTCCTATGGGGTGATCAACAATGAGTGACAGATTATCTATTTTGCTCGTTTACTTGGCAGTAAATTTAAGTAATTCGAATATTTATCAGCTGTTACCACTAGAGAAAAACAAACCAAAAATTCAATAATATAATTAATTTTTTGACGATATTCAAATTCGTTTGTATTGCCAACTATTTCATCATTGTTGATCGCTGTGAGCTAATATGCTTGGTAAAAAATTAAAAAAAAAACAGGTATAGAATGTTCAGCCATTATTCAACGTCCCGTCATATACCGGGCGCGTCTCAAAAGTGGCTCACCTCTATAACTTTTTTATTTTATCAGATAAAAAAACGAGATTTGGTATGTTAGTATATTATGACGTAAATTGGGATTGATTGACGTATTCAATTGTTTTTAGTCGCTTCCTGTTTCACCGGAAATGACTACAACTTTTGATTTTTAAATAGCACCCTCTGTATTTTTTTTACTTTATTTGATAGAAAATGACACTCCGAATAAAAAAAATCTTATTTTAAATATCAATCTAGAGTGCCATGGCTGTGTTAAAATCACTAATTTTTATTTCAAGGAAAAAATATTGGAAAAATATATTTGATCGTCTAATGTTTTTTGTGTCTTGTCCTGGTCGGTTGAAAGATGCACAAATCGTATTTTTAATCATATCTGAATTTTTTCAAAGGGAACGAGTGTGGCTCATTAGCATATTTGGAAAAAGCATTTTTTTATGAATAATTTGGTATCACACACTTGGTATTTCGAGTCAAATTATCGTTATGAACCGCATGTTACAATTTCAAATACACGAGAAAATGTCAAAGTTGACATATGATATGTCATTCTATTCAGAGTGCCATTTTCTATCGAATAAAGTAAAAAAATACCGAGGGTGCCATTTAAAAATCAAAAGTTGTAGTCATTTCCGGTGAAACAGGAAGTGACTAAAAACAATTGAATACGTCAATCAATCCCAATTTATGTCATATACTAACATATCAAATCTCGTTTTTTTATCTGAAAAAATAAAAAATTATAGGGGTGATATAGGGAGACGCACCCGGTATAGTCGAACTCTCTCAGTAACTTGCCAACCAGATGAAAGAGATTGGTGACGTCATTACGGCATTTCGTAAATTACTGCATATTCTTTTTAGTAATTGCCATTGTCATTTGATTTGAGGCGATAATTCAATTGACGGACATCTGTCAATGTCAAAATTAAAATTTGATTGTTGCTGTAAAACAAAATTCAATTTTTTTTATTGCAAAAATGCAGTTTCCAATAAGGTCTTACATTTTCTAACAAATTAAAATGTATGTGTTAGATTTAAAAGCAGAAGTCCATAGAAAAAATTCCTCTGAAAGCAGTGATGATTCAGAAGGGCATACGGCTCAGGCTTCGATCGATGTTGAAGCGCAGGCACCAAAAACCTCGAAACACCGGAGGAGCGAAAAGAAATCGAAACACCAAAGACCAAAAACAGACGATTTTGTAACAATAAATGTTTTCAATGATGATAAGGACGTCTCTTTGGAAAAACTCTATCCTCAAGGTAATTATAGTAAAATAATAACATAGACTAATTCTTTAATATAGTCTGTGAAACGAATAACTTTAAATTTGACAGTTCCCGCGGGCTGTTCTATTGTTAATTTTATTAGGTTAGCAACTTGCGGCCATGTTGACGCAATGCCGTCTCTAATAGAACACCCAATGACAGCGATAAAATCACAGCCATCTTTATTTCATAGCCATCACTGACGCCTTTTTTTCTATGATATTGTATTATTTGCAAATATAATTTTTCGGTCGTTGATACTTGCAAAATATACATATGAAATTTGTGAATGCAAATAATAATACATCACTATTAGTAGATATTGATTGTTTTTGTTAAATTAGATCGATTTTCAAACCACAAAATTTAAAATATATTTTACATTTTACCCATTATCTTATGTACCGATTCATTATTTGTATATTGTAAAACATTTGCTGCATTTGTATTGCTCATAGTTGTATTTGCCAAAGTATTTATTACCATAAATATGTATACATATCGTATTTATAAACTGTATATTATGTATATTTCATGTAAACTATATCATTTTTAAAATACAAACCAAAAATACGAAGAATAATTATTTTTTCCATGTATTCTACAACATATTTATTAAAATATGTTGTAGAATATTTAGTATATCATTTCTAAAATACAAACCAAAAATACGAAGAATAATTATTTTTTCCATGTATTCTACAACATATTTATTAAAATAACATATATATTTATTAAAATACAACATATTTATTAAAATATGTTGTAGAATACATGGAAAAAATAATTATTCTTCGTATTATAACCAAAAATACGAAGAATAATTATTTTTTCCATGTATTCTACAACATATTTTAATAAATATGTTGTATTTTAATAAATATATATGTTATTTTAATAAATATGTTGTAGAATACATGGAAAAAATAATTATTCTTCGTATTTTTGGTTTGTATTTTAAAAATGATATAGTTTACATGAAATAAAAATATGATAAACAATTTACATTAGAATATGTTTAACTGCCAAAGTCAAAATCCTCTTGATCATACAAAAATGGATCGTACAGTCATATTCAATAGAGCACGTCGCAAGAACGACAGATAATAATTTTTAAACGACAGACAACCCTAGGCTGCGTTTATATATTTTTCCGTAGTATCTAACTAGCGTGACGTCATAAATCTCTTCGTGACTGTTCTATTAGAGACGGCATTGGTCTGATATTTAGAAATGTCAAAAGCTGATGACATTTTACTTTTGACATTATGACATTTCGTGTTGATTTTTGCAAGAAGAGGAAGAACTGTCACTTGTTTTATTATTTTCCTTTTCTATTTCACGAAAGTAAAAACAGTTACCTATCTGATTCGTTCAGGCACTCAATTTAAAGAATATCAGTAACTTTTTTGACAGAGGGATTTTATATTTGCCATGTTGGTAAAAAATAACGGTCAAAATTCAAAGTTATTCATTTTATAGACTATATACACAATATAATCATAGTAGAAGGAAAAGAGTAGTTGCACTCCAGAAAATATTTAATATTTTCTGCCAGTTTTTATAATCTGTCGAATATCGGCAGAGCGTTTCAGTTGAGTTCGAGTTCGAGCGTTGCGTCCCAGCACAGAGACGTATTGACAAAAAATGAGTGCCTTACTGTGTGCTGCTATTGGTTGTAGTAATAATTCAAAAAATTGTGCTTTGAGTTTTTTTGAGAGTCATTTATGATCATATTTGTGTTCAGGTTAATTTTTCTCTTATTACTACTTAATAATTTGATATTATTTTCATTTAAACCTCAATTTTTTATCGATTTTACTTTTGACCACCATTCCTTGCTAGCTGTTTAACGAACTTCACCATCATTGAACTAAAATTGCTAGTACCGAAAGTACCAAATAAAATGGAAATCCCGGTTCCTTAGAGGCATGGTACCGAAATTACCGGTTCGAAAAACAGCTCCGGTTCCGGAAACGCTATAACGTACCATAACCGTGAATCTCCCTATACAGGGTGAGTCTTAAATAAGTGCAAATATTTTAGGGGTAGTATATTTTGGTCCCAGAAACATGAGGATTTTTCTGCGCAATTTTTTTGAAAAAAGAAATCTGGAATTTTTTTAGTTTTTAGTAAAAAAATACTTTCTTGATAATATGGTAACTAGGGTTCAGAACCGGAAATTCACGGTTCTTTTGAGATATCAGAGAACCGGGACTGGAAATTATCAATGCCCGGTTCTTTCGGTACCTCCAGGACTCGGTAACAATAACTAAAAAAATCTTTTTTATTACGCGAGAAAGTAGTGATGCTATTTCTCATTGTTCTTGCTTCTCTTCTCTTTTGAAATTTCTGTAATGTTTATTAGCAATTATTGAAGTTTAAATATGTTATTTTATTATTTAGTACAATGTGTGGTTCAATGTATTAGTTATACAATGAAAATCACCTAACCAATATATTACTACAAAACAAACACATTAATGTTAAAATTAAACTTGTTTTAAATTAAAAAAGTTGTAGAAAATCTTTGAAATAGATAATAATATAAAAATATGTCATTATATATTTTTTCCGCATTTCTTCCCGTCAGAAGATTTTCAGATACAGAAGAATTGTTACTACACGAAATGTGAAAATATTCTGTTTTCAAGCAAATTTCTACTCGAAGATCATTTTATTTTATTTTATTTTATTGTGAACTTAATATTTTCCTAAATACATCTCTGTGAAACTATGGCGAGTGCCACGACTATACTTTGCCTAGTTATAGACCACGACTATACATCTACGTCAGTGGTCAAGGGACTCGAGAACAAGGTCATATAAAGTGGCAGAAAAAGAACAAAGGATTTAACAAGAAGTAAAGCTACTAGTTTCCTTATACTATGATATAATATTTGTATTTATTTTAGATATCTTTTTGTTTTTTTTTTTTTTGGTTGTAACATAGTTTTCTAACTATATACGATGTTTCTGTCGTGATTGTTTGGATAAAAACAAGTTATTGTTGTTTTATTCAAGGTCTACAGTTAGTTCCCTGGATCGTCTTTACAAGAGGAAAAACTTTTTTATTATTGACATTTTGAGAAAAATACATTCTTCATAAAAATTTTTGTTTGTTCGAAAATGGTTAATCCTTTCTATATAATAATAATAGCTCCCGTATATAGCGTTTGACGCCTTGGTAGTAGCAAGGTACAGCTTGCCATACTAGAGCCGTTCGGTATACAAGGAAGGTAATGTGGCTAGCACTACGCGTCAACCGCCTATTATTACCTCAGGATTGTGAATCCCAAGTACTCATTTAAGGCTGAGTCGACCTAATCCCTTTTATACTTTTCCAAATTTCAATACCGTTTTAGAGAAAAACCTAAAAAGAAATGCACGGTATAAGTTAACCTTACATTTAAAAAAACTTGAAAAATTTACGACGGTATTAATTTACCTCATTGTGAAGGCACACAATCAATAATTTAACATTTCTTCTCAAATAAGGGCTGGACACTTCTCATCAAAAAAACTGGAATCTAAAAGAAAGGCATGTGAAGTTTTCAACCATCTATAGGATAACAAAATCACAATATTATTCCCATATTGTGAAAAATACCAGCCAAATAAATTTCTCTCAAAAATGGCACGGTGACCTCGGCAACGGCCAAATCCGAGGTGACGATTTTGACGTTTCCCGTCTTATCGATACACCAGGGTACGATCCAATATTTTCGTTAGAGAGCGTTCCGAAATTTAAGTGTTGTAGAAATGTAAAAAGAATATCGATACAATAATAAAATACCGTCTATAATAAAACAAAGTAGCATTTGGAAAATGAAAATCGTCAGTGAAACGTGATAACCTGCTAACTCCATTTTTTACGTTAATTCAAGTCTTTTTATACCATTAGAAAGAGAAAAAAATACTCTATAAGTAGGGAAAGCAAACACATTTTTTCTCATTAAAGAAAATTTTTTATTATAACTCAATAATATCTGCTAACTCCTAGTGATCTGAAATAGCCACCGAAATGCTGCTATCTCCGTAATTTCCGTTACGATCACGCTAAAGCAAACACACAGATTCTTACTCGATTGTTTTTTTAGTACAGTACGCGTCGATTCAGGGTCGCACTAGGCTAAAAAGGGGCCCGAGTGGCAATGTAAGGAGGGGCTGTGTTTTTTTGCGTATTTTTTCGCCTTACGTTTTCAATTTTTCAGGTCAATTTTTCCCTATTATATACAGGGTGAGTCTTAAATAAGTGCAAATATTTTTAGGGTAGTATATTTCGACCCAAGAAACACGATTATGAGTTTTTTTATATAAATTTATTTATTTTTGAAAATTTGGAATTTTTAAAAAAAATTTTTTTTTTAATTTTTAGTTTGAAAACATACTTTGTTTGTAATATGGTAACATAGGTAGTAGATTAAATTTACAAGAAAGAAAATCCAATGATTCTCAAAATTATAGCCAAAAATTGGAAATTTTAAAAGTGAAATAACTCGGTTGTTTTGGATTTATTTGAAAAAACGGTAAAGAGAAAATACTATTTCTTTTATCGAGATTTACCAGCCCTGAACATATTTGCACTTATTTAAGACTCGCCCTGTATAGAAATGAGGGAACTACCCTAATGCAAGGTAAACCAATGCAATGCAAATTCCATAATGCAATACAAAAGCAAATATTGTTAAGAATAAATAATGAACAATAAATAATGAATAATGAATAAACTATAAAGGGGGCTCGCGAAGGCTGGCCCCCGACTAATAGTTATCTATATAATATGGCCAGTCCGACCCTGCGTAGATCCGTTCTGTAAATACGGGGTATCCGTAAAGGGTAAGGGGAAAACGAAATTCTCTATATACGAGAAATTCATCGGCCTGCTATAAATAGTTTAAATAACATTACTTATTTGTACAAGAGTTTCCATAATACCTAATCAGTTTTAATTTTTTCAACGTTTTTCCACGTAAATGATACGTAATTTTTATAAAAATTAAAGAAATAAGGAGAAAAGTAATAAAAATTTAATAAAATCACGCACTGGTCTTCCAAGCTCGGTCTACTACCGTTGTAAAAAAAATAGGATAAGTATGGAAGGATTCTACCATATCTTCTAAGAATTATATAAGTTTAATTTTTAAGTTATTTTCATATTAATTAAGTCCAAAATTCTGCTACTTCAGTTCTTTAAAAATGAAAAAAAAATTAAAATTTTCATTAAAAATGTATTCGTTTTTGGACTTGTATGTTTTGCTTCTAGACCGACGATATTATAAATATATGGTTATCAATATGTTTTTTTAATTTAATTGATTATTTCTAAATCTGTTTGAGTAATATTCATTTCCATTTTCAAAATTTCAAACAATAAAGGTTGCTATCTCCAGAAGTATATTTTTATTTCTTATTTCTGCAAGACGAATATCTGCTATCTCCCTATTGTGTCTGAAAAAAATGACGTAACACGAAATATTGAGTTTTATTGTTCCCCAGCAAATAAAATTCTTATCTCTTTATCATATTAACCCATCAAAATACTTCCTACATGTGTACATATTTTTTTGTACCGTTTTTTTGCTCTCCTGTAAAATTAGGAATAATGGAGTTAGCAGTTTATCACGTTTCACCGACGAAATGCTACACTATAACGGCAAAATCATCGCATAAAGTTAGTAAACTATGTGACAACCGAAAGAAATTGTAAAAAATAAACTTTATCTAAAATGAACGAAAATTACGCGATATATTTTTTTTCAGGAAGGCAGCGGGCTCTTTTTGATAAAATCCTAGCAAACAAACTGTTTGGGAATTCCGACCTGCAAGTCTCAGATTCGGGACTTCTAATCGGTCAGAGGCCCTCATTGCAGAGTGTAGAATCGGAGCAAGGTTCTTCTACTAACGTGGGAACCAGCGATAGGAGACACTCCAACTTTACCAATAGTAGTTTGAATTTTTTACCTACAGCCACACAGTCAGAAATAAAAGCAACTGGAAGTTTAGAATTAGGTTTGTCTAAATTTGTTTTTACCCTGTACATTTCATAATAATTTTAAATTGTGCACATTGCCTCCCCACATATACCCATAAAATATTTTGTTTCTACATCTTTCCGTTTTCATATAATCAACCGAGGCGAATGAGTGCGCTGCCCTGTATACGAGATTATATACAAGCTTTATTGGTGGCTAACATAACTCTCTGGGTATACATTTACTTTTCCCTCCATTTTTCCTCCACCTGACTTTAAAAAACAAAACACACAACACGTAATAACACAAACCAAAATTTCAACCGCATATATTTTTTTTAGGTTACATTGACAAGAATCCTAACCAGGCGCTCACATCGGAAGGGTTCTACTTCAAACCGAAAAGCAAAGATGGCGTTAGACGTTTCCGTTCAACGGCCTTGGAAACATGTTGCCCCCCGCCTGTCATTCCCGCTAACACCAACAGTTTGGAGGTGATAGGATGTAAAAATAACAACAATAATCTTTTACCGCCGCCCAGCACAAGTTTGACAAGAAATCAACATTTGAATTTATGTCCCTATTATGGTAAGTTATAGTCTGTCCAACGACAAAATCCTTAACAGTGATAGACGTGCCTGTCATTTTAATTTCAAAGTAGTTTATTTTATTCTACAAATAAATAAGTTGGTACAATTGGAACGCATAGCAGAAAATTATGAAGGCTAAAAGGAGGAGGCGAATCGAACGCAAACATTTTGGGCCCAGATTTCATGATCTAAATGAAGTTCGAAAATCTCCGTTAGGGGCGCATGTGTGGATACTGAAACTAGAAATACACAGATTCTTATGGCAAGAATAACTATTTTGTTATAAATTATAGAGCCAAGTTAATACTTGGGCATATTTTTACCAGAGTTAGCTTTTAGAAACGTGTTTTTTTTCTAATTGAGCAATGTGCGTAGCTAAAATTGTGAATACAAAACCTTAAATTTTAGTTAGGTTATATCAGATGCCGGTTTTAGATATTCTTTTCCTAAGTTGTTATTATAAGAATGTTTTATTATGGGGTTCTATTTAGTGCATACACGGCCGAAGAAAAATATAAGCTGCTAAAGTAAATGTTTTCTTCAACTGGTGTAGAAAAAATATAGAAGTTCCAGCAACAAACGTATCACCAGTTCAACCTTTGATTTGATGTAAACAGTAATTGTTCCTTGATGAGAAATGTGAATTAAATAGTTTATGATGTGAGTGTGTTAGTGATTTATTAATAATTTTGCTGATGCAGGTTAAAGTTTCATAATTTTTCATGATTCAATGGACATGTTTACGTGCAGTTCATTGTGATACTAATAATAAACATTAAAAACTTTTAAACTAGTAGTGGTTTGGTTAGGTTAGGTTAATATAAACATTGCACTTATCTTGTTTGATTGGTGTTGTGTGTCTCGTAACTTTTTACTTTTTTTTAACTTGTCTAAATTGTAAGTTTTAATGTCATTAGCAAAGTTTTGCCAATTATGACTGTTTTACAGACATTTAAATTGAAGATGTATTATGTTCAATGTCACCTAACAATTGTGTTATAAATACATATGTATACATTTGATTTGATCTGTAATTAAAGTTCCCTCTGTTGATATCTACTTTATTATTAATACGAGTATGAGGTAGGTTTGTAAATAAAATATTAAGTTAAATATACTCTCTATTAATATGATTTTTAAATAAATCTGTACACTGATAATTTTAATGTTTTTCTTAACATCTATCATAATTTTTTAAAATAAATAGTCATATTACTAAAGCTGGATTTATAAACTCGGGAGTTGAGGTTCAGTTGCCGTTCAAAATGTTCAACGCTATGAAATGAACGCGCGCATTTATAAAGTCAGTTGGTCGAAAAGTTGGCAGTTCGTTTTACGTTCAACGGAGTTCAAAGATGGTCAATGTTTATGTCGGCAGTTGGCGACCGCTGGCGACGTTCGGCGACAGCCAATGAATAAGCGCCTGTCGATCACGTGAAGCACAGTACGCCGTGGCATTGGAAAATTACCCTTATTGTTGTTTCATTATTTCTGTTAATGTAATGTTTATATGTTGCGTAATCGTGGATTACTGTGTTTGGTTTGGTGTGTTTCTGTGTTTGAACTTTGACAAATACCAAAAGTATTTTTAAATCGAAAGAAAAACGTTCGAAATTTTCACAATTCCAAACCTAACCTACAACCGAAACTTACAGTTTATAAATGCAAAAATTTTGAACCTCAACTGCCGCGAACATCCAACTGCAACTGAACCTCAACTGAACGTCAACTTCCGAGTTTATAAATCCAGCTTTACATTAGGAGCTTTGAAAAGTTTTGGGTTACTTTTTTTTCTTTGTTTTTTTTTTTATTGAACTATCCATTTCCACAGTCAGGTACAGAGCTATTTCTACTGTATAGTTTTTTTTCACAACACTCATTGTTATACTGCTAAAAATTCAACAAATTAACTTAATTTTGTCAAAAATAAACTTAAAACCGTATAATAACAATGAAAATATAGTGTCAGTATCGATCGCAATGCCTCTACTGTCAAACCGAGAAACCTGCTTAAAAGTAGGGACAGAAATTTCAAATATGCCCATTGCCCATAAACCTCCTTTTTTAAGCCCTCCATACAGAAAATTAATATATTTAAAATTTGAGCGACAGTTTAAAATATTGTGAAAACAACTATAAAACTGAAAAAATCTTTAGTTAGTTCAGTTATTTTATTTAAAAAAAATTACGGTATGTATTAATCTCGGAGTAATACAAAACAAGCAAAACAACACATTCCAACTATTTCTTACATTCAAACTTCAAGAACTTCCTGAATTTATTATTATATTTATCAATATAACTTATATACCTACAAATAAAAAAAAAATGATATTGCCTAGGAATAAATAAAACAAAATGTTTTACTAATAACACTTATTCTATTTTATACCCTAAAAGTTGATTAACTAACTTTAATCTTGATGATTAACATTTTTAGCCGACCATACCAACAGGTATGGTAGGCTATTAAGATCGGCAAAAAAAAGTTTTTTTAATTTCACTCAAAATGAGTTATTTGGGTCATAAATGACCTAAATACAAAATATTTGCGTGGTGTCTGTCCGTTTGTCCGTCTGTCTGTAACACGATAACTCAAAAACCGCTAAACCGATTTTAACCAAATTTTGCACAAAAATACTGTGACACCCGAGAATCTGGCCATTAGTTTTTGGTGGGGGTGGGGGGTTGGTAACGGGGTATGGAAGTGGGTTAAAAATTTCAAAAATCGTAACTCCAAAATTACAGTAGCTAGCGAAACGCGGTTTTCAATTTAAGATTAGGAATAATATTTGCAACAAAATTTGTAATAACATCAAAATCAGTCAAAGTCGCAGTTTTTGAGATAAAAAAAATTGGAAAAATTCCTTTACTTTGAAACTAAAAGAACTGCCTACCAACTTTTTATTAACATATTTTAGTATGGGCGGCTATATGTGCCTCCCGGCGCCAATTTTTTTAACCAGTACTTTATGACGTTATCTTTCGGCAGTACTAAATCTATTATTTACCTTCGTGTGATGTTATTTTACAGCTACTCCTGTTTTTAGTACCATATACGTGATGGTATACACGCATTACTGATGATAACTTTATTGGTGTATAAAATTCTCTGTCTGGGCACCGAATATTAACTATAAAATGTGCTCTGGGTCTACAGTTCATTTTCTCTTGATTTTTCCTCCACTTAACTTCAAAAGACATAAAAATTAATGAAAAAAATATTTACCATTGTCATATAATATACTGTATAGGTGCCCGGTGGCGTAGAGGTACAGGCTCTCGTCTACCAATCTCAAGGTGTGGGTTCGATTCCCACACCCGGCATTTCATCAGCCGACTATTTTTATTAAAATAAAAATAGTTTGGGTACCTAGGTCGACTCAGCCTTAAATGAGTACTTGGGATTCACAATCCTGAGATAATAATAGGCGGTTGAAGCGTAGTGCTAGTCACATTACCTTCCTTGTATACCGAACGGCTCTAGTATAGCAAGCTGTACCTTGCTACTCCCAAGGCGTCAAACGCTATATACGGGTGCTATTATTATATATAATATACTGTATTTTGGTTATTTTGTAGGTTCCGAAATTGTTTATCCCATTGCCGAACAATCAGATGAGCATCAGACATCTCATGGACCCGACACTGATATTGAATCAATATCTCATGTCTCTGATTCAGATTTGGAAGAAAATAATAGAGGTATGTAGAGTATGTACGTAACCATAATCTAAAATTAGGCCAGTAAGCGGGGTTTTAGGGTCCGAATTCTGAACACTTGCACCGATTGACGTGAAACGTGAATTGTGAAAGTTGTGAATATAGATATATCCGTCGTACAAAATAAAAACCGTTGCATGTCATCGAGCACGTGCATTGATTGTAGACAGCATTGTTGCCAGATTGTAATCGGAAGAGAAATATTTTTGAAAAATTTATTATATCTAAGATCTATTAAAAATTCTAAAATAAACTTTAAATTGTTAATAGTTTTAAATAGTTTCAAGCAGCGCTGAAAAAAAATATTTTTAAACAAAACATGTTTTTTTATTGTTTAAAACAAATTTTTATGGTTTTAAAGAACATTGTAAATACAAAGTCGAAAATATGTTTACAACACTTTTATACTCTGTTTTAAACCATATCATGTTGAGTAATGATAAAGCCAAAGGACAAAACTTAATTCGATTTTAGAAACCTTAATGGTGCTCCTCCAAGTAGTAGTACAGAATTAATAGTTTATTTATTATTTAGACAATATTAAGTTGAGCTGATTACTCTGTTTTTTATTCCTTTTGTATTATAGTTGTTTTTTTATTTTGAAAGAGTGTTTCACATTTTTTATTGAAATAAACACCTACACACCAAACCTATTTAATACTCTGTTTTAAACAAATATTTAAAACAAGTAATGGTGTCTTAAAAACATTGTTTTAAACATTTTGTTTAATTAATAACAGTCTGAGTTTCGGGCAATTCAAAATATTATCTATTATAAAGAGTGGTAAATGATTATAAAATATATAGGCAACTTTTTGAAATATTCCAAGAATTAATAAGTATTTTCCATAGAAGATTAGTAGGTTTTGTTTCTCAAAATAAAAAAAAAAAACTCACTTCACTGGTCTACTTTAAAATACTTTATTATAATATAACGGGCCGTTATTGTCCCTTTCTTTCTCAAAATATTGTATCAGAGATGACACTAATTCTTGGCACCGACTATTTAACTGCTTAGACATTTTTCAAAGAAGAAACTAACAACTACTATACAAAATATTCTGAAACCAACAGTTTTCGATCGATAGATAAAGGTTTTAAAAGATTCAATACACACGAGACACAACTCTCAACTAACGTTCAGAAAATTCTGGCAAATGTCAAATAAACGTGGCACCGCTGCAACCGCTTCCTCGTCGTTGCCAACACAATATCGAGTGGGAGATTTAAAACACATTGAAAACGTCCCATAAGGGCCATATTTGTGTAGTGGTAGCACTGCACACATTTATTAGCCTAATCGATAGCCCGCAACGGTTTTTATTTTGTACGACGTATATGTAAGAAACAAAAGTTACATAGTAGCGATGTGTGCTTTCTCCGCATCCTCCTATCTTTACTAATAATGGAGATACCATATGATTTCAACCAAAATGGGACATAATATAATATTATATTTCACGGTTTAAACACAAACATTTTGTGTTGTTTTTAGGCAGCAACTCGCCTCTGCTCTTCGTCAAAATGAAGAAGATGAAACACGTCGTGCCTTACAATGCCGATACCAAACCGGACAGTTACGCCCACCCCAAACCGGAAAGCGCCAACACCACCTCGAAAGAGGCCCTGATCGACCCCGAAAACTCCAATTCCAGCGTGACGGAGAACGCGCACGAGGCCCACTGCGACTACGCCACCGATAACGACGTCAGCGACAAGAAGTTCAGCGAGTGCTCGAACCTGTCCTGTTCCAGCGACGATTTCCAGGAGAGCATGAAGGTGAAACTGGAGGAGCTGCAGACGGTGATGGTGGGGGACGAGAGGGAGAATTGCGAGGCTGTGGAGGTGGAGGCTGCGGAAGGGGCGACTGGGAGCACGGTGTATGACGTGACGGATAATGTGTTATCGCCGAACGCGGCGGGTAAGCTTGTGTTAATTTTATTTTACCGTTACCAAAGAATCTTTAGATATGATTTTTGAGGTAGCTATCGGTATGTTTGCCTCTCTGCGATTTTGTGGCCATTAAAATGATGGGCTATACCGAGTGCGTTTCAAAAGTGGCTTACCCCTATAACTAGAGATGCATAAATAGTAACATAACGCAACCGTTCCTACCTTTGAATAAAAAGATTAAGATTAACACTCAAATATGGCCGACCTAAATTCCGATTTATCAGTGCCGTTCTAATTTTATTTAAAAAGTGTAAAACTATGATGTAGGGTAGACGTGAGGTAGACTCAATAATTTTTAGTTTTATTTTACGTTGTGAATAAATGTTGGTAGTTATTAAAATTGTTATAAAAATATAAAATCCTAGTAAAAATAGATAAGTTATAATAATAATTATTAACACAAACATCCGATACGCTACTGAAGCAGGTAAGTCAAATTGACGTATCTAAATTATTCTTTGACATCTAATCTTTGACAAGTAGTAAATAACAGCAAAAATGCAAGAAAAAATATATAATTAGTTAATTTAAGTGAATTTCGTAGATGATCGGTTTACTACACGTATGTATATTATATAGTCACCTACTAGCGAAAAGTTGTTCCATTATTGCACTCGATTTTTGACCGAGATCTACCGCACGCTACACAACCAACTATTTTAGAGTCTTTTCGATAAATTGCAATAGTGTCGCTGTTAATTTAATAATTATTGATTAATAATTCCAAAAAGACAACTAGTAAAAAATCTGTTATTTCTATAACCACCGATAACGGGCGCCGACCGTCGAGATACACCGAAGTGGGGAATGCGTTACGGCGAACGTTGCTGCATCGGTCGATGGTCGTGTTGGGCTCGTAACAGTTTAAAAATAACAGTATATAAAATAAGCAGCTTTTTTAACCAGTTGCGAGCATAACACGTGGCGGTCGAGGTAACCGGAGTGGGAAAGTAACGCTGTCGATGTTGGGCTCGTAACAGGTTGGAGAATAACGTATAGAAAATAGGCAGTTGTTTTTGATACATTGTTTTTTAACCGGTTACGAACATAACGGGTGGCGATCGAGATAAGCGGAGTTGGAAAATAATAGCTTTTTCGCCTATACCGGGTGCGTCTCAAAAGTGGCTCACCCCTTTCGATTGCGGTGTGCGGTGGCGTTAGAATTTAATTATTTAATTTTTAATACATATATTTAAAGACAAAAAATATATATAGGGCAACGGCTCAGCTACGTCGAAACACCGGTTCCCATTAGAACACCGAAGTTAAGCGATGTAAGGCGATACTAGTGGATAGACGGGTTACCGGTTCGAAACTCTGTAGCGTGCTGTTGTCCAAAAAAAAGGCAAAAGTGTAAAATCTATTGACACACACTGCTCATTCACGCCGGTTCGAGGCCGGATGAGATCGGATATCTCGTGAGTAAGAGTCGATTTAGACACTTGCCAAGTCGGTAGGCCATTGACCATGTTATGGCCGAGGACCGCGGTTCGGATTCCGCGTAAACAAAGTAGGCCCCGTCCAGATTAGCCTTGGCGGCAAAAAGGAGACGTTAACTGAAATCTTTTGAAATCTTTACTGTACAAAAAATATAACTGAAAGGTATTTTTTTATTGCCTTTACTAAAACATATCGACAGTCTGAATTTATTTCAATAGTTTGGGAGTGGTTTTATCTTGAAAGATCAAGAAAATTGACATATGATATGTCATTCTATTCAGAGTGTCATAACTATCGAATAAAGTAAAAATATACCCAGGGTACCATTTAAAAATCAAAAGTTGTAGTCATTTCCGGTGAAACCGGAAGTGACCGAGAACAATTGAATACGTCAGTCAATCCTAATTTATGTCATATACTACTATACAATACATAACATACCAAATCTCGTTTTTTTATCTGAAAAAATAAAAAAAAGTTAGGGGTGAGCCACTTTTGAGACGCACCTGGTATAGAGGGTTCAGTTTCCTAGTTGTAACCTAAGGATCAGAAGAGGTCCACAATAGATCTGAGAAGGTCGCAGTGGATCAAGCCGAAAGCCACCTCAAAAAATCTAATCTAGTATGTTGGGTCAAAAAAAAATCATTGTATATAGTTTGTCCATTTTTTACACATGTCTATGTCGTTCTATATTTCATAGTAATATTACTTCTTTAGTTGTTTAATGATTTAAAAGAAATATTTCATTGATTATTATAGATTTCGATACGCCTGTTTCTGAAGAATTTAGTTCGAAACCGAACATAATAAGAAAGAAAAATGTCAAAAAACACAAGAGACATAAAGGAAATGTAAGGGGATCTAGACCGAACAACTGTTGTAGTTTAGTTGAACTGGATTTGGATTGGTTGTTTGAAGAAGAAAATATCGGAATAAACAAGCTACCGCACAGGAAGGGTAAGTTAATAACAATTATTTCTTCTTCTGCATAATTTATTTAATTATTTTTTTTGCGTATTTAATATTTTTTTTGCGAACTGTAAAATTTATAATCCATTGACGAAAAAGGCTAAAGAACGACTAACTCCTTTCTTAGTTTCTTTTTTCTATTAATTGGTATAGTCTGTATTAGTGTAATATATAAATAGATTGTTTTTCTGTGATTTTTGGACGTCATCTGTCGAAATTATAAATTGTCTCTCTGAACAGGCTATACTGTTATTTGAGTTATAATTGTAGACAAATTATATGGTATCTAAAAAATTTCGTATGATCTAAAGTAGGCGTCAAGTGAGCTTTGGGATGACCATCGATGACATTCACTATATAATTTTACATACAAATTGACAGAAATTTTTATTTCCAAGAGAGTTTTTTCGATTGTATGACATATTATGTTGATAAAAAAAATCAAGGACTATATTCTTTTATTTCAGAGCCGCTAAAGAAAGAGAGCGAATGGTTTAGTACAACGACGGTCTCTCTAGAGCAGGACGTCAGTAAAGTATTACAGGAAACTGTACCTGCAGTTAGGAGTTTAGGAGCCATACCGAAAAAAAGTTATTATCAAAAAGATTCGGAGAGAAAGACACCAAAAAGCGAGTCAGAGAAATGTAGATCTTGCAGCAGGTAAGTCTAAGACTTAGGTTGGTAGTTGTGGTGTCTTGGACCACGTGATTGATTCCGATTTTACTGGGGTTGAGTTAAACACAGTGCAATACTAGATTTGTTTATTTCAACGCTCAGAGAAAGAATGAGAATAAATTTACAATGTCGTACCATCAGTACCCTGCCTGCGCATACACCTACCGGAAACGGATAGTGTACTATATCCTACAAATGCTAAAGGCGGAATATTTAAATATTATTTTTATGACAATACTACAATAGTGTTTTAGATAAAGTCTGTACAACGTTGTTCAATGTTACATCATATATTTTAGTCTTTCTTTCACTTGAAAACCAGATAATCATTCCACACACCCAAAATGAATAAAAGCCAAAGATACATATTTGAAACTACTTAAAACTTTCTAAACAATTAGAATGGATCTCAGACGCACCTTAAAACTATTATTAAAGAAATAATTATGACGTAACATTGAACGATCGTTCTAAAGACTAAAGCTTCATTCAGAACCTCGCAATTAGTGGAATAAATTAGTGGTTTCAATTAGCGTAGATGTTTGTTCCTTTAATTTCAATGTAAGCATTCAGAACTAAATTAGTGATAGTCATTTTCAATTAGTAGAAAAAGTTTTTGACTTTTCCACTAATTATACTTCAAAATTTACGAAGAATGTCATTTTGACCTTTGATTATCATCCGTCAAGAGAATTTGTGGTTAGAAATCAAAAGTTTATAGTTTTATAAGCTAAATATTTGGCTTTCTCTATGGATACCACTAACTATCGCAAGCTGGTGCTAGGATATTCTATTAATTTTAATTGTGTTGTTTAGACATTGTGAATGATCCTAAAATAAAAAGTATAAAGTGTAATTAAAACCACTAATTTAATCCACTAATTGAAGCTTATCTATAGCATTGTCATGGTAATACAAATAAATTTAGTTATATATATTATTATTTTATATTAAATATTTTGTTTAGAGATATTTTTTGGTAGTGATATTAGGTTATTTTTATGGTTTAAGATATTTCTGAAAATTATATTATAAAAATGCAGAGAGTTCATTTATATCACAAAAATATTTTTAAAGGCATACTAGAAAATATGATCAAATTACAAATAAATCTATCCGGGTAAAATATGGAGCTTATGTTAGTCACAGTTTATTGTTTTAGTGTTAAATCATTCTCCTTCTTTTTTAGATGTAAATCTGACAGTGATAGAGGAAAATCTATGAAAGAAAACAAAGTGACTCAAACTTGTCGACTAAAAGAGAGTCCTAGTTCTAGTTTGGAAGGTTTGGATATGGCCGTTGAATCTCCTGGCAAAAGAGAGAAAAGTAACACTCCAAAAAGAGGTAAATTTCATTTAATTCAGTTTAATTATTATTCTCTAAAAAGTACACTTGTAAACACAAATGTAAATAAAGATATATGTATAAATTTTTGGAATGTAAAAAAACTAAACATATGGTGAATAGATCTGTTATAAGTTAATAATTTTGTTCATATTTAACATATTACTCTACTCTATGGTCTATGCAATGGGAGTCCAACTGTCACTGTCCCTGACAGTCACGGGGACAATTCGGTGACATACTGTATAATATACAGGTTGGTCCGAATTGTATACCGGAAACTATGGCAGCATATTCTGCAGATAAAAATAAGTAAAAAAGTTCATACATCAATCGTGTCCTAAAATGCTTCGTTTTGGAGATACAGAGCGTATAAGTTTCGTCTTTATTTCGAATTTCTTAACGTTTTTAATTGGTGCTTATTAAAAACAAATTAACAAAGGCAGTTATAGTATGTAATTAGTTCTATTTATTTTAAGTTATATCGAAACAACAACAAAGCAGATGTGAGGAGGCATCGTCGAGCGGGTCGAATACCGAACTTAGTACTCTCATACCTCCGGCGCAGCCACTGCTTTCAGCGTTTCTTAAGTCGAGGAGGGACGTGTTGACCACCAATTGGGTCTCTGGTAATTATTCATTTATGTTACTTTTATTCGAATTACTTTCGACTTTACCGCACTCGGTCTTTGTAGTTGATAAAATACAGGTTTGTTCACCACATACAATACACGGAGTATTGTAGCTAAACGATCAGATTTTTGCAAATTGTAAGTTTTGTTCGTTGAAGAACTATTAGAGCTACAATTTAAAAATCTCTTTACAATGTACAGAGTCTCCCAAATAAATAAAAAATACCAAAGTTGCATTTTTAAATGGAACTCACTGTATATTATTACATTTTTAGTTTCTACGATTAAAATAAAGGTAAATTTAATTTTTAGGTTTCCGCATTTTAATCTTACCGTTTTTGAAATATTTAGGTTTTTGTCAAAATACAATAATAATTTTAATGCTTCATTTCTCTAGGTGTATTTAAGTTTTTAAAACCAAATATTGTACTGAAGTATTGCTATTTACTATACCTGTATAAAACAAGAAGTAACAATGATAAATACAATTAGGGAATGCAATCCCGCACCAAAATCTCAATCCAGCAAACCCGCGGGATTAAAGCAATCAATCCCGCGGATCCGCAAAATTGCTGGACTGTAAACAATAGTCATACATTTGGTCCTAAATGGTACAAAAGGCATTGTACATTTTGCATAGGCCCACAATATATTGATATAGTTAGATATCTTAAACTAGCTGTACAGAAATTTGGACCGATTTATACAGGGTGTTCAAAAAATATATTTAATATTAAATAAACTTAAATTTTATTATAATTCATCTACTTATTTTATAAATAAAAATATTATTCTGATGTTGAAGTTTTTTTTAACTTGTGTTATCTGCTTTTAGATACACTCTATATCAATAATTTTTTGGCATATGCAGAATGTACAAAGCTTTTTGTACCACTTAGTACCATACGTATGACTAAAAATGCATATTTTTTTGAAAAAAAAATCAATTTTCTTTAAAACAAAAAAAATTAAAAAAGCGATCAAATTGTTTTTTTCTAATTTCAATACAGATTAGTCGTACTTGGTAAAAATTTCGATTTTTTAAAACTCGTAAATTTGCGGTAAAAAAGATTCTTGACCAAATTTTCACTCTCTTATAAAACCCCTGTATCCGAGAACTCTACGCTAAATATATTTTCGAAAACCACATAGCATCTTAATCACAATAGATGCATCTAAAACCTGGTCCAAACCGCATCCCAAAATCTTTTTTAGTTCAGAAGATATTCAACTTTAAATTTACCCTAAAATTTTGCTTGTCCCGATAATTATGTCCGGCAGTTTATTTGACGAAATTGTCCACAAGTACTAGTTAAACGGGTCCCCCAGGTTTCGAGCGTCGACTCATCGGCCCGGAACGAAGGGGTTTGACCTTAATCGAGATCGATTCGGTTACCCAGTAGTAATGTGTCAATTCCGCGGATCCCGCACGATAAATCCCGCAACTTCGATCCCGCGGAATCTCAGAGGGATCCCGCATTTGCGGGATTGCATTCCCTAATGACAATAAAGCACAATTGGCGTAATTCATTTTCATATAAATTGAAAATGCTCAAGGAAAAAGTCAGACAAATGTCAATAAGGGGGTTTAAAAGTATGTATATAAAATAGTATTTGTCTCTCTCTTTAGTTGTTTTTATTGAATGTTAGGTGGTTATAGCTTTATTCATGAAAGTATATATGATCTAGGATTGCTTACTAATTTATTAGGCTATGATGGTTTGCTGATTTATCCCTCATTTGCGGGATCCAGCATTTGCGGGATTGCATTCCCTAATTACAATAAAGTACAATTGGCGTAATTCATTTTCACATAAATTGAAAATGCTCAAGGAAAAAGTCAGACAAAGGTCAATAAGGGGGTTTAAAAGTATGTATATAAAATAGTATTTGTCTCTCTTTAGTTCTTTTTATTGAATGTTAAGAGGTTATAGCTTTATTCATGAAAGTATATATGATTTAGGATTGCTTACTAATTTATCACGCTATGATGGTTTGCTGATTTTTGTATATATGTTACAGTGAAAGTCGGAAATTTAGTGATTGTTAACATTTACTAAGAAATGCTAACAATTACGCATTTGACCAGTGAATGTGGTATTTTAAATAGATTTGTCGACTTTTTCTAGTAATTACTAACATTCACTAGTGAAAGTAACATTTACTAAAGGTTGCCAGTAAATGTTATTCTATTGCATAGGGCTAGTGTGGTAAGGAAGAATGTTGGTGGAAGTTAGAACAAATAAAACTTTTAAGAGTATTGGATCACCTCAATATTCAAGGTGATCCACATATCTTAAAATTACAATTTACTTCTTTAGTATATTTATTAAAAATTATAGAAAATAACGACATAACCTTCTAAATATTAAAAGCGATAGTAAACGTTTTGAAGCGTACAAAAGAATTAAAAAAAAAACATTCATAAACATAAGATTACTTATTTGTACAAGGTTTTTTTTAATAAAGTTCTTCATGGTGGACAAAATAAAGGTATGTCCGAATTTTCTTAAACCGGGAGTTATTCGTTTTTTCAAACCCGCTACTTCAAGCATATCAAAACGTTTAATAAGTTCATAGTAACTAGGTTTCTTAATATTTTTTCTTTTGCACGCTTAACTTTTGCTACGACTTCATTATATTGCAAAAATGAAAAACAAGCACTGTTACATTTTTGTGAGTGCCTGGTTTACCTCAATTTTTCACACAAAATTTCTTCCATATGGAAAATACCGCACAGCAGTTTTTACAAAGATAACAAAACAATTACACATAACCGCAAAAAACAAAGCGAATTTACGCCAGATATCTGTCAACGTTGCCAACGTTTATCCCAATTTAATATTATCCTTATATTGCCTATTATTCAACTTATCCTTATTTATCCTTATATTTTACAACATGTGGCAACCGCGTTAACTAAATCTTTCAAACTTACTGCTATCGTCCAGGGAATGATAGCATTCACTAGTAAAAGTTGGTTTCAAAAGTAGCTGTTGAACTTTCATTGGCGTAATCTTAGCAAATCAGTGAATGTGAGCTTTTACTAGTAATTGTTAACAATCACTGATTTTATTATATTAGTTAAAGATTTTATAACAAAAAAGATTTATTTGAAGAATCGTCTCCAAGATCAACACAACGGAATCGACTACGGCGAGCAAGGACCAGTGTGAAAAGGTCCAACACGGGTAAAAGGGAGAACGCTATTGCACAAACTCTGTGTTCCATACAAGGTGCCTATATCGCCAGAAATTTTAACGATACCAACGACGGAGCCGTGCACTGTTTTAAGGACGAACACGGTAACTGGATAACCTACACGTTTGACGACAAAGGTAGGTAATGCTTTTAATATAGGAAAAACCTATTTAAATTATACTTTTTGTAAATAACTTTTTTTCATCGTAAGATATTCTACTAACTATTCCCAAAAACTGTCCAATTTTCGCTTGAAAACGTTTTATTTTACCCATTTTCCCTGCTGCCGGTCAAAATTTCATTTTGTCCTTCGTTCCCGCTATGTTTTGCACGCATTAAATTCCAAATGCCGCGGCTCGTAACGCCAACAAGGTAAGGTATACTACGTATAGAAAATATAACGGGTTAAGGTGCGATAGATATATATATATATATATATATATATATATATATATATATATATATATATATATATATATATATATATATATATATATATATATATATATATATATATATATATATATATATATATATATATATATATATATTGACCGCGTCATTCATATAAATATATTTATATATATATATAGTTTGGCTGTATATAAATATCATATATATATATATATAATATAGATATATGTATATATATATATATATATATATATATATATATATATATAGTTTATATACATTTTTAAATAAATATATATATATATATATATATATATATGTATATATGTATATATATATGAATATAGTTTATATTGGCCGTTGACCGCGTCATTCATAAAAGGATTTCAGTCGTTGGAAAAATTTCGCCGTTTGGGCAGTTTGGCTGTTTATAAAAACTCAAATTATAAAACAACCTAGATTTTTGTATCGTTTATCGCATATAATGTTTGGTTTGTTTTCTAACATTTTTTAAATAAAACGAATTATAAAATTTCAATATTATGTATATTTGTCGTAGGTATGAAAAAAGTAAAATATAAAATGGACAAACATTTATTTACATTGCAATAAAACTGCCTAGTTTTCAAATCCAAACGCAATATTTCTTTTTCACAAATAAAAATATCCGACAACACTAAAATCACTGAAACTTCCGCGGCTGACAACGGAAACTGAAAAATATAGCAGCACTTTTGTTTTGAACCTGCATATCGAAATTACGCTGTATATCATTATGTTTTTGTTTTTGAAATAATATAAAATATAACAGAATTGTCTAATTACTAATTATAACTTGTGAATTTTAATATTTTAACTATCTCTCTGACAATAACTAATTTTTTGTTGTCAAGATGACATTTTAGACGGCAACTAACATATATGTTATAATATTTTAATTTTAAATTTGTATGCAATATAATTTAAATTAATATAATGCAAATTTATACTAAGAAAACATTTATACATTCACAAAATACAACAAAATATAATAATATAGTTTGAAAACAATGAAAGTTGAATTAAAATTAAGAAAGTTAAGCGCGACCCCTAGTGTCAAAATTAGATGATTACATTTTCGCAATTTTTACACCATTTGATGATCGGTGGCGCCTCTAGTGTTTGTTCGCACGGTTAGTCTTTTACTCCCGTTTATGGCCATTAAAGAAAAGTTCTAAAGGGGGATGTTTTGTGATTATAACAAATGATTATGACAATATGATGACAATGAAAAGTTGGTTTCCATAACAATGTATAATTTGTACTTTCTAAATCGTATAAAATTGTGATTAATTTGGAAATAGGTGCAACTTTTAATTCGCATGGCGCAAAGTAAGGTCCTCGGAAAAGACAAACCTATTGAACGTTTTCATAAGTGCAATAAATAAGGTTTGAAAATGGCATGTTGTGATGTTGGAGACATATTTTTTAATGCTAAACTTATGGCGTTGATTTATCCACGTAAGTATATATGATCTAGGTATTTGACAAATAATGATGACGTAACGGTGAACGATTGCTGAACAGTCTAAAGACAATATTAAAATATTGGTGTTTATGCTTATTTTATAACATCAGAAAAGCTCAACAAATCCGCAAAATTTCAAATGAAATCTAAATGTGTGAATTGAAACGTCAAACAGAACTGTCCAGAATGGAGGTTCATAAAAGCTGAACAGAGTATTAAGTCTGACTCATCGCAATTCTGGAATTTCATTAAAAATAAAAACAACAATTGTCAGGAGCTACCTTACAAAATGACCTGGGACGATAAAGTTGCATATGATATGTTGGAAATTAGCAATCTGTTTGCGGATTACTTTGGAAATGTCTATAAGTCAGGAAAGACCAGACCGCGCCAGCGTCGATTAGGTTTAGACAATTCTAATGGAAATCAAAATAATAACACGTGGGGTAGCACGGACAGCTTTGAAGAGAGTTCCGCATCGACAATAGTAGGATCTTCCAGAGATAATAGCAGGCCTAGCATAACACAGGATAGCGTCCAGTTAAGGTACTGATTAAAGTCCCTAGATAATATTGAGTACTGTAATTACTTCCTTTTTGACTCCATTTCGTCCTATTGCTGCCAAAAGTCACTATAGTCTGTCCAACGAGAAGATCCTTGACAGTGATAGATGTGTCTGTCATTTTAATTTCAAAGTAGTTATTTTATTTTACAAAGAAATAAGTTGGTACAACTGGAACGCATAGCAGGATATATTTAAAATTTGATTGACAAGATGACAAGTGATTACTTCAAAATATTGTGAAAAAAACTGTATAAAACTGAAAAAAATGTAATCGAGTTATTTTATTTAATAAAACAGTATGTGTTAATACAAAACAAACAAGAACAAGACACTACATACCAAAAAATATAAAAAAAGAACTATTATTTACTTTCAAGCTTTATGAAACTACCCGCATTTATGATTATATTTATCAATATAACTTATGTACAAATACAAATTTGTAATAATCCACAGGAACAAATAAAAACAACATAGGTAAATAAAACAAACTATTTTATTAATAATAACACCTACCAAATTTTATACCTTAAAAGGTTGATTAATTAACTTTAATCTTAATTTTTTTAAACCAGTACCTTTTGACATTATTTTTCTGCAGTACTAAAATCCATTATTTACCTATCGTGTGATATCGATATTTTACAGCTACTTCAGTTTTTAGTATGTGTTTAGTTTGATCCTTCTACCATATACAAGATGCACTTATCTACGACGAAATGGTATACAAACTTTATCGATGGCAACTTCATTGGTGTATAAGACTTTCTGCCTGGGCAGCAGTATTAACCATAAACTGTGCTCTGGGTCTACAGTTAATTTTCACTCGATTTTCCTCCACTTGACTTCAAAAGACACAAAACACACGTAATAATACGAATCAAAATGCATCATATTCCAAAACGCAGGGTATTTAACAAAAGTTGACATAAAATTATAACCTAGAATTTGGCAAGACTTTGACAAGCGTCAAAAATGACAAAAATCTAAAGGCGAGTTCATACGCATCGGCGTCCGTTTGTCGTTCATCGTTCCGTCAAACCAATAAAATTGAAATACGATCTGTCATTTTTTAAATAAACCAATAAAACTGGTTAAAAACAACAAGTCACGACGTATGACGGATTTATATTTAAACCCATCCATAGATAACTTAAAAATTATTAGAAACTTTTTTTAGTAAAATAAATAGATTGGTATGGGACGTCATCTGCTTTTCTTCTGTCATCGTCTGTCGAAATCTTACCTGAGAAAAAAAAACAGAGTATAACTAACATTTTTCCGAACAACCAAATTCAATCACTAACTATGTTTTGAAGCGGAGAATCGATTGCAAAAGTCATTAACTACGATTTCTGGCTATTTATGTTTTATTTTAATACCGAATAGTTACTAACTATAACATCTTTATGCAATGCAATTCATCTTTAGACGCATTTTCTCGGAAGTAATAAAAAGTAAGTTAGTGACTTTTGGCAGCAATGGGACGATTTAGAAGCGAGAAATTCAAAAATATGAATATTTTTTATAACCAACTAGCTAAATTACCTCCGGCGGTATAGACAATTGATGAAAGATATACCGCCGTTAGACGGTTTTACATGTTTATTATTATACAGGGTGGTCCGAACTGTATTTCAGAAACTTCACCACCATATTCTGCAGATAAAAATATGAAAAAAAGTTCGTATAAATATATGTCCCAAAATACTTAGTTTCGGACATACAGGGTATAGAAGTTTAAGATTTATTTCGATCTTTTCCAATTTATTTCTGAACTAATGTCGATATTTGGATGAAAATTGGTATCTGGGAGTTTTTTGACACGAAAAATTTGATTTTGATGTCAATATGACTCCTACTTGTAGAGGGCGCCACCTACATATTTTTGACTGGTTTGAAGAGTAATAACTTCTCGTCCGTACCTGTATAAAGCTACTAAGTAAAAAATTATACATTCACGACGTTTTTTACACGTAAAAAAGGTCTCTTGGTAGAAATCGCTACGAGTAATGGTTCTCAAGATATTTGGAATCGAAATTATCAATATCTGTCATCATTGACATAAATTAAACATGTTGACTAAATAGTTATTAGACTGAAATCATAAATTTGAAATGTTTTTGTGAAAAAAACTTCAACAGGGACTGTTTTAAAATCATTTTTTTGAAGAGAGTAAAAGAAGAAAAAATAAAAAGTTCCCAAATTAATCATTTCACTCAAATAACTATCTACTCAACATCTTTATTTTTTCTCAATAATGGTATGTATCGACTATTTCCATTCTAAATATTTTGAGAACGGTTGCTCGTAACGATTTTTACCTGGAGACATTTTTTACGTAAAAAATCATGGAAATGTACATTTTCTCACCCAATAGTTTTATACAGGTACGGACGAAAAGTTATTACTCTTCAAAACACTGAAAACACATGTAGGTGGCGCCCCTAAGAATAGGAGTCATATTGGCATCAAAATCAAATTCTCATGTTTAAAAAAACAGCTCTGATCTATTTTAATATGTTTAAATGATGTAGCAAATTTGAAGGTAGGCTTTATCAGGAAGTATTACGATATGAATTACACAATGGCAACACTGCACAAAATTCTTTTAAATTTTGTTTGTAGAAAACTGTATTCTTTTAAATTTATTGCCCTCTATTATGTAGTAGCAAAACTACCACATCAAAATATCTGATTTGGAGACAGACTTTTAAAGCCTGTCTCCTTTTGCTACCTACAATTTTATACATGTAACGAGGCTTCTGTTGCGTAGCTAGATATTCTGTGGTACAGCCGTTCGGCCGGTATGCTATTATAAAAAACAGAAATACCGCCTTTATTCTACGAAATTTTATGTGTTTTTTTTTCAACATAAGTACCTACTATACTTACTTAATATAAAAAACATTAATATTTTTTGGGGACACCCTGTAGAACTCTCTATATTTTTAAAAAGTGCTCTGAATTAACCTACATATACTTACAAAATTTTATTTCAATACAAACTGTCGTTTTCTTTGGAGCCTCCGCAGCGTATGAGAGGCACAACCCTGTATAAAAGTACGATTAATTTATTTTACTTATATAATCTACATCACTTTCCAACTGTCATTCAAAAAATACACCTACGTTTCAACAAGTTGTACTTTTTGAACATGTATTTATTACCACCTAATTCTGCAATAATGATCTCTGTGCGGCATAAAGAATATAGAGATATAGAAATATCATGCCGCCGAATGACGGTATTCCTTTGTACACTCTAACAATACCGCCGGCGTTTGTTTAGCCAGTGCGTTTAATCTATTAGTATGAAACATTTTCAGGGACAACCCCAGAACAGATTTCAGACAAAACTTCTACTTCTTCCGGCACGCCAACCGCTGGGACAGCCGCCGAGCTGTCACTGACGGCACAACATCTGGCCGCGCCGCCCAAAACCGATCCCACATCGAAATCCTGGAGGATATCACTGGCTGCGACTTCAACGGCACTCAAGTTCTCAAACTGAACAGACGTGACAGTCCCAACAGCGGCTCGGAAGCCCCACCTCGTAAAAAACAACTTAAACTGAGGAAGATCCAGCCCCAGGACCAAAACGTCTGGACGAGGAGTTACTATAACGTCAAAATGATACCGTGGAAGATAACTTTGGATAGGTTAGGGTTGCTGGCGTTGCTAGATCGGAATTTGACAGTGACCGAGACTGTCGTGGCCTTGATTATCGGGGTTATGGTTTCAGTTTTAGGTGCGATGTTGCTGTATCTGAATTTTTACCGCGATATTTTGGCATTTATCTTCTGTTTTATTCTAGCCAGCTGTCAGTATTCTTTGTTGAAGAGTGTTCAACCTGACGCGGCTTCACCTACTCACGGGTTTAACAGAGTCATTGCGTACTCCCGTCCGATTTATTTTTGCATTTTCTCATCCCTAGTTCTTATATTACATTTCAGTATAACAGACAAGAACCAAGAAACCCTCATCTTAGCCCGAAACTTCCTTGTCTTGTTCATTCTATTTTTTCCTCTATTCTTCTCTTTGGGCTTGTTCCCTCAAATCAACACTTTCGTCATGTATATCTTGGAACAAATCGATATTCACGTTTTTGGCGGTAACGCCATGAGTAATCTGATTGGTTCGTTTTACTGTGTGTTCCGTTCGGTTTTGGCTGTGATTATTCTTAACGGACTGGCTTACGGTGGCCTGAGCGAGGAGAAGACTTCCCAGCACTTGTTGTTCTCTATATTTTGCGCTTGTCTGGTGCCGGCCTGCTATCACTTGAGCAGGAGCGCTAGCGATCCGACTCACGTGTGGAATTTGGTGAAGAGTCATTTGTGGTTGCCGGACTTGCACAAGATCGATGAAGACCGGGGGAAGGAGTGTGTTAAGAACGAGGAGAAGATTATTGAGGGCGACGATAAAGTGGAAGGTAAGGTACTACTTCAGTTGTTATTAGGTTTGTTCCAACCAGCATTTCGGGATCGTTTCGAAATCGTACTCGAATCGGTTTTCTGGCACTTTGTTAGCATGCGCGGACTTCGAGTAGTTTCGTGACGGTGCAAAAAGTACCAACGTTGGAACGCTCTGTGGATTTTTTTCGGGACTGTCAAAAGTGTCAAGCGTGCGTGTATCGATCGGTTTTTTGTTTTTGTTTAAAATTTCATAACATAACCCTATTATTTTTGTTTGCTATTTGCAATAATAATAATAATTATTCTTGAAATGGAGAATCAGAATCCAGTAATTGTTGGTAAGTGTTGTTTCAACTGTATACTCACTAACTTACTTACCTATCCTTTCTTTTATGATCCTGTTATGCGTAGTTTCCTGTTTGCAGTGGTAGAATCTTTGAACATTATTTTATAAATAAAAAATTAATTAAAATTTCCGACCTATTTACTCTACACAAACTCACAAGCAAAAGTATAACGCACACGTATTCGAATTCGTAAAAAATAACCAAGACAGAAGCATCACCCGGACGGCGGACCAGAATCAGCTGTTAAAAATCGATAATCCTAGCCAATATGCATGTACCGAAATTACCGTTTTGAAATCGTAACTAAACGATCCCAAGGTAGGTTGGTACGCAAATAGGGTCGTCTGATAACCGTCAAATCTCGGTTGGAGACACATTTAAATTACTGCGCACGAGCGTGATCGTTCGGTGACGGTTCTGCGGCGGGTTGGAACAAACCTATTAATTGATTATCGAAATATGTAGTAGTCTTGTTATTTGCGTGTTGTATTAAAGGGATTTCTTGAAAAGGGATGCGTTGTGTATAGTGGCTTGGTGCATTTCAGTTGATTTCAACAAATTCCGACCGCAGCGCTTCAACGGAAAAATCTGAAATTATTAATATATAGTTCACGCCGCCGTCATGCTGATCGCATTAAAATAATATTGAAATCAATTGGTTTGTCATAATATTTAATTATTTTGTTTTTTTACTAGTGCAATTACTGAAACTATAAAATACTCAGGTACGAGGTTTGTGTGATGTAACGCTGTTTCGGATAGTAAAAAATAATTGAAAAAGAATTCGAACTAGGCGTCGCGTTGTGTTCTGACAATATCTAATGTTAATAATGTTGTCGAAAAAATGTTAACGCGTAAAGGAGGGCGTAATTAGGGCGTTGTTAGGTGCAATAACTTTTAATAACTCAATTTTTTCGGATATTCACGTCTCCCGAAATAAACATTTTATAGCTTCATAGTTTCTCACACCGATTTGATCAAAAGCAAAAACGAATTCAAGCAGTTCGACGAAACAAGTGAGTAAACAAAGTGCTCGTTACATAATCAAAAAATTAAATAGATATATAGTATGAGAGGATAAAATATACATAAAATGAAATATTAGTGGTATACTTTTTTAGTAGTGATTAAATGTTTTATGAACATCTTCTAAAATTATAATTATGAACCGAATTTAAACAATTTCGTTATAGCCGAATTATGCCTCACCCTAGCAAAACCGGTGATTAAAACTATGCTCGCTACCGTAGTTGAACTCATCTAAAAAGTTTTTTTAACTGGAATAATAAATTATAATACAAGTTAGACCTTCTGAAGATATCAAAATATTTACTTTTTTATTTTTATTTTTAGAATTTTCACAAATTATGCTTTTTTATTTCATAAATTTTTCGTATACTCGCTATTTAAACCCGTGTATTTGTATATGCTAGTTTTTTACGATATTCACCGATGGTGGCAGCACCGGCGGAGAATGCATCAAGCCTATATCACAAAAAATTTTTCTTTACACCTAAATCTATCATTTTATGAAATTAAAGAAAATTAAGCGCCTAAACATTTCAATTAATAGCTGCATCTTTAATACAGGGTGACAATTTGAAAACGAATAGTATTTAGTATTGCCTCTACCGATGATAGTATGAAAATTTGACGAAACACGTCAATTTACATACCAAGGGGGACAATTTTTGAGGCATTTGTTGTCGTGTTACTGGTAGGTACAAACATTTTTAAATGAAGTTCTATGAGGCGGTGAATGCAACCCGTTTTAAAATTAGATATTAAATACATTTCATTCATTTGTGAGGTTAAGTATCACAATTTTGACAAAATAATAAAGCAGTTTATGTAGAATTTTATAAGAAAGTAGAGGTAATATTAAATACTGTTCGTTTTCAAATTGTCACCCTGTATATTTTTTTTAAATTTACATTTTTTTAATCGTGCACAACATTTCTTTTTCACAACAACTCAACTCAACTTTTCGTTTATGACATGGCTTTATCTACGGTAATCGCAAAACAATTTCCAATGCACGTGATCAACTTTGAGTGACAAACGATGGCGACAGCGCTGCCAGATTGTGATGAATTTATGAGATGAATCTTAATTTACAACAACAATATACTTACTTACAAACGATATATTTATTATATTATTATTTTTTAAAGATTTTTACGTTTTTATTTTTAATTTAACAAGTAATATTTTAATAATTAATTGATTTATTTGTTTTATAGCTTATTTTACTTATTACATGTTTGCAAAAACTAGTCAATGTAGTATATGAAGATTATTCTACGCGTTTTTATTGGTTATTTATTTATTTATTGATGTCCATCTTACAACGCGATAAGTGGTAATAACAAGTAAGAGGGTGCTATTAATGCACAAACTAATAATCACAAAATTTAATAAAAACTAACGTAGAAATAAATTTGAAAATGGTATGCTTATTTATTATTTTTTACTTTTTATTATTTTTTTTATTATGTGCTTATCAATCAAACTTACTTCTCTGACTGCAGTCAAGCGTAATAAAGGACCTTTATTGTCACGTTCGCGTTCAAAATACTTTATCAGGGAAATTATAAGCTCTTTGCTTCGGCATATTTTCAACACACAAATTTCAAGAAATGCAATACAAAAACTCGAAAATTTAGATCTTAAAAGCAGTGTTTGTGCTTTTAAAGTACAGTTTTTAAAAAAATACTATGAAAATAGGTAAAAAAAAGGAGAATTACTCACAAAAATTCAACAACACGGTATTATGTAAAATAATGACTGACATTAGGATATTTGTCAAATAATAAACGACAACGTTGCTGAACACCGCGCAATATGACCAACATAGCTGTAATAAAATTCGGTTTAAACTAATTTTTGCAGCTTTAATCTAAATAAAATATATGTTACAATCATTTGCTCTATAAAGTAAAATAAAGAGCTGCTCGGTATCTCAAATTATACAACAAATTTAAACATTTTTGCCAAAATTTCATTTAGTCAGGTTTATAGACTTAGTGTCAATGTCGATATGATTGATGACGTGCATCGGAAACTGTTTTGCGATTACCGTATGAGGTTTATAATAATATTGACGTAAAGTTATTCGTTGTATATTCTATTCATCTTATTCTAGCTGAGAAAGACACAACCACATTAAAGGAAGACCACGTCGATCCTCTACCCAAAAAACTCCAGTCCACCGTCAACGCCCGCCTAAAGAATGACGTCATCCTCTGTACCGTGGTAGCCATTCTTGTATTCGCCCTGCACGCTAGTACTGTTTTCACCGTGCTGCAACCGGAACTGTGTCCGGTACTGTGGTCGATAGCCGCTTGTATGGGCTTCGTACTTCACTACGTCATACCGCAGCTCAGAAAACAGCTGCCCTGGATGTGCATCGCCAGACCGATATTCCGAAGCTACGAGTACACCCAGTATCAGATCAGAGGAGCGGCTAAGATTATGTGGTTCGAAAGGGTAGGTTTTGGTGTGTTACGTTTTTGGCAATTGCAAATATGCAGGGTCTTAAATAAGTGCAAATATTTTCAGGGTTGGTATATTTCGACCCCAGGAACACGTCTATGAGGGTTTTTTCGCAAAAAAAGATGTTGAAAATCGTGCATTGTCTTTTAAATTTCCCTGTATATTTTTCGAAAACTTTTTAGAACTGCCTTTTTTCCCATGGTATAATTTTAGAACCGCAAATTTTCCCATGGTATAATTTCTTAATCCTTTGAATAAGAAAACTAAGGAAGGAGCATATAAAAAATCTTAGGTACACCGCGATGGGCCTCAAATATGGCCGACTTAAATTCCGGTTTATCAGTGTCGTTCTAATTTTATTTAAAAAATGTAAAACTATGATGTAGAGTAGACGTGGGGTAGACTCGATAATTTGTTGTTTTATTTTACGTTGTGAATAAATGTTGGTAGTTATTAAAATTGTTATAAAAATATATAATTCTAATAAAAATAGATAAGTTATAATAAGTATTTATTAACACAAACATCCGATACGCTACTGAAGCAGGTAAGTCAAATTAACGTATCTGAATTCTTTGACATCTAATCTTTGACAAGTAATAAATAAAAGCTAAAATGCAAGAAAAATATATAATTTAGTTAATTTAAGTGAATTTCATAAATGATCGGTTTACTACACGTATGTATATTATATAGTCACTTACTAGCGAAAATTTGTTCCATTATTTCACTCGATTTTTGCCGAGATCTACCGCACGCTACACAACCAACTATTTTAAAGTCTTTTTCGATAAATTTTGATAGTGTCACTGTTAATTTAAGTTCTGCCACAATTTCCATCTAGATTTACTACCTTTATACAACTATCAGTAGTAGAATAAATAATAAATAACATAAAATAAGCTCCGTAAAGACTGACAAATCCACAAAATTTCAAATCAAATTCAAATGTGTCAAATGAATCGTCAAACAGAACTGTCAAGGATCCCCACCCTAGAGCGCTTTTTCCGCCCACCATGCATGAATATAAGGATAGCATTATGCTCCTTTCTTAGTATTCTTATTCAAAGTCTTAATCTCTGATATTACCATAGTTACGGATTTACTCCATGGTTACGGCACTAAAAAGGATGTAAATACAGAAAAAAATCCGGTGGCTCTCAAAATTTTTTCAAAAAAAAATCATTTTTTTTAATTTTCAAGCTTAAATAAACTCGATTATTTTGGACTTATCTGAAAAATGGTAAAGAGAAAATATATTTCTTTCATCGAGATCTACCAGCCCTGAAAATATTTGCAGTTATTTAAGGCTCACCCTGTATAAAGATCCCTGATATTGTTTGTTTTACTATCAGGGATTTATTTTTAAAAATAGCATTTTCTTGTACGTTGATTAAAATGTTTTTAGCAAATATTTTATTTTCTAGGTGTATGTCTATCTTTGTTTTTTTGAACGGAACATTCTTTATCCTTTACTAGTACTGTCGGTACTGACGGAAGATTCTCCAAAGATAGCTGATAAATATGGAACCTTCTTAGGTAATAAACATCGTATTATGAAAACGTTTTACAATCAAGCTGGCTTTGAACGTTGACAGTTCAAAAACAAATTCTAATTTAATTTCCAAAGACATCTAACTTATAGGAGACGAAACATTTTATATTTATCCCCATCAAACATCGTTTTGAAGAAAAATCGATAATAACAAATTTCTGCGGATTGCGTTATATTAGATCTAGGGTTTGTGTTTGAAAAGGAAGTATGTTATTATTGTTATTAATTGTTTTTTGGGTACCTATAGAAACGGCGCGGCGCCGCACAGTGGTTCAGATTGCCAAAAAGTGGCGCATAGGATATTTTTAATTTTATTACAAATTCTAGCCTTATTAGGTTTAATGACGGATTTATTAATATGACAAAGATAGTCCAAGGAATAAACAAAATATATTTCAGACTATGTTTGTTTAGTATAAAAATATTAAAAAATGGGGATCTATGAATCTTATTCAAAAATTATAGTTTTTAAAAAGGTTTGAAAAATGCTTCGAACCTAGTCAAAAAAAGAATACCCATTAGGTTGTCTAAATTAAAGGAAAAAAAAACATAATGCAATATGCGTTAAATGGAGTCTTTAAACTCATTTTCTTCATTACATGATTCACCACCACTTTCTTCTAGTTCTTCTTCACTATCGGATTGACAATAATATTCTGTTGCCATATGAGTGTCATCTGCGGGTAAATCTTCACCTATTTTTAGTGGCGACTACTTTCTCTGGAATTTCAAACCCTAGTTGGACTGCTTTTGCCGTCTCATTATTATGTTCCTTCCTTAAATTAGAAACTGTAGCATATGCCAGAACTTCCGAGGTGTAAGAATCTCTCATTTCTAGAAATAAAATGATTTTTAATCTTTGCCATTAATTAAAAGCAATAATGCAATATTTGCAGCATTATGTAGATAAAAAAACATATTTTTTTCTGTAAGATATACATTAATTCCTTGACAATATATACCTTTGGTCTCTTTATTTGTTTGGGACTTGGACAATTCTGAAAAAAAATTTCTTCTGAAGGGCCAGGGTCATCAAAAGATTGATTCTCTTCCATTTGAAGTAAATTTTTATTCAGCCAGAGACAACTGTTGGAAATAAAACTGCTCCAAGTAAATTACATTTCCTCCACTTTTCTGACCATTTATAAACAAGATTTTCAATTTGCTTTTTTTTCGATAATATGTTAGGAATATTATTATCACATAAAAATGAAATAATTTCATCAGTAATATCCGCTTCTGACCTATTATTAAAACCCATTTTCAAAAACCTCTCACATATTGATCTGCGGCTTATTGTTAGAGTACGGGAGGAACATGTGAGTCTCTATAGTTACACTTTTACCACTCCAGAGTTACTCAAAAAATATTAGTATAATAATTTAAGAAATTATCCATGGAACAAAAATCAGACTACTGGTCAATTTAAAATTCTAATTTATATATCATCTACCTCGGGGTCTCTTGGGGTAAGATACTTGTGGTAAATTAAACTTGGTATAATACCTTTTAAAAATTATAAAATACAGAAGCGGAGATCTGCGGAGTTCTAAAGATACGCAATTTCAAAGTTTATTTTTTTTTCAAAAAAAACGCTCTGCTATGTTTGTGGTAACTACTAGCTTCATAAAAATATATTTAAGTTAATAAAATTCTCTTAAAAAGTACTTACCTTGGTCTTCAAAATCCATTATAATTTAATTTATTTCCAAGTCTCTGAACTAAGAACCAAAATATGTTAGCAACACTAAACCATTATCAGCAAATAACTGATATATTTAAACTACAAAATCTAACGAAAACAACATTCCTGTACGCTTTTTTATTGCGTCGATTTTTTTGAATCTGAACCAATGTGCGCCGGCGTACTAAATACAGGGTCGCTGTTATGTATGGAAACGGTCGATTATTAGGTAAAATATAGGAGGTACCGCAAAAAGTTAAATACAAAAGTTATAGGATTTTTAAATATCTATTAGCGAGTAATAAATTTAAATATACAGGGTCGGTCATAAAGTCGTGGCACATAAAAGTTTAATTTTTTTAAATAGAACCCCTTGTATATTATTGCATATTTCAATTCTTCCTTCAATTCTAAGCAAAAATCGAAATACATACAATGTGCCTCAAACCAACCGTTTCCGAGTTATTGACTTTTGAAAATATCACTTAAACAATTTGATTTAACTAATTTCGACATGTTTAGTTTCATTTATCGATGCCATTCTGCCGAAACTGTGATACTTAATAATATTTGACATTAGTTCTCAAGTTAGCATTTATAGATGTATAAAATGAGATTATATCAAGTCTGGAAATTACAAAATTTTTGTTTAACATTTCAATTCTTTAATTTATGTACATCGCATATTACGATTATTGCTTAAAATTGAAGGAAGAATTGAAATATGTAATAATATACAGGGTGTTTCAAAACAAATGCGAAAAACTTCAGGGGGTGATTCCTTGTTCAAAATAAAGGGTAGTTTGCTTCATAAACGTTGGGTCAAAAGTCAACCATTAGGGAGATATCGCGGTACAAAGATGGCGGAAAAATAATGTTTTTATTTTTTATCTTGAAAACGAAAAGAGATAGACTAATAAAATTTTATGGAAGCATTACTGTTATGAAAACACACTTTCTGGTAATTTTTTCACTTTTTTAAAATGAGTGGAAGGGGTTGAAATAAACTACCCCTATCATTCTTGTTAGCGAAATTTAAAGAAAAATCTTATCAAACACATGCAAAAAAAATAATTTGGATAGTTTAGTTTGTTTAGAAACTTTTTTATCTCTTGTATTTTTTTGATAAAACTCACCGATTTGAAATTAAAAAATAAAATGTAAAGCATTACATGTCAGGACAAAAAACATTTTCTGATAAAGAATCTAGTGGGCTGCTGTAATTTTTTAGGAAAAAATCTAGTCGGCCGCTGTTACTTTTTAGGATGTTTCTAATATTATTTTATTTGACATTACTCTACCGCAATACGTTATTATCTAGATGATTATTATCGTCGTTATTTTCTAAGATTCTTAATCTAAAAATGTGTTTTGTCCTGACATGTAAAGATTTACATTTTATTTTTTAATTTCAAATCGGTGAGTTTTATCAAAAAAAACACAAGAGATAAAAAAGTTTCTAAACAAACTAAACTATCCAAATTAATTTTTTTGCATGTGTTTGATAAGATTTTTCTTTAAATTTCGCTAACAAGAATGATAGGGGTAGTTTATTTCAACCCCTTCCACTCATTTTAAAAAAGTGAAAAAATTACCAGAAAGTGTGTTTTCATAACAGTAATGCTTCCATAAAATTTTATTAGTCTATCTCTTTTCGTTTTCAAGATAAAAAATAAAAACATTATTTTTCCGCCATCTTTGTACCGCGATATCTCCTTAATGGTTGACTTTTGACCCAACGTTTATAAAGCAAACTCCCCTTTATTTTGAACAAGGAATCACCCCCTGAAGTTTTTCGCATTTGTTTTGAAACACCCTGTATATAAAGAACATTACAACAGTATCACAGTTTCGGCAGAGTGGCCTGGAATGGAATCGTTAAATGAGACTAAACATATCGAAATTAATTAAATCAAATTGTTTAAGTGATATTTTCAAAAGTCAGTAACTCGGAAACGGTTGGTTTTAGGTGCATTGTATGTGTTTCGATTTTTGCTTAGAATGGAAGGAAGAATTTAAATGTGCAATAATGTACAGGGAATGAAACTTAATTAATAAAAAAACTTAAAAAAATTAAACTTTTATGTGCCACGACTTTATGACCGACCCTGTGTACTTAAATTTATTACTCGCTAATAGATATTTAAAAATCCTATACCTTTAATATTTAACTTTTTGCGGTACCTCCTATATTTTACCTAATAATCGACCGTTTCCAAACAGCGACCCTGTATATGTGTAGATATATCATTTTAGTTAAAATGTATTTTTAGTTTTCTAATTAAATTAAATTAAATTTTATTAGGGAAGTAACTGTGACAACACTGCTTCAGGAAGACTGTTTGGTTTCTATGGTTTTTACGATGTTTTTAATAAGAGTAGTAAAAGCTAGTTAAATGGATTCATTCAAGTTAGGTTTAACAGTGTTGCGGTGTTTGTGATTTTTTTTATTCTCGGATTGGTTGTGTCTGTCTCCCCTTTAGTTAGATGTGTTTGGTAATTTCTCAAAATCGTTATTTATTGTTCATCGTTCAACGTGTTATATTTAACAAATCGTGTTGTATAAAACAAATAGTAGATAGTTTTTAATATTCTTTAAGTTTTATTCAATTTTAGGTTCTTGTATTGTGGTAGTTTGCGGTCTGAAATTCTTACGCAATAGTTACTCGGACCAGAATTGTCAGTACTTGATAGTGACGTTCACTGCCTTAATATCCAAATTCGACTATCAGCAATTAGAAGAAACTTTTTTAGTCTCCTATTTTATAATAAGTATCGCCTATTATAAAATTCACGAGCTTTTATTAAAGGTAAGTAATCGAGTATGTCGCTCCTATTTTTTTACAACGCAATATTAAAAAAAAAAACAATAATTTCTCATTTATTTCGAACATTTTGGATTTCAGCGTGCTAAAAAATTATTTTTTTTTCAAACGTCACAAAAGTATTAATTTTTGCGACGTGATTGACAATATAAAACCGTCATTTTAACGCCTAGGCATGAAAGTACGAAAATATATTATTAAATCTCTGATTAAACTAACACAAATTCAACGAGCGTAACCATAGTTTCTCGATATACAGAGAAGACCAGGCTACTAGTAACATAGCAAGTTGCCGGACGAATTTACGTTTACCCGATTTGCGTTCGTACTAGAGATTCACTGCCGGCTAGTCGGCTGGTCAGGCAGTACGCAGTTGCACAGTTGTTCTTGGACGGGTCGGTCGTGACAGACTAGGAATACGACGCGAGGAGTGCCGAGTATTTATTATTTTCATTTTAAGTGTTTACCTTCACTTAAGGTAACATTTAAAATAAAAATACGTAAGTATTTATTATTTGAGTGTGTTTACAAGCCAACTAAGAATAAATAAATTTCTAAACCCAAAAAAAACTAAAATATTACTCTAAATAAAAAAAATTATTAACAAGTGTTCAAAGTACCCATCATTGGGAGAAAGATCTTGTGATCTAGCGGGCCACAAAATAGTTCCATGTTCACTAATTAAACTGTTGGGAAAAGTATTTTTCAAATATTCTTGAACAATACGGGAATGTGGGCAGGGCAACTACCTCAGCATTTTGATTACTTGAAATCGTGGGTAGATTTAGATGAAGAAATTTTGATCCGCGGTAGCCTAAAGAATGAACACTTGCTTTAACTCCTGTTCTTCATTAATCAACACATCAGGCTTTTTGTGTTTTTGTGAGGACACGCACCCATGTGTTCCAAAATTACTAATAACTCTTGATATAGTAGGTAAAGATGGAATTGGCCTGTTTACAAAAGTTTGTGGAAAAATTGTTTGTATATCCCGATAAGACCTATTTTGGAAATACTATTTTACAATTTGAATTTTCACACGAACTTCGTAAACATCCATTATTTTACTTAAAAAATAAATTTTACACGAGAACTGTCGCGAGAATCTATGTACTCGTTTTGACTATTAAAACACGAATAAATACAAATTCTGAAACATTCTTATTACATATCTACCTATTTTTATTTTGTCGCATTTTTTCGCCTGCTTTTTATCCGGCGGACCGGTATACGCTAATTCGTCCGGTTCTGCCTATGTTACTACTACGGTGGTCCGGTCTGTATAATTACTTACGAGTATTACTTTTAAATTTGTTTATAATATTTGGAACGTTTTAAATTCTTTAAAAACTTATTTGTTGCGTTTGAAAAATGATAGCATTAGCAATAATAGCTATTCGGAGTAAAAATGACTTTTTGTGCCTCGGCTGTATGTCGGATTCGTCAAACGTACAGCCTCGCCGCATAAAGTATAATTTTTCCTCATTATAAAACAATATACTATTCTTTTTAGGTTCAATTTGTGATAACTTACATAGCGCCGTGGCAAATCACTTGGGGATCGGCGTTTCACGCCTTTGCCCAACCGTTCTCTGTTCCTCATTCCGCCATGTTGTTTACTCAAGCTATCCTGTCCGCTGCCTTTTCCACACCTCTCAGTCCATTTCTAGGAAGCGCTATATTTTTTACTTCCTACGTGAGGCCAGTGAAATTTTGGGAGAGAGATTATAATACAAGAAGGGTCGATCACAGGTAACTTATTGTTTATTTGTAGACACTTTTGGTGGAGTTTTACTTCTTGTCAATTCTTCTACTATACGGTTCATAGCAAATAAACTTTTAGTCACGTGATTAAGCTTGGCCGGCACAGTTTTATATATTTTCGCACTTTTGTATATTTTCTTTTAATCAAAATATTTTAAGAAACAAAAATAAATCTATACTAATATATAAAATCCTTAAGTGACTGACATACTGATTAATCACGATCCTGCTCAAACCACTCAACGTAAGAAGCTCAATTTTGGCATACAGGTTGATTTTAGGGTGTAGAGGTTCGATAAAAAGGGATTTTTCGAAATTCCAGTTCTAAAAGGGTGAAACCACCCCTCAAATATTACAATATTTTTTATTTAAAAAACGGTCAAGTTTCCGAAAAAAACGCTTAAACACGTATATTTTATTTTGTTTTTTTACATATTTTAAGATTTTTTAAAAATGTATACAGGGTGTTTCGAAAAATTTGGTCATTGATTAATCACGATCCTGTTTAAAGCGCTTGACGTAAAAAGCTGATTTTTGGAAAACAGATTGACTTTAGGGTGTAGAGGTTCGATAAGAAGGGATTTTTCGAAACTCGAATTCTAAGGGGGTGAAACCACCCCTCAAATATTAGACTATTTTTTATTTAAAAACCGAAAATGTCTTAAACACGTATATTTTATTTTGTTGTTTTACATATTTTAAGATTTTTTAAAAATTTTTACAGGGTGTCTCATAAAATATGACCATTCCAGTAATCACGATTCTGCTTAAACTGCTTGAAGTTTAAAGCTGATTTTTGGCAAACGGATTGGCTGTGGGGTGTAGAGGTTCGATAAGGAGGGGTTTCTCGATTGTTTTTTCTCATGCTGACATAAATGGGAGAAAATTTTATCCAGTTTGTATGTTAATGGAAATTCTTGCTTTGCTTTATCATCACCATTAATTCAACGCGAACGAAGTCGCGTGTACACGCTAGTTAATTATAAATATATAAACAGTTATTTACATCAACAAAACTCACCTTCTTAACAGCACTTAAGGGACATAAAGCGCCTTTACTACCGCTTTCCCGTTCAAAATATTCTTATAAAGTTGCGATGAGTATATATGAGAGCGATGAGATATATCTTAATTATTAGATATTAATACATCTGGTATTATGGTATTCTGGTATTTACCAACTGTTTCTATGTCATTTTTTTGTTAGAATGGGCATAATTAAGAGGGCTACTGATACCGTGTTGTAAAAGTAAGGTAATTAAGGGCTAACTTTTTGGTATTTATTATATATTTGCTAATATCTTCGGTTTGAAAGAAGATATCACGATGCGGTTTTCGCTGACTTTTTAAGTTTTTACTACTCTTTACTATCAGCTAAAATTACATATATACTATCGTATTTAATTTTTTTGAAAAAACGCGCTTTGTTTGTTAAATTGTAAGAAAGCGCCCCCTAGCGTCTACGTTCGAAACCTTATTATTATTATTTTTATGGTATAATATAGAGTAAGAAACGCTCTTTTAAACGAGCCCTCGTTTGTTGGATTCCGATCATCCAGAGAGAGAGAGAGAGAGAGAGAGAGAGAGAGTCCGGAGTTATTAACATTTAAATAAAGATAGATCTAACCTTCCCCCACCACTTTATTTTAGTAGATAGGGGAAAATGGTTCTAACAAAAAAAATCCAAAATTTACTGAAGATTATGAAGCTATTATTTATAGTACCCATTATCTAGGGAAAATTCTGTAAAAATTCTATTTTCTTATTTTCCATAGCAGTTGCGCCGCGCCCTCTAGCGGCCGTTTAACAAACTTGAAAATAATTTCCAGGAATTTCTCATAGCCCCTTTAGTTATAAATATTTTTCGGTAAAAAGTTCGTCGGTAAAAAGTTCGTTTATACGCAGGATGTTTTGTTGATTATAAATTTTTCGGTCGTTGTTGCGGTTGACGTTTTAACTTCGACAGGAACGTTGACCTTGAAACGTTAGTAATAGCCAATAGAAATAATCGAACCGCACCGTTTTCAATCTATAAATCGACCTTAAAAAGAACAATGTTCTACTGCTGCTAGTAAACATTTTAAAGCTTAAAATATTAATTAAACACTATTTATTTTATTAATTTAATTAAACACTATTTATTTAAACCAAAAACTCGTAATACAAAACTAAAGTGTCAAAACGAATGAAAATGTCAGGAAATAAGTAAATAAATAAATGTGGCAACTTGACATTTTTTACAGCAGAGCTACCACCTGAATCCCCAGCGCGAAATTTAAATTCCAGTTAGGAAGCAAGCATTCCATGGTTGGCAACAATGAATTTTAAAATCGCGCTCCTGATTACGTAACTAAAAGTTTAATTGATATAAAATATATTATCAATCACCATCATATGCAATAAATATAATAGAAATCATTAGTTTTAATAAATATATTTTAGCGGCATTTAAACGACAATTAAGTAGAAATCGTCACTAAAATGAAACATATCTTTATGCATCGTTTTTTTTTCAGTAATACACCATTATCATCACACTTGGACAGAAACTTGGGAGCTGATGATAATAATTTGAATTCTATATTTTACGAACATTTAACCAGATCATTACAACATTCTCTATGTGGTGATTTAGCTATGGGCAGGTAAAGTTTATTTTTTTTTATATTGGTGATGTATTGATACTTATTTTAAAAACAATTTTCTTTTGAATTAAATACATACCATGCTAGCAACTTTTACTTTTGGATCGGTATTTACATGTATGGAAGTAAATCGCATAGGGGTCTTATTAAGTGGGAGTGAGAGAAATGCGACGGTGTGCTGTTGCGACGTTGCCACATTTCTCCGGTACGCCTTTCCCTATCAAGTAAAGTAAAATCACGATCGTAAATCGTTTATTTTTAAAAGACTTTTTTTTTCCAAAAGATAACTATAGTCTATAAAATGAATAACTTTGAATTTTGACCGTTATTTTTTACCAACATGGCAAATATAAAAGCCCTCTATCCAAAAAGTTACTGATATTCTTTAAAATGAGTGCCTGAACGAATCAGATAGGTAACTCTTTTTACTTTCGTGAAATAGAAAAGGAAAATTATAAAACAAGTGACAGTTCTTCCTCTTCTTGCAAAAATCAACGCGAAATGTCATAATTGACAAAAGTAAAATGTCATCAGCCTTTGACATTTCTAAATATCAAACCAATGCCGTCTCTAATAGAACAGCCTTGGAGCGAGATTTATGACGTCACGCTAGTTAGATACCACGGATTAATAAATATGTTGTAGAATACACGGAAAACATAATTATTCCTCGTATTTTTGGTTTGTATTTTAAAAATGATATAGTTTATATGAACTATACATAATATACAGTTAATAAATACAATATATATACCTATTTATAGTAATAAATACTTTGGCAAATAAACTATGAACCATACAAATGCATCAAATGTTTTACAATATACAAATAATGAATAGGTACATAAGATAATGGGTAAAATGTAAAATATATTTTAAATTTTGGGGTTTGAAAATCGATTTAATTTAACAAAAAACATTCAATATCTACTAATAGTGGTGTATTATTATTTGCATTCACAAAATTTATATGTATATTTTGCAAGCATCAATGTGCGAAAAATTATATTTGCAAATAATACAATATCATAGAAAAAAAGGCGTCAGCGATGGCTATGAAATGAAGATCGCTGTCATTTTATATGTAAAATTATTCTAAAATTTTTGATTTTTTGGGATTTAGGTTCGGGAAAAACGCTGATTAAGTTTGCATTTGGTTTTTCATTATTTTTTTTTGGTTTAAAAAAAAACGTTATAGCTAACGTTTATAGCCTTCATCAGTGCTGTGTCATATGAAAAAAATGTCGAATGTAAATGTGTCGAATATAATCCAAAAAATTACATATACGAGGAATGTTTTCCATGTATTCTACAATATAATTAATCCGTAGTATCTAACTAGCGTGACGTCAGAAATCTCGCTCCGAGGCTGTTCTATTAGAGACGGCATTGCATCGGCATGGCCCGCAAGTTGCTAACCTAATAAAACTAACACTAGAAAAGCCCGCGGGAACTGTCAAATTCAAAGTTATTCGTTTTACAGACTATAGATAAAATCATTAGATATGTTTTTGAGCATCTGAAATGGAATTATAAGGTTATCGTTAGGGTGTCCATTTTTTATAACAAGAAAACGTCATTAATCGCGCTAATTTAAAAACTCAACTTTTTAACAGATAACACGCGAACTCAAGAACCACACATTGGCACTTTTTTTTTATTTTGAAGTTCTGATCTTTTACAAGATGTTTAAATAAAAAAATCGATAGGCTTTTTTTCCATTCAGAAATTTTAAAAAATCCATCCATTTATGTGCATAGCAATTTTCAGCAATCGTGTAATTTTTTTATTTATAAAGCTTTTCACATAATGTTTGCGAACAAAAAATAGCAGAAATATTAAGAAAGGTTTCGAAAAAAAAATACAATCTCAATAATTCTAATAGCGCGACCACTGTCGAACACCAACTCAATTCCACTTATTTTCACCAAAAGTGCAAGTGTTTCTAACTTGCACTTAAAAAATTATAAGCTATAAGGAAAATTACAACGACTCGTTAATAAATAAAGAAATAAAGTATCACGAGACGTAATTAAATCGTGAAGCTAAACGCATGATGTACACCCTTCTCTAGAATTTTAAGTACTGATTGGGTCAACCGCGACGAATCTGCTATATCCCCTTCCACGTCTCTTAGTAATGTGCACAGTTTCTCGGTTTATTTCATACGTTTGGCAACGTTTTTACTGTTCTCTCTTTGTTCAGTACATTATAAACGCATTGTACTCTTCTTACATACAGAAATCACGACCCAAAACTAACCTTTGCCAGCCCTTAGTATACATATAACTTTATATAATATTAATGTCAAAGGAAGCGATCCAGAATGATTGAATTAGATGGCTATCATAATGGCATAATAATAGCCATAACTTTGCGTGCTTGGTTGGCAATCAATTTAAGAAATTCAAATATTTTTCAGCTGTTAAAAATAGCATCAAAACAAACTAAAAAGTAAATAATATGATAAATATTTTGACAAATAAATAGATTTAGTCGGAAGGTTTAATTTGATTATTGAATAAGTATCTTAAAATAGATAAAAAAAAATATAGGTTATATATTACCACCTATTGCAGTCATTGTTGATCTTCCATATTCTTCTGTTTGATAGGCTATAGTCTAGAGATATTTATTTTTATACAGGTGGGGTCCAGTAAATCAAGGAGATGTTTTCGTTATGGCATCCGATTACCTCAACTGTTTGGTCCATATAATAGAAATGGGCAATGGTTTGGTTACATTTCAAATGAGAGGCTTAGAATTCCGTGGTACTTATTGTCAGCAGAGGGAAGTCGAAGCTATCACTGAAGGTGTTGAAGAAAACGATGGTAAGAAATAAAATAAATTATTAATATAGAAAGCTGTCTGGTGACATGAAGTCTCTGGTTTGAGATTTTCACTCCATTTTTTTTATAATAAAGAAAGACCATAGAGAAATATAAAATAAAAGAGATGTGATTTCCATAGTCAAAAGTAGGCAACACGTTTATCAATTCATCGTCAATTCATCGAAAAGTTGGCAGTTTTACGGAGTTCAGACATGGGCAATGATTTTATATATTGAACTTGCTGTGCTTAATACCCTTTCCTCGACTGTGTTTAAATCACATCATTGGTTACACAAAATATTACAAGTTTTATTTACATTTTCTTAACAGTAACTTAATAATAAAAAAAGCGCAAACGCCACACAAAACGCGAAAACTATACCGGGTGCGCCTCGAAATTGGCTCACCCCTATTACTTTTTTTATTTTTTTAGAAAAAAAAACGGGAGTTGGTATGTTAATATATGACATAAAATAGGATTGACTGACGTATTCAATTGTTTTTGGTCACTTCCTGTTGCACCGGAAATGACTACAACTTTTGATTTTTAAATGGCACCCTATGTATTTTTTTTTGCTTTATTCGATACAAATGACATTCTGGATAGAATGACATATCATATGTCAACTTTTGACATTCCCGCTTAATAAAAAATCGTATTTTAAATTTCAATCTAGAGTGCCATGGCTATATTAAAAACACTAATTCTTAATCAAGAAGCCTTGGAAAAATAGATTTGATCGTCTAATGTTTTTAGTGTCTTGTCCTGGCCAGTTAGAAAATGCCCAAATCGTATTTTTAATCATATCTAAATTTTTTCAAATGGAGCGAGGGTGGCGCATTAGCATATTCGGAAAAAGCATTTTTTTACGAATAATTTGATACCACACACTTGGTATTTCGAGTCAAATTTTCGTTACGAACTGCAAGTTATAATTTCAAATAAACCATATGCGAAAATGTCAAAAGTTGACATATGATATTTCATTCTAATCAGAGAATTATTTTCTATCGAATAAAGTAAAAAATACCGAGAGTGCCATTTAATAATCCAAAGTTTTAATCATTTCCGGTGAAACAGGAAGTGACCGAAAACAACTGAATACGTCAATCAATCCTAATTTATATCGTATACTAACATACCAAATCTCGTTTTTTTAACAGAAAAAATGAAGTTATAGGAGTGAGCCACTTTTGAGACGCACCCGGTATACGTTTTAAAAGATTTTAAAAGTATTTGGGGAAAATACATGGCACAATAGAAATAAAGTTCAAATAATTCGCTGTATGTTTGCTGTCATGTTACTTGTCAATTTTGTCATGATATGTGATAGGTGGCAGGTAGCGCCACTCTGGAGCCCTAACTGAATTATGCTACATTATGGTCAAATTAGACCACTTTTCTAACACTCTCTTTTTTATTTTCTCTATGAATCAGACATAATAAGTATATTAATGCTTCTGTTCTATTCAAAATTCTTTTTTATAGGCTGCTGTTGCTGTGATACCGGCCATCTTCCCAACATGCTCAGCATAAACGCTGCGTTTAGCCAGAGGTGGTTAGCCTGGGAAGTTACGGCTGCCAAATACATTTTAGAAGGTTACAGCATATCAGACAATAGCGTGGTCTCGATGCTGCAAGTTTTTGAGTTTAGAAAAGTTCTAATTTCCTATTACGTTAAGGTAAGTTGGGTCTCAAAAATACATATTTTAGTTGAAATGTTTCGTTTTAGAGTATAATTTTTTATACAATTCGATCTCCTAAATTAGAAGACTGGTTGAATTCGGAGGTGATCAACAAAACGCTTCGGATCATTTGGAGACCCGATTTTGTTGATTTGGATCCGTTTTTTAATTATAACATTGACGAAGACTATGACATTCCGCGCGATGGGATGACCAAAGCGATGTTTTTCCATGTGCATGGTAATTATTTACAAAACATTCGTTTCTAGCCAGTAAATAAATAATAGTCCAAGATCCCAGAGCGCTCAGACATAACTTATTTTCACAGGGATGAAACCTTAGGTTCTCAGTAGTGCTCTCATGTGCTTTTAATACCGGCGTGTTTGTGGAGTTCGCCCTGTGACACCTTGGCAGATACTAGGTGAGAAAGGTAACTAGAAATAAGAGTTATAACTTAAATTTGTATGGCTGATTTGTATGGCTGTTGTAGAATATTACTATTACTCTTTAAAGCTCCACAAGAAATTAATGAACTTTTTTTACATGTCTGATTTTTACACATACTTTTATTACTTTTTAATGTGTTTATATTATTTGCAACATTTGAAATTGTTTAAAAATTATTTGTGAAGGTTTGAAAAAAAACATGTTTTTTTCGAAGTAAAAATGACTTTTTGTGTCCCGATTGTAATGCCAGACTCGTTAACGCTCGTCCATCAAATGATATCGCGCTGATATTTACGGCTGAATATTTTTTTAGGGGACGTTTGGTCATTACAATTTGTCTGACTGATTAAATATAACTTTATAATAGCTGTCTTAATAACATTATGTAAAAATCAGACATGTAAAAATAAGTAAAGTTTACTTATTTCTTTTGGAGCTTTAAAGCGTCTGATAAAAAGTTCTGGTACATGGAAAGTGTCTGATACTTTTGATACTACTTCAGAGTAATATTCTACACTATACAGGATGCTACAAATTTGAGGTACGAGCATTGGTATCTCGGTAATCGTAATAGATATGAACATGGTTAAATTGGGGCAAAGTTGCGCTTTGGGATGTTCACCAAGATGCCATAAAAAAAGTTTTAAAAATTTCAAGGATTGCTGAGTTTTTTTGGAAAAAATTGATTTTTTTGAAAATAAATTTTATTTTTTCCTGTCGTTACTTTTTAGAAAATCAAAAAACTAATTGCACATTCTCTTAGCCATTTTATTAGGGCTATCTGATAGTATTTTTAGATTTTCAAATTATCTGATAATTTTTGAGATACAGAGGCGAACTTAATTTTTTTAAATACGGACCTGCATTTTTTATTTCAGATTTTGAAAGAACTCGGTCTCGTGAGTACAATGATATGCAACACTTAATATTTTTTTTTGTTTTGACATTGGAACACAATTTATTTAAACTAATTTCAAGTCCGGCTCTGTTTTTTTTTAAATATTTAATCTATTCATCGTTACAATATTGATAAGCTTTCAAACTTAACAATGACATGGGGTAAAACATTGAATACGGAAAATCAAATGCAATAAAGTAATTAATATAAATATAATATAATATAAACAGTCAAATCATTTTCTCGGAAGATGGATTGGAAATGGTAGAGCAGTATAATGTACAGGGAGGTTCCTGGACCTATCGCCAAGGGGCTACATTATTTAATGTCATTTTTAAAAGTCAAATCAATTCATCTCAACGTTTACAATAAAGAACACAAAATGCATTCGGAACTATAAGAAGAAAGTTCAAGGAGCTATAAACAAAATTGAACGAAAAATAAATTTGTGCAGTAGGGAGGGTGGTAACCCTTTCGAACATGCAGAATATTAGAAACTAGTTTGTAAAAGTTGATTTATTTATAATAACTACGATTAATATTATACATATTATTAGATCCCACACTGAGATTTCAAATTCACAATAAAAAAGTTAAAAATAATATCTTTAAATTTCTGACCTGGATATTATTTATTTGAATCTTCCAATTAGCTCGATTTTCCTTATTCAATGTTAATTAGCGCTAATCAATATTGTTGCCAAAAAAAAGTATTTAAATTTCTGACCTGGATATTATTTATTTGAATCTTCCAATTAGCTCGATTTTCCTTATTCAATGTTAATTAGCGCTAATCAATATTGTTGCGATGATTATAATCAGATTAATTAATTTAAGAAACCAGAGTCGGACTTTAAATAATAATTAAATAGTTTTGTTGCTGTTAAGGTATCCAAAAGAAAAAAAAAGTATAAAGTGTGGCATATCATCGTATTCAGGAGACCGAGTTCTTTCAAAACATGAAATAAAAAATGCAGGTCCGTATTTAAAAAAATTAAGTTGGCCTCAGTATTTCACAAATTATCAGCTAATTTGAAAATCTAAAAATACTGTCAGATAGCCCTAATAAAGTGGCTATGAGAATGTGCAATTAGTTTTTTGATTTTCTAAAAAGTAACGACAGAAAAAATTAAAATTTATTTTCAAAAAAATCAATTTTTATCCAAAAAACTCAGCAATCCTTGAAATTTTTAAAACTTTTTTGATGGCATCTTGGTGAATATCCCAATACGCAACTTTGCCTCAATTTAACGATGTTCGTATCTATGACGGTTACGGAGATACCAATACTCGTACCTCGAATTTGCAGCACCCTGTATATATAAAAATCAGCCATACAAATTTAAGTTAGGTAACTCTTATTTTTAGTTACCTTTGTCACCTGGTGTCAGCCAAGGTGTCACAGGGCAAAACTCACAAACACGCCGGTATTCAAAGCACATGAGAGGACTACTGAGAGCCTAAGGATTCATCCTTGTGAAAATAAGTTATGTCTTATCACTCAGGGATCTTATTCTATAATAATAATGATCGATATCATTGTCGATCAGAACCTGATAATTTTTTAATCTAGTTAACATTTTCGTCTATGTAGGTGACTGGATAAATCACTGCTTAGAGAGGAGAGGAAACCATTCCAAAAAACAACGAGTAATTTTACTGTGTTTTGCTTTAAGTTTATTAGGTCGACGGGCATTGGGGGCTGTATCTCACAATATGGTGTCTAGTGTCGAGTTTTTCTTATATGGTTTACACGCTTTGTTTAAAGGTGAGTATATAAAGTGATTCACGGCGATCGATGACACGTTTATGGAGAACCGGCGCAATAGATTTTTTTTGAAAATTTGGATTTTTACATAAAGGCACTTGCTCCATCTTTCTAAAATATTTTCAGCATTACAGTGTTGCCACTTCATTCGAAAAGTAGTAGCATCTTTTTTATTTTAAATGGAACACCCAGTATATTATTACATTTTTGGAAACTACTTTCATATCTCATAATTTTTCTATTACACTGACCTATCCCTATCTCTAATAGTTTATAAGATAATAAATAAAATGGGTAAAGTTGACAAAAACATGATCGTGAATAAGCATTGGTAAAATCATGAATTAAACATTTTTAAAGTTGGAATTTGGGTTATAAGTTAACGAATTAAACATTTTTAAAGTTAAGAATTTGGGTTAATAAGTCGGTATATTCGATCTGTCTAAATAAACCGATTGGCAATTACACAGAGAGAACAAAAATATAATTTATTTCCGTTTATTATAAAATTACTCAAATCTTTGTTATTTTAAATTCAACCCTATGTATATTATTCAAAAAATCAAAAGATTAATAAAATTACTTTTCAACGATATATCATGTTCGTATACCTTAACCTTCCGGTTTATTAAGTAGAACTATTTAAAAATTAATAATACTATTATCATAGTTTCATTTCAAGAATTTCGTTACCATGACAATTTTAGAAATTTACCACGTAAACCTTTGAATAAGAAGACTAAGGAAGGAGCATAATGCTATCCATGTATTCATGCATGGTGAGCGGAAAAAGCACTCTAGGGTGGGGATCCTTGACAGTTCTGTTTGACGATTCATTTGACACATTTGAATTTGATTTGAAATTTTGTGGATTTGTCAGTCTTTACGGAGCTTATTTTATGTTATTTATTGTTTTTTTCTACTACTGATAGTTGTATAAAGGTAGTAAATCTAGATGGAAATTGTGGCAGAACTTAAATTAACAGTGACACTATCGCGATTTATCGAAAAAGACTCTCAAATAGTTGGTTGTGTAGCGTGCGGTAGATCTCGGCAAAAATTGAGTGAAATAATGGAACAACTTTTCGCTAGTAAGTGACTATATAATATACATACGTGTAGTAAACCGATCATTTATGAAATTCACTTAAATTAACTAAATTATATATTTTTCTTGCATTTTAGCTTTTATTTATTACTTCTCAAAGATTAGATGTCAAAGAATTTAGATACGTTAATTTGACTTACCTGCTTCAGTAGCGTATCGGATGTTAGTGTTAATAAATACTTATTATATTTTTATAACAATTTGAATAACTACCAACATTTATTCACAACGTAAAATAAAACAACAAATTATTGAGTCTACCCCACGTCTACCCTACATCATAGTTTTACATTTTTTAACACTGATAAACCGGAATTTAAGTCGGCCATATTTGAGGCCCATCGCGGTGTACCTAAGATTTTTGATATGCTCCTTCCTTAGTCTTTTTATTCAAAGACGTAAACTCATTGATACTTATAAATTTTGAATATTTGTCATGGTAACGATTTTCTTTAAACGAAACAATTATACAATTAACAATTATTATCTTTTAAATGGCTTTACTGAAGAAACCAGAAGGTTTAGGTAGAGGAACATGATATATTGTTGAAAAGCAATTTTATATAAAAATATCTTATCAAACCAAACCAAACCAAACCTCTAAAGTACAACATTTCTATGAAAAAATAGCCACTTTCAAGCACTTTAAATTTGATTTGATAGTTGTAAAGTCTTGACGTTGTTGTGAATAATATTTAAAATCAAGATCCAGGTCTTCAATGACCAATGAAAATTTATTTCCAATTTTCAGGTGATTTTCGTATTACTTGCCCACGTGATGAGTGGGTATTCACCGACATGGACCTGTTAAAAACGGTGGTAGCGCCCGCAGTGCGAATGTCCTTGAAGTTGCATCAAGATCACTTCATGTCTCCAGAGGAGTACGAAATTCTTCCGACGTTGTACGATGCCATTTGCAGGCACGAGAAAGAATTGGTGATTAGCCACGAAGGAGATCCTGCATGGAGGAATGCCGTGTTAAGTGGGACGCCTAGTTTATTGGCGTTAAGGTATGTCTAAAATAGTGTTATTAAGGATTCTGTGAGTCCTTATATTTGAACACATGATTATGCACTTAACTAATATCACTAGATAACTAAAAACTATTAAAAAATACCACTAAATATGACAGTATCTATTAAATAGAAAACAAATTTCTTGCAGTATAGGTATATATAATAAAATTATATAAGGATTCTTGCTACTTAATTGCTGATATAGAAATTTAATTCTACGCTGTGTTTGTCATAATGTGGATCAACCTGCTCTCACTACCGGTTTCGGAGCCCTACTCCATCATCAGGTGAGCTTGGGCAGATCCACAAAATGACAACCACAGCGCAGAGATAGTTAAATCCGACTTGTCGGAAAGTATCGGTTAGATATTAAGTCCCGAACTGGAGATAGCGGCCTGCGTGCCATGGTGGTATTTTATAATTGGGCTTGCCTGAAAAAAAGCTTTTTACCATCCTTTTACTATCGATAGTTGCGCCTCGGTGGTACGAAAGTACTACCATTGCACGCAGGCCGCTATCTCCCGTTCGGGACTTAATATCTAACCGATACTTTCCGACAAGTCGGATTTAACTATCTCTGCGCTGTGGTTGTCATTTTGTGGATCTGCCCAAGCTCACCTGATGATGGAGTAGGGCTCCGAAACCGGTAGTGAGAGCATAATGACAAACACAGCGTAGAATTAAATTTCTATATCAGCAGTTAAGTGGCAAAAATCCTTATTTAATTTTATTATAGTATCTTTTAATGTAATATATTAATTTGATATGGTAATCGCAAAACAATTTCCGATGCACGTGAACTTTGAGTGACAAGCGATGGCGATAGCGCAGCCAGATTGTGATGGATTTATGAGATGAATGTTAATTTAAAAGTGACAAACAATATATTTAGTATATCATTTTTAAAAGATTTTTACGTTTTTTTTTAATTTAATAACTAATTAATATTGATTTATCTGTTTTATAGCTTATTTTACTTATTACATATTGGCAAAAACTAGTCATTATGAAGATTATTCTAAGCGTTATTATGGGTTATTTATTTATTTATTGATGTACATCTTACAATGCCATAAGTGGTAATAACAAGTAAGAGGGTGCTATTAATGCACAAACTTATAATCACAGAATTTAATATGAACTAACGTAGAAATAACTTTGAAAGTGGTGTAATGTGCTTATCAATCAAACTTCTGACTGCAGTCAAGGGTAATAAAGGACCTTTATTGTCACGTTCTCGTTCAAAGTAGTTTATCAGGGAAGCTACAAGTCCTTTGCTTCGACTTTTTAAATGCTTCGGCATATTTTCAACACACAATTTCAAGAAATGCAATACAAAAACTCGAAAATTTAGTTCTTAAAAGAACTGTTTGTGCTTAAAAGTACAATTAAAAAAAACAATATGAAAATAGGCAAAAAAAACAACAACACGATATTATACAAAATAATGACTGATATTAGGATAACAATAATTATTATCCTTATTAGGCTAGATCTACTGCCTAACCTATCCTAATGATTAGATTAATTTACAATTAATTGTCAAATAATCAACGACAACCTTGCTGAAAACGGCGCAATGTGACCAACATAGCGATAATAAAATTCGGTTTAAACTAATTTTTGCAGCTTTAATCTAAATAAAATATCTCTTACAATCATTTGCTCTATAAAGTCAAATGAAGAGCTGCTTGGTATCTTAAATTATACAACAAAATTTAAACATTTTTGCCAAAATTTCATTTAGTCAGGTTTATAGACTAGTGTCAATGTCAATATGATTGATGACGTGCATCGGAAAATGTTTTGCGATTACAATACTTCAATATTACATCAATACGACATTAATTTAATATATTCATTTGATAGGTCAACTAGCGATCATGTGTCATATTGCCTGTGATACTACATCAGGAGTATTTTTTGTAATAAAATACTGCTTTTTAGGCACGTTTTCGATGAAGGCAGTGACGAGTACAAAATAATTATGTTGAACAAAAGGTACCTGAGTTTTCGCGTGATAAAAATCAACAAGGAATGCGTTAGAGGATTGTGGGCTGGCCAACAGCAAGAATTAGTTTATTTAAGAAATAGGAATCCGGAAAGAGGTATCTTATTTTTTATCCTGAATAATGTATAGAATACTAAACCGGTATTGACATTTTCAGGAAGTATTCAAAATGCTAAACAGGCTCTAAGGAATATAATTAATTCTTCATGCGACCAACCTATCGGGTATCCGATTTATGTGTCACCATTAACGACCAGTTACGCAGAAACGAACGATCAATACTGTTCGTTGATTGGTGGATCAGTTAGCTTGAAGAAGATCAAAAATTATGTGTTTGATTTGTTTAGAAGGTATGTTTTCCTTAAGTTTTTTTGAAGTGTAGTATTTTTTATCATATTTCTTAGAATACGCAAACGATGTGGGGAAGGTTGTTCAAGTGGAGCCTCAAATAGAGAAGAAATAAGCATGGGCCATGAAGGGGTATACGCTATGACACCTATGACATTTCCAGCTGCACCTAGACGATCTACGGACAGTTTTAGATCGGCTGGGAGCATAGGAAGGGGATCAAGCCTTAGCAGGGGATCTCTAGGTAAATTACATAAGTTTCTTCTAATGCTAGAGTCATTTTCACAGCTTCCTTGATGGAAATCAGAGCTGCAACAAGTCAGTTTTAAAAAGACTTAAGTCGTAAGTCATTTCTAAAATTAAAATGATTCATGTCTTAAGTCAATTTCAATATAAAGTTCAAATGACTTAAGTTTTAAGTCTTTGACTTAAATCATTTTCTTTCAAGTCAAGTCATTTTTGTAAAGACTTAAATCAATATAATATGCAAATTAAATCAGTAAAACGACTTAAATCAATTTAATTTTTTTTCAAGTCCAGACAACCAGAATTCAATTTAAATACTTATTTTCTAGCCGACCATACCAACAGGTATGGCGTTCAACAGCAAAAAAAGTTTTTTTAATTTCACTCAAAATGAGTTATTTGGGCCGTCTGTCTATCCGTCTGTAACACGATAACTCAAAAACCGCTAAACCGATTTTAACCAAATTTGGCACAAAAATACTGTGGCACCCGAGAATCTGGCTATTAGTTTTTGGTGGGGGTGGGGGATTGGTAAGGGGGCATGGGAGGGGGGGGGGTAAAAATTTAAAAAAATCGTAACTCCAAAATTACAGTAGCTAGCGAAACGTGGTTTTCAATTTAAGATTAGGAATAATATTTCCAACAAAATTTGTAATAACATCAAAATCAGTCAAGTCGCAGTTTTTGAGATAAAAAAATTGGAAAAATTCCTTTACTTTGAAACTAAAAGAACTGCCTATCAACTTTTTATTAACATATTTTAGTATGCGCGGCTACTATACGTGCCTCCCGGCGCCAATTTTTTAAATGTTAATATTAATTTTCTTGAATTGCCACCCATTACCGATTTTTTTAATATCTATATTAATTTATTGTAGATACAGATTAGAATAAAATATATAAACAACTATAATAAACATTAAAAAAATAAATACATCAAGGACATAAAAAACACACATATAAAAAGATCAACTTAAATCAAATTAAATTACGTGGTACTTTGTACAAGTTGTTCCATTTTTGTGTGTTTTACAGCGTTTTTCGTTTATGAGCAGCGGTACAAAGATACAGTTTTCATAGTAGCTACATTTTTATGAAACTAAAGATGTTAAACACTTATTTGATGCCGCTGTTAATAATTTATGACAAAAATATATGGAAAAAAAGACTTAAATCTTTTAAAAGATTTAAAACATAAAACACATGAAAATGGATGGCACCCCGTACAGAGTGTAATAGCGAATAAAGTTGAGTTTTGTTTTATTTATTTCTAGGCGGTAATCGTGGCAGCTTAGTTTCTGTCGGCAAACCCACGAGTTCGACCTTGGTAAGTCTTACAGGATTGTTCAAAGAGAAAGACGAACGCACTAGCGATACCCAGAGCCAAAACAAGAACTCGACTGAGGATAAGCCTGCTGAACAAAAAGACTCTACAGATAGTACAGAAAATGTTGAAAGTGAATTTGTCGCTTCACGAGTTAAGGTTAGTCTTTTTTGTTAAATTTATAAGCTTCATTTAAACCCTCAAAATTAGTGGAATAAATAAGTGTAAATATCTGTTATTTTTTTTAGATATTGGATCCAAATTTAGTTTATGACTGCATTAATTTGGGCCGAAGGATAGATGTGTCATGGCCGACTGAGTATATGCGATGTCGCGGTGGTCGTTCCTATTGGAAGGATTGGGTGCCTAAAACGGGCATGGAAGGACCGGTAAGATTTTAAAGTATTTAGAATTAAGTTTTATTTTTGTTCAATCACTAGGAATGTATTGAAAAATTGCAATATTACAGATAAATAATGTCTATACCACTGCTGCAAAATGTATGTACATTACAACCGAAATAGGAAACTTCTTAGTACCTTTACAAATTTTTCAAACCAACTAAAATACTCTTCACATTTTAATGGTTATATTCCTCTGTAACCGGACAAAAAAGAAACATAACTTTAAAATATCGTAACCTAGCTGTAACAATAATAACCTTTCATCGTTCTGATAGATTCCAAAAACGCTAATGGATAAAATAATCAAACGTATCTATCAAAAAATTGTGTTACAATCTTAGTAGTTTTTTCTCTATTGCGACGAGATATATACCTTGAAATATTTCTTCTCATTTGGTATAGAATCAATATTTTCATTTTTTGTTTTATATATCTGGATTTTGACCTAGGCCTTATATAGTTTTACATACAAAATGAGAGCGATCTTCATTTCAGAGCCATCGTGGATAAGTAAACAACAAGAACTGTTGCAAGATATCAACGACGTAGTATTTTCTTTTTTCCTTGTTGCATTTGCGAGATTGCTACTATAGGCTTGGTGCATTCTCCGCCGGTGCTGCCACCGGATAATATCGTAAACAACTAGTATATACAAATACATGGGTTTAAATAGCGAGTATATGAAAAATTTATTATATAATTATTGTAAAAGTGTTAGGAAGTATAATTTGTAAAAATTCTAAAAATAAAAAAGTAAATATTTTGATATCTTCAGAAAGTCTAACTTGTATTATAATTTATTATTCCAGCTAAAAAAACTTTTTAGATAAGTTAAACTACGGTAGCGAGCATAGTTTTAATCACCGGTTTTGCTAATGGGGTCATAATTGGGGCTATTTCGGCTATAACGAAATTTGTTAAAGGTACGTAATATTAATTTTAGAAGATGTTCATAAAACTTTTAATCACTAGTCCGTTAAAGTATACCATTAATATTGCAAATTATATTGTATCCTCTCATAGTATGTCTATTTAATTTTTTTAACTTTACGACAAACTCCTCCAGTAGACGCCGGACTGTTTTTTTTGTTTGATTACCCCTGCTCTTCGCTGTATTTTGCCTCTAGTATATTTTGGGTCAATTTTGAGATGGCTTCAAAGTAAAAAACCTTTTGTTCCGTTGAACTACTTGAATCCATTTTTGCTTTTGATCGAATCCGTGTAAGAAACTATGAAGCTATAAAATGTTGTTTCGGGAGAGTTGAATATCCGGAAAAGTTGAGTTATTGAATGTTATTGCACCCAACAACGCCCTAATTACGCTCTCCTTTACGCGTTAACATTTTTTCGGGAATTTTATTAACATTTTTAATTATTAGTTCTAATTCTTTTACGCTTCTTTTTTACTATCCGAAACAGCGTTACATCACACAAACCTCGTACCTGAGTGTTTCATAATTTCAATAACTGCACTAGCGAAAAACTAAAATACTTAAATATTATGACAAAGCCACGATTTCAATATTATGTTAATTCGATCAAAATGAACTGTAACCAGGACGGCGTGAAACACATAGAATTTCTGATTTCTGCCGAATACAGAATTTTTTTAAATCAACTGAAACGCACCAAGCCTATATCTATCTTTGATCAGGAACTAGGGTCCACGTGCCAATTTTGAATATGTTTTTTAAAAACTAATATACAACTATAAATAATGAAACTTAGTAAGAAGTTAAATAAATTTAACTTCTAACTGATCACATTTGCATCCTCTGCAATATTAAAGATAATTCAAATAAACCTTTTTATTTGCTTTAGGTTGTTCATAAGTGGACGCCTTGCCATAGAGATCCCAACAAGCGGTCTCACGTAGATAGAACAATTTTATTAGTTCAAATCGATGACAAATACGTTCCTATTGCAGAAAGTGGAGTACAAGATTTGGGCCCAGAAGTATAGCAAAAGGGGAATTTAGGTAAATACCCATATTTCCATTTCTTCTATTTAGTTTTTTACAAAAAAACACACATATATGAGGCGTTGCGGATAGTAAGGGTGAACTCAACAAAAGCTACTTTTGAGAAAATTGAGTTTAAAGAAATTTGCAGACGGGCGAATTCAGCAAAAGGGCAGAGTAAAATAAACATGAACTGACAAGCAAGCTTACTAAACGAATCAGTCACGCGCTGGCAATATCGGTTCCGCGCGAGATTGTTGAGTTCGCCCTTACTACCCGCTCGGCTATCGCATATCTGAAACTTTCGTTTATTTCAAAGTGTTTGTTTGAAGGCGAAGCAAGGGCGAAGTCAACAATTCGATCGTTCTATGAGGTAGGAATTGTAATGTAAAATGAAATTACGAAAAAAATTTTTTTTGACACAATGTTGAGTTCGCCCTTACTATCTAACGCCTCATATTTGTTCATCGAACCCAGAAGATTCCTTACATAAAACCAAAATATGGAAAACTTGATAAGCGCCGATTTCTTAATTTTCGTATTTTAAAAAAATATAGTAGGTAGAAACTAGTCCCTACAAAATGTATGAACTATGCAGGGCAATAAGTTATTAAATCCTATGATATACAGGGTGAGTTTCATACGATGTTGTCTACGGATATCTCGAAAACTAGTGGACATAGAGAGTCGGTTAAATGGGAAAAGAATTGCAGTTTTGTGGGGTCATAAATATGGCGCCCTTCAAATATGTTTTTTTCTTTGAATAAGAAGATTAAGGAAGAAGCATATCAAAAATCTTAGTTACACCGCGATGGGCCTCAAATATGGCCGACTTAAATTCCGGTTTATCAGTGTCGTTCTAATTTTATTTAAAAAATGTAAAACTATGATGTAGGGTAGACGTGGGGTAGACTCAATAATTTGTTGTTTTATTTTACGTTGTGAATAAATGTTGGTAGTTATTAAAATTGTTATAAAAATATATAATTCTAATAAAAATAGATAAGTTATAATAAGTATTTATTAACACAAACATCCGATACGCTACTGAAGCAGGTAAGTCAAATTAACGTATCTAAATTCTTTGACATCTAATCTTTGACAAATAATAAATAAAGCCTAAAATGCAAGAAAAATATATAATTTAGTTAATTTAAGTGAATTTCATAAATGATCGGTTTACTACACGTATGTATATTATACAGTCACTTGCTAGCGAAAAGTTGTTCCATTATTTCACTCAATTTTTGCCGAGATCTACCGCACGCTACACAACCAACTATTTTAGAGTCTTTTTCGATAAATCGCGATAGTGTCACTGTTAATTTAAGTTCTGCCACAATTTCCATCTAGATTTACTACCTTTATACAACTATCAGTAGTAGAATAAATAATAAATAACATAAAATAAGCTCCGTAAAGACTGACAAATCCACAAAATTTCAAATCAAATTCAAATGTGTCAAATGAATCGTCAAACAGAACTGTCAAGGATCCCCACCCTAGAGAGCTTTTTCCGCCCACCATGCATGAATACATGGATAGCATTATGCTCCTTCCTTAGTCTTCTTATTCAAAGGGTCGCACTGCAAGCACACCAATGGACTGACGCACAAAAACGAATCAATCAAAGAAACGCGATATACTATCGTCTTTGTCAATCACGCTAACATTTTAGAATAAGTAGGAGGAGCGCAGGCAGATGATTAGACCGGGACTTTAAAAACCTACGTCTGCGATAAAAATTTACGTTTTTAATGTAAAAATGATAGCGCGCGTGTCGATTCTAACTTCACCAAGCGATGAATCACTCCTAAACATTCGTGGCGTTTACTTTAGAAACCTGATTGTTAGTCTGGTTTCTACGCATTTTAACCAATGAGAAACGTGCTGACTAGTCAGTGATTCTTCTGAGAACAGACCTTAAAATTAGTAAAATGGCGCTTATCATGTTTTTCCCCTTGACCTTTTATTTAGTAAGAACTAAGTCAAGTAGTATGTCATCTGTCAAGTGGTATGTTTAGTAAACAGAGATATTCAGTCACACTCCACGTCTATTCTATGTTTAAATACCTATATTTATACAAACAGTATATTAAAAGTTACATGGTTTTTAGGATTTTTTCTATTGGCGGCATATGATGAAACTGGACGAAAGACTTGTCAAGTTCTTGATATTATAGAGCCGAGTCCATTCCTCTCGGACGATATGGTTTAAATATCAGATCAAACCGAATAAGTTCTTTCCGAAACCTTTATACAGGGTGTTTACTATCAAACTGTTTATTTGCCTTATTGTACTTCCAATTTATAAAAATAAGGCACGAACCTTTAGAGCTATTCATTCCTTTTAAATAAGAGAATGTCCAGTGACATCCGTTTTGTACTTTATATCTTTTACATTCCATTATTTATTTGTATATATGCACCACGTGTGACTTTTTTTAAAATGCGGTGTAGAAGGCACTAAACTATATACATAATGTTCTTAAGGATGTCATTTTTGGACGGTATGGCACTTATATATGGAAAAATATTTAATAAAAGGCTCTAATCTTGAAATTTACATTAAAGTGAATACATAAAAACACTTTAGTTAATAAACAAATCAAATATTATTTAAATAATACTTATACAGGAATAAGTAATTTTTACAATTGTATTTATATTGAGTCATTTTACTTAGAGGCAGTTTAGATTTGTCCTGTACAGAATAATATTCAGTGAGATATATTATACAGATATACGATTCCAGTAGACGTCAGACATATAAGTTGAAGTACACAACTTAAGATTTTTTGTGGATTTCCTTTTATACAGTGCTGGCAACTATTACTTTTGGGTCGGAACTTACCTGTGTGGAAGGAAATCGCATAGGGATCTTATTAAGTAGGAGTGAGAGAAATGCGATGGTGTGCTGTTGCGGAGTTGCCGGTACACCTTTCCCTATCAGGTAGACTAAAATCACGATCGCAAACCGCTTATTTTTAAACGACTTTTTGTTCGAAAAGATAACTAGATAAAATCATTAGATATGTTTCTGAGCATCTGAAATGGAATTATAAGGATATCGTTAGGGTGTCCATTTTTTATAACGATAAAACTGTCAGTAATCGCGATAATTTAAAAACTCAACTTTTTAACACATAACAATTCAAACTTAAGAACCATTTTAGAAACTTTTTTTATTTTGAAGATCGGATCTTTTATAATATGTTTAAATGAGAAAAATTCCACAAGGTTGCTCTTTTCCATTCAAAAATTTTAAATTAACCATCCATTTACTTCTAGTGCATAGCAATTTATTTTCAGCAATCGTGTAACTTTTATATTTATACAGATTTTCACATACTGTCTCCGAAGAAAATATAGCAGAAATATTAAGAAAGTTTTTGAAAAAGACTACAATCAATTATTTCTAATAGATTTCGAGATATTGATTTTTGAATTCAGAGTTCTAATAGCGCAATCACGGTCGAACACTAACTCAATTCCACTTTTTTTACCAAAAGTGCACGTGTTTCTAACTTGCACTTAAAAATTTACAAGCTATAGGGGAAATTACAACGACTCGTTAATAGATAAACAAATAAAGTATCGCGAGGCGTAATTTAATCGTGAAGAACGCGTGATGTACACCTTTCCCTAGAACTTTAAGTACTGACAGAGGTACTGATCGACCGGCCAACTGCGACAAATCTGCTATATTCCCTTCCACGTCTCTTAGCAATGTGTACAGTTTCTCGGTTTATTTCATACGTTTGGCAACCTGTTTAGTGTTCTCTCTTTGTTCAGTACATTATAAACGCATTGTACTCTTTTTACATACGGAAATCTCGACAAAAGACTAACCTTTGCCAGCCCTTAGTATATGTTGAAGTACACAACTTAAGATTTTATGTGGATTTTCTTTTAAATGAGAAGATTGAAGCTTCATTCAGAATCTCGAAATTAGTGGATTAAATTAGTGGTTTCAATTTGCTTAGAAGTTTAATCCTCTAATTTCAATGTCTGTAATTCAGAACGTCAAAATTAGTGGTAGTAATTTTCAATTAGTGAAAATAGTTAACAAACTTCTAACTTTTGCCACTAATATACTTCAAAATTTGTGACTAATGTCAGTTTGGCCCAAAGGGGGCCTTTTCGTGACCCCAAGGTAGAAACTTGGCTATAAAAGTCTGTCCACAAGTCTTTAAAAATCATATTTATCTATATTTTGATGAGACTTTGCATGTGAATTATTATAAGAAAAAATAAAAAGATAAGTATAAAAAAGACAGTATAAAATAATTAATATAGCCTTTTTAAACAGTCTAATTTGAATAAATCTAAAATATCTCGAGCTGTATGCTTTAAGATATGTTTGACAGCTACTGGATCTTAAATTATATGTAATAAAATGATAATTAGATACATTTAAGTGACATTATTAGATTTGTTAATTCCCCAAAAATGTTTTTTATATAGATTTGAATGAAGTTATTTTAGAAAAAAACCTTTTCTTTAAACACTGATTTCAATACTAGATTGATTTAAAGGTATAGACGTTATTTATATTGATTTTATTAGTTATTGATACATCATTTCCCTTGGTTATTGTCAATCAAGCTTACAAAAGATACTATTTTATAATATACATGTTGTTAGTAACTTCCATTATTGGTTGCATTTCCTGCAATGGAATTCTATTTCGATTAAAAACTTAAAAATATTAGTAAAATATACGTTTAAGCATATTTTGTTGGTATTTTTAATTAACTTAACAAAGCTATAGTATAAATATATAATAAAGGATTTCATCACTTGCGGTTTCCAGTCATCTAAATGTGCCAAATTCGGCAAATCGTTACTAAAAGATATTTAAATTTGGTTCTTAATCCTTTATTATTGTAATTCCTGAACCATTTTTTAAAGTAGAATTATTACTTCAATATAAATAAGAGACAAACCAGAAAAAAATAATATTTTGAAACCTTACCTTCCTCATTAATTAAATTATATATTTTACATTTTATTAAGAAAAAAGAAAAAACAAGTAAGGGCAAAAAAGTAACTGCAAAAAAACTACGTTAATATACTTATTTCTTTATATCAGAATTATTAAATGTTTTGCATAGTATACTTATGTGATAAAGGGAGAATGATGTTTCCTCCCAAAATTAACATATAATTTTTGCATACTTTTATATTCATATAGAATTTTTTGTTAATTAATTGACGATACCCATGGGATTTGGTGAAATGTTAAATATTCAGCCACAGAAATTATTTAAAAGTGTCTAATATATTATAAACTCACCGGCAAAAAAACCGGCCACTAAAAACTAGTCCCAATTTCAAAGTTGGATTTCTCGCGAACTACTCATTAGATTTTGATGATTTTTTTTAAAATACTTGTTAATAAAAATAATTGATCAAATTAATGATGTTTATATAATACACTCACCGGCAAAAAAAACCGGCCACTAAAAGCTAGTCCCAATTTCAGAGTTGAATTTCTCGCGAACCGCTCATTAGATTTTGATGATTTTTTTTTTAAATTCTAAATTAATTCCTTCTTAACGGATGCTAAGTCAGACATTTTTATTCCGAATTTATTTTAAGCATATACAGGACGCCACAATAAGACGAAGTTTTTTACCCGAACTTTGTGACACCCTGCAGGGAGCAGTAGCTGTAGTAGCTATTGCTAAAAATGTCGTGATTAAAAAAACAAAATGTTCACAAAAGATGAGGCTACAATGTGATTTGATTTAGCAATAGCTACTACAGCTACTGCACCCAGCTACTGCAAAATGCAATAAATTTAAAAACTGCGTTATTTTCTATCCAATCAAAGTCCTTAAATTCTACCAATAAAATTAATATCGTATCAACGTATCGTCTAGTCTAAGAGCTAGCAACGTTTTCGACAAAGTATTTTAAGACATCTGGCTCTTTGATATATCTTTTACTATGTCTGGCTGTCGATGCCCGTTGCGTTCACTACTGCGCATCGGAAGAAGATCCTATACTTTTTATTAATTTAGTTCTATAAATTCTAGTATTGAATATAAATCGAACATGTCTCCATAGCGCAGTGCGTAGAGTTTCCGACCCATAAACGATGATTCAGAGTTCGAATCCGGGTCAGGGCAAAGACTTTTTTATTTTATTTTCGTTTACATTCTGATAGTAAAGTAGGTATTATTCAAAAAACAAATATAACGAAAACAAAATAAACGAAAATAAAATAAAAAGTCTTTGCCCTGACCCGGATTCGAACTCTGGATCATCGGTTCGTGGTCGGAAACTCTACGCACTGCGCTATGGAGACACGTTCGATTTATATTCAATACTAGAATTTAAAGGACTAATAAAAATATAGGATCTTCTTTCAATGCGCAGTAGGGAACGCAACGTTACCGGCAGCCAGACGGGCCGCATGCTGTTCTAGAGAACATGGTAAAACATATATCAAAGAGCCAGACGTCTTAAAATACTTGTTTTTCCGACGTGGCTAGCTCTCGTACTAGTCGGACAACGAATGCATGAAAATCAAGCTTTAAAATACTTGCCATTTATTAAAGAAACACGCTGTATAACTCGCTCGTAACATAGGAATATTCGCTATTCTTAAAAAAATCCTGGTTGACAAGATCAAAGTGTACTTGAATCAAATACACTTGGACGCTGTCCACGTCTTAATTTGACGCCACTTGAATCGTATCAACTGATTTTAAATCAGTTGGTACAATCTAAACAACATCCAAGTAAGACGCGCGCAGCGTCCTAGTATATTTGATACAAGTGGCGTCTCTACTTGGATCTGGACAAGTACACTTGGATGCTATATAACTGTACTTATAATAATACTACTGGCGTCTAACTTGTACGTTGTTTGTATAGTATTGACTGTTTTGTTGAAGTCGAGTTGAAAGGCTTTTCTCAAAGTAAGTAGGCTGGCTGCCAACTTACTTGGATGCTACGAAGCCAACTCAAACTCTATAATAAAAGTGAGACGCGCGTAACATCCATATAAGTATATTTATATGGCAGAATCCAGTTGAGTTAGTCCAAATACACTTGGACACTTATTTGGACACACTTGGACACTTTCCACCAGCCTTTAAAGACAGCTTTTTAAAATACGGACAATGTTAAATAATTTCTGTTGCTGTAATTTAGTAAAGAATAAAAACTGTTTGCCAAGGCGTCCAAAGAATTATCAAATTGTTATAGTATTTATTTTTAAATAGTGTATATAAAACGCTTCTTATGTAATAATTATATAACGGAAGATATTGAGCTGCAGTGTTCTATACCCTATTTATTATTTTTATTAGTATTAACAAGTCGAAGTTGTTTCTACTATATGTAAAAAGAAAAGCACTAACAGCTCATATCTTTCTTCATTGTTACACGGTTGCCTTAAATAAATATAGACTGATTTTTTTATATGGTTTTGTATAGACATCATTTCTCGGTTAGTTAAGCATTACAACGATCTTTTGTACATTTACTACTAAAGTTTAACTTAGATATGTAAGTTAAAATTATATCCGCACTTGTTGTATGCTTCACTAAAACTACTTCCTATCTTATTTATAGTAGCGGTTTAGTCTTCAATTATGTTGGAAGTTGTACAGGGTGATTGTTTATTATTGCAGAAAAATTCAGAGGCCGATTTTTGAGTTTAAAGTACATTTTATATTAAGGTGTATGTATGTAGACACGTTTACTTATGGAGATACATGAGAAATATTAATACACTTCCCCAATAAATTAACGCGCCACAAAAAAATAACCAAAAGTTTAAGTTAAGTTTTTGTCAAAACCACTTACCCGATTTGGACGATTTTTTTTGAATGATAGGTTATTCTTTCCACAATGTTGCTATACTAACTGTATTTTG